TGCATAAAAAAAATTGCCATTTAAACTTGATGTTTTGTTAAACAATGTGGAAGACCGTGCACTTATATCACTAGCGTTTTTTTTAGGAACAGAAATTAGGAACACAATGGTGGCTCACATATTCATGATATATAAAACATTTATACTTCATCAGGACAATTAATATCACGAGGCTTTATGGAAAGAAATTTACAATAAGATAATTAAAACCGCTTGGAATTCATTTATCAGTACTTCTTAAACTCTCCCATATGGTTCATCATTGCAGATTTTTTATGACACCGTGGGAGACCCACTACAAGACAGGCTTAAGAATTTACAAAATTAGTCGATGTTGGAAAAAAATGTTTACATGCCTGCAAATGGTCCCGAATTAAATAAAGAGAATCAAACACTTTAAAACTGTCAGGAATGTGACATATATAAATCAACAATGATTAAACAATGTTCCATGCACAAATTAACCGCCTTAAAACTCTTGTTTTCTATAATTTGAACAAATAATTGATCAATATACAAATGATAATATAACATTTGCATTATATTGTGACGTTATATTTCAAAATTAACAACAAGGAATACCCTAAATAAATTTAATTTAGTATTGAATCTACATGATTTGTCAAATGCCTAAAAAAGAATGGTTTACAGTTGTAAAGAGTCACTTTTCCTTTACGCGCTTTTGGTGTGAGCATTTAAATACCTCTATGTTGAATATATCGCAAATGATGTGGCATTAAAGTGTTTAACTGGTATATTGTTATATTAAATGGGTTTATTACGCCGTGGTATATGTAATAAAATAATAAAGCCAAATAAACTGGTACGAAGGTATTAGGAAAGGCTTATTGTACGTATCAGAAACACGAATTGTAATGGTATTTTGTTTTGTTTTGTTTTGTTTTTTTAATTTGGGTACCATTATCGATCAAGATTCAGTGTTAGCCGTTGAGCTCCCCTATATATTTGCTATTTGCTTGTAGACGACTGTTGTCTATTTTTCTTTAAACATTACGTTAAATATTTGATATCCAAAACATCTTTATAGTAAATTGATTTGTTTTCTTTCGTAATGTTAGACAGTGTGAATTTAAACATATAGGCCTTTCGCTAACATTATGTGAAATCGTTTAAATATATATGATCACAGTTTACGTCGACACAAGCGTTCTGTTCCTATATATCAATATAATGTTTACGTGCATATTGGTGCACTGTTGATTGTCAAGATTTTGTTTCATTTTTAGCATTGTTATTTTCTTTGAAAATTAGTTTATCATGATATTTATTTTATAGCAGCATGTGTCAAGATTTATGATATATTCTTTATTTTTTGAAAAAAAATATATAGGCATGATATTGTGAAGTAAGCAAAAGGAAGCAGTTAACACTTCATCAATGTCATCTATGGCACTTGCAACCCACGTAAAATACCATGCTGTTTTAAGAGTCAAACGAATTTAATGAATAGTTATTTTTTACTCAAAATAAAGTCAGAAATAATAAGTTGGAATGCATGGACGCGTTATAGTAAAATTAAAAAGTCGTGCAAAGACCGGTAGAAAATATACAAGTCTCTAAAGAAATATAATGTAAATTAATATTTATATTATCTATCCATTATCATTTAATATCACATATAAAAATTAAATTAACACGCGTCAAACTTAAAAGTTATTCTGGTAATTGTTGTCACGAAATGTTGCAAACCGATTTAAAAGTTTCTACAAAATGCCATAAAATGAAAATGAAGAAAGTCCCCTGTCTATTCAAAATACTACATAATATTAATTGATGTGTTTTAAATACAAATATTGACACCAGACATCCTGAATGAGATTTCATATAGCATGTTTAGTTTTTTATCTTTAGTGAAACGCCTTCGAGAAACAATCATTTAATTGTATTTGTTCAATTTTATATAATGTTTTTGTATATAATTGAACGTCAATATTTTGAGTTATACCTTCAAAGCACATTTATCTCCAATAAGAATATATTGATTTCATTAAAAAGAAACACATCAGATGTTAAATTCCACTCCAAAAATATATATGATATTTGTCTGTGTATATTGTATTCTTAGGTGGTTATTGAATAAAATATTGATGATAAAGGGAACAAATATCGACAGGGATATTGGTTCTTGATAAAGGCAAAATTAATAATTATTTTACGCCCACCAGCTGCCCCCACACGCCGCCTTGAATTTTATTTTACTTTAAAAGGGTACAGCATAACTGGTGCTGATTAAATGTTCCAAAGAATAACCTGACTATATTTCTTCATTTCCTTTAGTTTATGTCAATCGATCCGTCAATCATGAAAACATTACGCATTTATACCACCTTTACGACGCCATTTGGCAACTATATTTCATATTTTATTGGTCAATTTATTTTTTATATTTTTAAAGTATATGTTTTGAAAAAGAAAAAAGATACTTAATAAAGAGAGTTTAGTGACAAAAACCATGAACACCTTTACAACATATTTTTTTATTTCTTTGTTGTTGTTGTTGCTTTTATTGTTGTTGTTCTTTCCATCATGGTTTGCAAAATTTAAAACATTGTACGTGTATATAACGTTCTTTACAAGAAAGATTAAAGGACCAATGAGCTTATTATATTTCTGATTTATAGCGACATGTTGAGAAAAGATGTCAGAAAATTTCCCAAAATATACATCACGACAATATGGTAAGTACGATTCAATAAAGTTGTCTCTATAATAATTATATTGTTTTACATCTAAATCATAATAGCTATAGCTTAAAAAGCATGTTCTATTTTCCTCTTTGTTTTGTTTTCCTTTAGATTAAGAATGACACTTCTTGGACTTATCTGACGGATATTGAAATTTATTATTTTATATACATTCGTTGAATACAACAATATACAGATTTGATTTTCAAACAAGGATTGGATTGATAAACTGCAATATGATGACGCCAATAGTAACTTATTTATTCCTACTTTGTGGATTTATTATTAGCCATTAACGTTTAGTTTAGGTTAACTGTAAAATCTTTTTGAGAAAATAAAGTCTCTTAAAAGGAGAAGAAACAATCAAACGGAAATCAAACAAGCACGATATTTGTAATTGTAATAAGAAGCAGTCATGAATCTAATATTGATTCCTATGGCCTCTGCTAAAGACATTATTATCAATGCATTAGGATCATTCTTCTTACAACTATTTTATTCACACACACATACAATTTGTAGATGTCTGGGCCTGCACTTGACAAAGATGTCTTGCACTAATTGACAAAGTCATTTAAGTGTTGCGATCAAGATTCAGTGAAATATATTTTTTACTTTCTCATAAAGGTGAAAAACTACATGCTATAAAATTTGTAACTGCAAATGACATGCTTAATTAATTCAGTGATAGAAAAGAACTTGGTTATACTTAATCCTGAAAATGACATATTTATACAAGTTTAACTTTAATTAGAAAATTTTGTGGTTGGAATGTTGTCTTAAATGATTAAGGCATAACAACTGCATTCATCGTTTATCCATGCGTGATCGTTAAAGGCAAGTAGTATCTTGGTTCGAATTGCTATAGCCAATGAGGCAGGTGAGGTGGTTTTTGACGCCTGGTTTCGTTTCGTTTATTGATATCAGCTCAGTTTGCATATATACAAATACAGGAGCAAAAACATTATATAAACAAGCAAATTCGTTGAATTTATATCCCCCGCCGAGTACTGGTTATTATTAACACAACAACTGAAGACATAATGCTTTATTTATATATTAATCATGGCATAAACAGTAATATTCTTTGAACTTGATAAATATTCAGGGCAATAACAGAGCCATAACTTTGTGTTAAATAGTAATATCTGGAAATGCCAATGAGATGTATGCATACTACATAACTAATCAAGGGCCATAAATCTGAGTTATAAGTATCTGACCGGAACAAGGCGACTATATGCACATCTCTTAGTATCCCATAAATTTTGCATTCTTTCTACTGGCGCATTTGGCTATACTGTACAGTAGGCCTACATGCTTTTTTTAAAATTCATTTGGATTAAAAAATACTAATTGTTTGGGAATTATTGCATTTATTTGGTATACTTTTTAAGGATAGTATTTGATTTAGAGTAAAAGAAAAAACAGTACTATCAATAATTAATCTCATTTTTGTATTTAAGTTAAGAGTGATAGATTAATGTTAAGAACAATAATGAAAATAACGAGTCCTATTTGGTATCAATAATTGTCTTAAAGTTAGATACAGAGAACATTTTATGTTACAAATATACCAAAAACAAACATTTGATCTTATTGTTTCTTAATATATATAACCTAAATAACTGTTTTAAAGTGGGCCGAATCGTCACTAGTTAAAGTGGGGCGAGTCGTTAAGGGGCGAATCGTTATCAATTCTGGCTGTGACTAAAAAAAGAATGGCTGTGACTAAAAAAAGGATTGGAGCACCACACTAAATACCGTATTCCGGTATATACCGGACAAGGCGCTTGAATGATAAAATGCTAAAATCTTGTCTTTTTACCCAACGGAATGAACTTTAACAGTTCTAATTCATCTTTTCACACCGAATCAAGTACGATAATTAAGGAAAAATGTAAAATTCGGCGAAAAAAAACGATATTTGTCTATTTTGTGATCATGATTTCTGCAAGCGTCTAGAGGTACTGCTCCAATCCTGTATTGAGCTAAATCCAAAAAGAATTGGAGCACCACACTAAATACCGTATTCCGGTATATACCGGACAAGGCGCTTGAATGATAAAATGCTAAAATCTTGTCTTTTTACCCAACGGAATGAACTTTAACAGGTCTAATTCATCTTTTCACACCGAATCAAGTACGATAATCAAGGAAAAATGTAAAAATCGGCGAAAAAAACGATATTTGTCTATTTTGTGATCATGATTTCTGCAAGCGTCTAGAGGTACTGCTCCAATCCTGTATTGAGCTAAATCCATCAATTCTTATGTTATCCCCCTTGTCATGATCTTCTACTGATAAAAATGTCAACATGTCAATTTTGGCAACAAAAGCAAGTTATTATCAATAGTTTGTGTTTGATGCTTGATATGAAAGTCGAAACATAACGTGCCTATAAATGTTCAAATATATATCGTTTTAGAATGGTAAAATAAACGATGGTGATGAAATATGCGTGAAATGTTTATTTAAGTGTTATGACATTCGGATACGTTTCGTACAAAATATGTGTAACAATATTTCCAGTTTAATGATGAAGAGTGACATCATCGGGGAGCTCTACAAGCAAAGAGGGTACATACTATAGAGCAAGACATATTCGACGGACAAGTAAAGAAAATGAGAGATTTCGGTCATTTATTAAATCAAAAATTAAACTTTAGATAAATAACTCTAAAATTTGTAAAAAAAACAACTATGGATGGATTAAATTTGGACACAGTTGAATGCAATCCAGATAAATCTATTGAGAGGACAAATGAATCTTGTCATCAAGATCTTCTTATAGTTGAGGATAGTTCTATTGCTAATCTAGATAATTTAGGGGAAGAATATTTCCTCTCGAGGAACGTTTACCTTGCCAAGTCCAAACAAGGTGATTTGTTCTGTGAAAATAGTTGCAATAAAGTACCTAGTCAACTTCCTGGTTCATTTCAAACTGACAATGTCTGCATAGATGCATTTACTCCAGTGGAGGAAATGGTAACAAATGCTATTCCATTACATGACAACAACATTGTCAATGGTGATTGCTTCACATTAACAGAGATAGTACCTGGACATGATAGTGCTCATATTGTTGAAGATTTTGTTTCTGATAAAATGGGTTTATTGTCAAGTGATTTTCAAGCTAAGAATGCTATTTGTTATAAAAGTTCTGAATCTGCTCCAGATATTGATGATGATAATGATAGTGCTAAGTTTCCGATTCAGGCAAATATGGGACCAGATTGTAAGTGTTTGTCGGGTGATATTAGTGACATTGATAGAAGTTCACATGAAAATGAACAAGTAGCTATTGATAATAAAGATAAACTGGCATTTGAGGATCAAAATGGCTTTGGAGAGATGCTGCTTAACACTCCATGTAACTTTTCTGATATTTATTCTAATGACACTGAACATGGAAACCCAATTGAATCATTGCAAATACCATTCTTTGACCATATAGATTATGAATCTGATCACATTGCTGAAGAAGAATTTCCCATTGACAATCTTAATAGTATCTCACAGATACCTAATTTTGAGTTATTACAGCTTGAAGCCCATGAAACTGTTAATTGTTCTGGGTATGAAGACTTAAATGTGATAGAGCTGTTGAAAGAAGTTAAGTATGACCTTACAAGAAGATTTAGAAATGATGAGAGTGATGATTTAGGAGTAACAGCTTTGTTTGATGAGCCACAAACAAGTGTTAATAATTGTAAGTACTTTAATTGTAAATAAATGTTTTTAGCTCACCTGTCACAAAGTGACAGGGTGAGCTTTTGTGATCGCTTTTCGTCCGGCGTCCGTCCTTAAACTTTTACTTTAAATGACATCTCCTCATAAACCACTAAGCCAATTTCATCCAAACTTCACAGGAATGTTCCTTTGGTGGTCACCTTTAAAAATTGTTCAAAGAATTTAATTCCACGCAGAACTCTGGTTGCCATGGCAACCGAAATAAAAAACTTTAAATATCTTCTTTAAAAAAACCATAAGAGCTAGAGCTTAGATATTTGGCATGAAACATCTTCTAGTGAGTGTCTACCAAGTTTGTTCAAATAAAAGCCCTGGGGTCAAAATTGGCCCCGCCCCGGGGGGTCATTGATTTTCTCTATATGCATATAGTAAAATCTTAAAAAATCTTCTTTTAAAGAACTCAAAGAGCTAGAGCTAAGATATTTAGCATGAAACATGTTCTAATTGGTGTCTACCAAGTTTGTTCAAATAAAAGCCCTGGGGTCAAAATTGGCCCCACCCCGGCAGGCCTAGACATTAACTTTTGAATCAGGTTGTCCTGTCGGGCAAGTAGTTTTTAAAACTACTTGCCCGTGACCTAAGACTTACTTGTCCTGACCTAAAAATGGTAAAAATGTATAAATCAGAAAAACAAACAAGCTCATAAATATTTTTTGTATTTAGTAGTTTTTCTAAAACATCGGTTCATCTGTTTATTCAATGTGAATATACTACGGTCATGTACATTTGTTGATATAGGAAACGGAAGGAAAAATATGAGCATGCGCCGCGGTAAGGAAATTCTCCGTTCAATCATCAAGTCAACAGCCGTAAACGAGTCTTCGTTTACTAAGTTCATAATGTTGTTATATTAGATTAAACAATAAATCATTTTTAATGCAAAAACTTTATTTAACAATTATATTTAAAGATCAATATGATTATCTACATATTTTCAATGATATCTTTACATGCAAACATCAAAATTTAAACAACAGCATAACCCAGGAATTACCTTGTACAAAATTAGATATAGTCTATTATTAGAACAGAGAATAACCTTACCGCGGCGCATGCTCATATTTTTGCTTCCGTTTCCTATATCAACAAATGTACATCTCGCTCATTCTCAATAAAACACAGCATTTTATGTTCCACTGGGTATAGCTCTTATACGAAGGTTTTTCTTGAGGTCAAAATGTCGTTAGAAAGGTGGCTGCCACTTTGTCTAATAGGGACACTCTCAGTTTTACATTTCTATCTGTTATTTTTCTTTTACAAGTACCATTAATGCCCTAAAATGTAACATACGTTACTGTCGCCACCTATAATTTTCAACTTTGAAATTATGTTTCAGAAAAATAAGTTCCAGAATAAACGAAACATGTGCAATTAGTCATTGCTGTGTGTGTATATGAACTTTGATTATTGGTAAAAAATTATATTTGACTGTTAAAATCGCATTGGTATAATGGATGATCAAATGTCGCCAAATGCATATAAATAAATAGTGACAAACCTAAAACATTAAGAAGTGAAACCCAAATTACATAATTGAATCGATGCATGCTTAATAATACAGCATATATATGATTATAAATAAAAATAAGCTTGCAGCCTCTCAAATATCATTCTATTTTCGGAAATTTTCATTTTTTATTCAAATCTATTCAACAGCACTTTAAAAAGAAACATACGTTACCATTATTTAAGAGCCAATCCATTCAAAGAAGATTCCAAACAAGAAAGAAAATTAACATGTGTGTAACTCTGATATATTAACCACAAATTATGGCGGCTTAAACAGTCTTGCGTCATTTTTTAACCCACTTTCAATGTAAAAATGAAACATACGTTACAGAAACATACGTTATCAACTTTTTAAAATAAGTTTATAAAAAGGAAAATTGAAGTCAGAAAGCACGTATAACAGCAACATTAACTTCTATTTGACATTAGTAAGTAAATTTTTTTAACTTTGGTCGAGTTTTTACTTGTTTAAGTAACCACTGTGAAACAAACGTTACTTTTATCAAACAGACTTAATATTGTTTACACATGCATATATAAAAACATAAAATCGCATTTTATGACAATAGAATGATGTGCATTTTGATTCCTAAATAAAAAAGTCGATTTTACATGTAAGTTTAAATTCCGTGATAAAGTTCATAAATAAGCGAGTGTGAAACATACGTTTACGATCCAACTTACAATTCAACAATTTTTGAAAATTAAAGATAAAGTTGGGATTAGCATGCCTGTTATGTAACGGTTACCTTGTATTAGTTGTAAGAAGACACAAAATTGTTTTACCAAAGGAAAAGATATGTTAATAATATGTTGATGTACCAGCAGAAATGTTGAAAATATATTACAAGATATTGATGTTCTCAGCAACAACTAATTCGTTTCTGCAAAGAGCTTACTGGCCGTTATTTCATTCTATATATAATAATGTTAAAAATAATATCCATAAATATAAATTATTTTACAAAAAAATAAAATTGTTTTCTCAACCTTTACTTGCATTTGAATAAAATGGAAACATACGTGACATCCTATATGGGGATAAAATATCGAACTGCTTAGTACTAAATTTTCCAAATATTAAGGAAGTGGAAAGTTGAATGTTTTGAAAAAAAAAATGCTCATACAAAATTTGTGTATGCATTCGACCTCTTATATATTATATATGATATATATCCTTTGAGTGAAGACATAAAATAATCATTTCCAAAATTGACTATTTTTGCTTTCTACGAATATTTAACTTTGAAGAAACTGACTGAAAATTAGCAAGGTACCCAACTTCTTTGAATTTTCCTGGGTTAGAAAGTCCCTCTAGATAGAGAATTTACAGATTTGGATATATTTTACAGACATTTGTTATTAATATGCAGCCAATATGTTACATTATCAGATCTGAAATCTACGTTACCGAAGAAATACAGTGTCATTACCGAAATAAATGCCATCCTGTTACATCATAGTTTCTTGTTCAAAATATTTCTGGCAAACTTGCAAAATACCCTAAACTTTTACTTCAGCGATAAAAAATGACACAATGACAACATCAAATTTTTAATATTTTTCAACCTCAAATGCTTTATTTTATTGAGAATGGGCGATGACCGTAGTATATTCACATTATTGATAATAATTCATGGTGTATTTTTGTTTTAAAGATGTTTATAAATGAAAAGATGTTATTTCTATTCATTTTGTACATGCATTTTGTCAATGATGCTTTTTATTTTCACTTGCCCTGTCGGACAAGTGCTTTTCAAAATAACTTGCCCGGACCAAACTTTTAGTTGCCCCGGGCAGTCGGACAACCGTTAATGTCGAGCCCTGCCCGGGGGTCATTGATTTTCCCTATATGCATATAGTAAAAACTTAAAAAATCTTCTTTTAAAGAACTCAAAGAGCTATGGCTAAGATATTTAGCATCAAACATGTTCTTCTAGGTGTCTACCAAGTTTGTTCAAATAAAAGCCTTGGGGTCAAAATTGACCCCGCCCAGGGGGGTCATTGATTTTTCCCTATATGCATATAGTAAAAACTTAAAAAATCTTCTTTTAAAGAACTCAAAGAGCTATGGCTAAGATATTTAGCATCAAACATGTTCTAATAGGTGTCTACCAAGTTTGTTCAAATAAAAGCCCTGGGGTCAAAATTGACCCCGCCCAGGGGGGTCATTGATTTTTCCCTATATGCATTTAGTAATAACTTAAAAAATCTTCTTTTAAAGAACTCAAAGAGCTATGGCTAAGATATTTAGCAAATAACATGTTGTAATAGGTTTCTACCAAGTTTGTTCAAATAAAAGCCCTGGGGTCAAAATTGGCACCGCCCCGGGGGTCATTTATTTTTCTTATATGTGTATAGCAAAAACTTAAAAAATCTACTTTGAAAAAACCCAAATAGCTAGAGTTAAGATATTAAGCATGAAACATCTTTTAGTGAGTGTCTACAAAGTTTGTTCAAATAAAAGACCTGGGGTCAAAATTGGCCCCGCCCCGGGGGGTCATTGATTTTCTTTATATATGTGTATAGCAAAAACTTAAAATCTTCTTTGAAAAAACCAAAATAGCTAGAGTTTATTTATAAAGCATGAAACATCTTCTAGTAAGTGTCTACAAAGTTTGTTTAAATAAAAGCCCTGGGGTCATAACTGGCCCGGCCCCAGGGGTGTCATTGTTTTTAACTATATGTGTATAGTAAAAACTTTAAAAAAAATCTTCTTTTAAAAAGCCCAATGAGCTAGAGCTTACATGTTTAGCATGAAACATCTTCTTATGGGTGTCTACCAAGTTTGTGCAAATAAAAGCCCTTGGGTTAAATTGGACCTGCAACGTTGGTGGGGGATGGGTGTTGGGGGGACCTATATACAGGTGAGCGACCTCAGGGCCATCATGTCCCTCTTGTTTGTTTTTTTCATTAAAAAGCAGATATGTTTACTACTTTTGTGTTAATAGACTTGTGAAAAATACAGCTAGAAATCTTTGAAGTTTAATAAGACAATCTTTCAACATGCATCGGTATTATTACTAATATAAGGATAATTCCACACTATGAAACTGTTGATTAATCAAAGGGCTGCATGCTCTGTGGTATTTTCTGATCTTTGCAATCTAAATCATACTATCTGTATGTATTTTCCTATATAAGTTTATGTTTAGCTCGACTTTACGAAGTATATGGAGAGCTGTCCTACTCGCCCCGGCGTGGGCGTCCGCGTCCATATTTCAGATTAAAGTTTTGGTGCAGTAAAATATTTTTCACTATTATAACTTTGTCATTTCTTAAGGTATCAACTTTAAACTTCAAATATATGTTCCTTATCATCAACCACACCTTATGTGACAAGGGTCATAACTCTAGCACCAATATTTTCAGATTTATCTCCCCTTGAACTTAGAATTTTCCTTAAAAAATACTATTTTTTACTGTAACTTATTTATTTCTTAAGGGATCACCCTCATACTTCAAATATATGTACCTTATCATCATCCCCATCTTATGTGACAAGGTTCATAACTCTAGCACCAATATTTTCAGATTTATCTCCCCTTGAACTTAGAATTTTCCTTAAAAAACATTATTTTTTACTGTAACTTATTTATTTCTAAAGGGATCAACTTCATACTTCAAATATATGTACCTTATCATCTTATGTGACAAGGTTCATAACTCTAGCACCAATATTGCAAGAATTATCTCCCCATCAACTTAGATTTTTTTACTAGAAAAATGTTATTTTTTACTATAATTATTTTAGTTTTAAAGGTATCTACCTCAAACTTCAAATACTTATTTCTTATGATCAATTACATTTTATGTGACAATGTTCATACATCTTGAATCAATATTTACAGATTTATCTCTCTTTGAACTTAGGATTTTCTTTAAGAAATATTATAACTTATTTACTTTTTAAGGTATCTTTGTAACTTCAAACTTCAAATACATATTTCTTATCATAACACACATGTTGTGTGACAAGGTTCATAACTCTAGCGTGACTTTTTCTAGAATTATTTCCCCTTGATCTTGGAATTTATGTTAACAAATGTTATTTTTTTACTATAACTTAATACATAATTATACATAATTGATTTTTCTTTCATAGTTTTGTCCTCCTTACTGCGTCCAGTATTTTATTAGTCGAGCTTGGCTGTCTCCTGTGACAGCTCTTGTTATATACTATAATTCATCTTACGCAGCGACTGCGTTAAGATTTTTTTTCTATAACAGTTTGAGATTGATACATATGGAATTTTGCATGACTAGAGTTGCATCAAAAATCATTTTTTATGACAGCCACACTTTATCCTTGCATATTGTTGCTACTTCCTTAAAAAAGACACTTCAAAAAAAAGTTGCCTCGACTAGGATTTGAACCTTAGGCCTCTCACACCCTAAACGAGCGCGATACTCCTGCACCACAGTGAAGTAATACGTAATATGTAGCCTGAATAAAAACAAATTTACATTGTAATTCTAAATTGAGAATTTCCATTTCGTGTTTGTAATCCTTATCAATTTCGAGGTATTTTGTTCACGATAAACCTGTTTAACACTGATAAAAATAATTTAGCGAAAATCTTCTCGCCAAAACAGTCCGACATTTATATATTCCACTACTCGGCAGTCAGATTTATTTCTGTACTACGCCCTGGAGTATTCAGTAATCGACATAGCTAACAATAGCATTTTCATTGATTAAAATGATATTCATCCGCGAAACTTGTGATCGTAACCTCATATTTCTATTGACTAATCTGAACTTTCAATGCACTGTAATTCGTTAAATGCCTACATTAAAAATTATTCTGTCTTTTAAATTGCTGGTTTTTAAGCAGTTTTGAGTGAGAACTACTTTGCGTTGTTAGGTCTGTTAGGAAATTTTGTGTTAGACCGTGGATGTTAGCTACATGTATGTATTTACTGATCTTGCGATCAGAAAATACAAAAATGAATATGTATATCTTAATTCTTATCTATAATTTAGTCTTAAAATTTTATATAAATGCCTTGAAGTACTTGCATGACTATTATATGGCTGTTTGTGTTTTGATAAGAGTACTTTGATCTATTATTTATCATTTGTATTTGGCTTTCAAAAATGTTACAAGAATGGATCACAGCATTTCTGTACAATCTTGGTCTAGCAAAATCTATTCGAGACAAAAGAATTTCTGGAACAAGAAATTCTTAAAGGAAAGGCTTGAAATGATGCACCAAATTGATTGATCATAATTTGAGACCCCAATTCCCCCTACTCCAACCCCTCACCCCCCCCCCCCCCCACACACACACACACCCAATCACACACTTGCAAATTTTTAATGTAAATAGAATTAAAGTGAAAATTGAATTTCTTCAAACTATATTTAATTATAACACTTGTTTGTTTTTATTTTTTCAGCTTGTACAGGTGTTAAAAGCAAATCTGCTAGGAAACGAAAGAAACAACTGTTGAAACTTAAGAAACCACCAGTTGCAAGTCCAGCATCTGAAAATGTGAAGAGAAAGTTTGCTCAATCATTTCAGGTATTTCTGCTAGTTTTAATAGACAACGATTGAAATGAAAGTAAACAAATTAGTTTTACATTAAACTTTATTTTGACATTCCATATTTTGTACTGAGTTATATTTAGATATTTATATAAATGTTTTGAGTATTTTCTGGTAAAACACAATTAATGTTGAAATGAAAGCTTTCCACATGTAAATCATCATGACTCATAAAATGTTGGATTTTAATGCTAAATACTGACACAATACAGACTTGTGTCACTTTGTTGATATACAAGAGAACTCATGAAAATCTTAATTTTTGAAATTGTATGGCCTAGAGATTAGGTGCATTTATTAAGCATGTAGCATCGATTGAATACCTCTACTAAAGTGAATAATCAAGCCCTATTGACAAAATACATGTAGCCCCATCCCAGTATGACCAAATGACCTACATGTACTTCTGCATCGAATAATTAAAACCTGTTTAGCAGTAGTTCTCAGGTGAGAGATCTAGAACCATCCTAGACATCTTGTTTAACCCTTTACCTCATATATATGCGAAACAACGCACTTTCGACCCCCCTCCCCTTTTTTAGGCCTGAAATAGTGAAAAAATGTCCTATTTGGGCCCCTAACACATGTTTTCATTTGAGAAATGTTGCTAAAAAAGTGAGCACTTTTTCGGCGCCGCCCCCTATTCAAAAGATACATCAGGGGGTTGCTAGAAGGGGGATGTGCCCCCTTCTGTTTGGGGGGTTTGAAGGGGGGCGGAGTCCCCCTCATCGCCAAGAAAATTTTGGACTTGTGAGAGGCTAAAAATGACCCCATGTCGATCATAAGGTAACGTGTAACCAACGCTTAAAAGCCTTTGACTCTATCTCAATCCCTTGAGAAGTTGCAGCACTTTGAAATAAATTTTGATGGAAAAAATCGAGGCAAAATAGTGATTTTTGGCAATTTTGAGATGTCCCCTCGTTGCCATGGTAACAGGAAATTTAAGACAGAGCATGTCGTTACAAAGGCAATGGCCCAGTCAACATTTGTGCCAAGTTTGATTAGTATTGAAGCATTTTTCATAGTTTCATAGCAGTTTGAACTTGTAACAGGAGGCTTTTCAGTGAAAACGGCCATTTTTCGCAATATGCTCATGAGGGAAAGGGTTAATATTGTTTTAAATGAAAAAAAGAAAAAAGAATCACCTATGAACATAATATTGTTGTTAATACATATTTAGACATCTATGCATAAAATGCATTATTTTAGTACATAAATACATTGGAATATTTCAGGAATTACAGAGTGCTAGACTGGAATTTCATGACTATAACATTGATTCTAAGTACACATGTCCTGTGTGTCTAGAAATGTACCACATGCCAAGCATTTGCAACCCGTGCAGTCACGTGTTTTGTGATCCATGTCTACGCAGAATGACCAGTCAAGGATATGAGGGCATTCCCTGTCCACTTTGTCGGACGGTGATTTCTTCCTGCCAGCTAGATAATGGTGAATAATTTTATCCCATTATTTCTTACATTGTTTAAATGCCTTGATTTTCGGAACTTTCATTTTGAATTTTGGCTATATCAAGGTGAAACTTTAACGTAAGACAGCCAAAGGTCTTGTCAGACTTATGGAATATGCAGGCCGATCTGACTCTTCACTGGTGGTAAAGACTTATCACATTCGATTTTGGTCAATGGTCATATTCCGATGTGGTCATGACAAATGAATTTTTTATATCATTATGCGCTTATTCTTTTCGTTCAATTTGATATACTATGAAATATATTACTCCGTATATTTACGTTTATTTACGGTGGTACTCTTTTCGGCTATAGATCTGCACAATTTGGCGTAACTAATGAACAATTTTTGGATTTAATTTTTTTTACTTTCCCTGCTTATGGAAAAGGGGAATAAAGCATCAAATAGGATACTATCACCTGCTTTTGATTTTTAAGGGGTTTAAACCCAAATTTGTCATCGAAAAATCTGAACGAAAACAAAAAATTGGCCACCCTTTTAAATCAAACTAGTATAATTTTGACTTTTTTGTAGAATAAATGACGTTCCCATTTTAATTTGGGGAAAAATATTCAAAAAAAGGTACGGGAACACCCCAAAAAAAAAAATTTATCTGAAAAATGTTGGGATTTTTAAAAAAAAAATTTCACTTTTTTTTTCAGAGGGGGGACGATATGCGGGTTTAATAAAAGTACCCTGAAATTTACCACCACTCCCCATTTTAGAACGAAATCCCAAATTTCGCCTTATCGCCCCCTTTTACACAGAGCCCTTTCCCCCCCTTAGAAAAAAAACTAAAATGCGTCAGCTTTAGAATCGAATAGGAACAGCCAATAGATATTCAATGGGATGTCACTGACTGTTTAAAAGTTTTCTTATTTGGGCTGGCACAGTGGGCCACTCTCCATATCGTTACTGATAATGTTGTTCAACCGTGTGAAATCGGTACGTGATGCAAGGGACGTAAATATTGTGTTCCTCTCCATTCTAATTGGAATGTCAGTGACGTTTCTTATTTTCAAACATATAAAAATATGAACTTAGTTGTAAGGATGATTTGATTAAGAAAATGATTGTTAAATGCAAGCATGTGTAAGGATTTTCCAAGGCGCCTGTGATAGTGTGAACTTTATTTGTTCATTTTTGTTAGTTCTTAAGCATAGGTCTAAAGCAGATACATAATGTAAGACATATATTTTGTTTTATTTTTCCATAAAAAATATTTACAATTAGAAACACACATAATTTTAAATGTTATGTTACAGAATTACAATATTTTTTTTATTTTAAAAATTTGGGTTCCCCAACTCGAAACTTAAATTTTACTTTTCATTTGTCACCCCCTTCATTTTAAAAACCCGGAAAAACCCAGGGGGAATTCTGACCGGGGTAATTTAAATTATAATTTTGTTTATTTCAAGGGTTTTAAATAACTAAGGTAAAAGTTTTTACAACCATTATTTTGTTGTTTTTGTTTTTAAAAAACACCCCAAAAAAGTTTTAAAGGGTTTTTTGGTTTATTCTTTTAAAAAAAATCACCAAATTTAAAACCTTTGCGATGTTTAAAGACCAAAAAGGGGGAATTTTGCGCCCTTTTAAAGAAGGTTAAAACCTCCCTTTTTTTAACCTCCCCCCCAACGGAAAATCAGGGTTTCATGAATTTACAAAAAACAGCTTTAAAACTTTACAGGACGTCGACTTTTCGCCTGGTCAGATACCATATTGCTCGGCAAAAGTTCATATACAAATGTATTATAAAAATAAATCAAAGCACTGAAAGTACTGAAGTATACATTGCTTGATAATATAATCCATTTTTGACATCAAAGCCATGTTGATTTTAACCTACTGACTCGAAAACAATAGGGGGATCATCTTCTGACCAAGATTCAATGTCCGTAACAAGTGATTCACATGCACCAAGGCTTTTTTCTTCAAAAGTTTTTATGAGTCAAGGAAGATGTAATGTTCCATCTGTGTATTGCTAGGACAAGCTGATAGAATGAGCCAATAAAGAAATCATTTTTTGAAACCACCCCGTTAAATGGACTGCAGTATAGAATATTGAAACAGTCATATTGAGTTTCCAGTGATGCATCTTGATAAAATACCATGATCTGTTTGAACTCTATACCAAAAGTCAATTAATTGAATCATCCTACAAGTTTGTTTGTTTGTTTCTTTAATTTTACGCCTTTTCCAACAGTATTTCAGTCATATAGGCGGGTAGTTTCCTAACCATCGTTCCTGGAGAGTTACACCAGTACTAGACTACCTTCCTCCGCGCTAAACTACCAAAGCGCATCTCCCGGGGATCGAACCCACGCCAGAGAGGTAATTGGATTAGAAAGTCATTGACTCTAACCCCTCGACCACGGAGGCGGTATGAATCATCCTACAAGACTTAATTACCAAATTACAGTACATCTATGTACTGTACTTTGATGCAATAATAAATATATTCTGGTGTGTTGTATTAATCTCTACACATTAATTTTCAAATGCATTACTTTATCGTTAATTCATAAAAATGAAATCTATAATCACAACAATTCAAATGTACTGTAATATTTTCATTATTCAATAATTGTTACATATAGTCTTCATGAACAACCTTTCGAAAAAAATCCATATATATTGGACAGCAAGTTAACAAGGGTTTTTCCATAATCAGGTTGTGTTACCAACTTCTTAACTTTAGATGAACCATTGAGCTAAAACATTTTTTTTTCTATTTTTTGGCTACTGTGACATACTTCTGATTTTCAACCAAGGTGATCCATGTTCAAACTCGAGCAAGCAACCTGTCACACACATTCTTACGATGTTGTGTGACATTTGGACAAAAGTGTGACCAGTAGAGTGTTAAAAAACTAAATGACCAGCAGATTGTTAACAACTGTAATGTCAGCATCGGATACACGTGGTTGATACCTAACTGATTAAATGTTAAATGGTTCGGCCGTGGGTATCCGACGATGCTAAATGTGGACAGACCAGAGTTGACATAAGATGGGATGGCCGACATTCAACAATCTAAAACCTCACCTAGCCTGGGATTCAGGCGTTGATAGCTTTTGCTTATTCATAACATTTTTTGTTCATAACATATGCGCTTAATATTCCGTATTCGTTCGTCGTTTTGATAGTGTCGATTTTGCCAAACAGAAACATAACAAAAAATCGACAGACTGGAACCCAGCTAACCTCACCCTGAGCTAGCCAACCTATAAGTTTCACCACTGACTTTTTTCATACTGTACTTATTTCAAAAAATAACTGACATTTTACAAAGGTAATAAATTCTATGTCATAGTTATCATTTAATTTAAACGATTGAAAATGTATTTTAGTGCAGCATTTTTTTAAAAAATATATCTAGTATTTTATTGCAAGTAAAAATGTGTTGTTTGTTTATTTATTATTTCTATGTTTTTGACGCTAGGCAGTATCATAGCCGATAAACAATTTCATACAATGTTTATTACAAAAAAATAATACTGATAATTTTCATTTCTTACACATAAAATATAAATGTTATAATCATTCATTTAGACGGTTAAAAATTTTATTTAATAGTTCTATTTTTGAAATGTCCATTTCATCGCAAGTAAAATGTGTGTGTTTTTTTTTTTATTTTGGGATTTTCCATTTTTTTGACGCTAGACCGATACGTAGCCGAAAAACACTTTCATGCTGTATTTATAAAAATAACATCACTGACATTTTACATTGGTAACAAAAGAAAGTAATAGTTATTCATTTAAAAGGTCGGAAAAAAAAATAGCGGCTCTTGTTTTAACTACGACTATTTTAATGCCCGTAAAAATGTGTTTTCCGGCTTTTCCATGTTTTTTTGACGCTAGACTGTAACTTTGCCGAAAAAACACTTTCATATCGCATTTAATACAGAATAGAATCATTCTCTAATTTACACTGGTTGCAAAAAAGAAAGTAAATTTTAATCATTTAAAGGGTAGAAAAAAGTAGATAAAACTTATTTTTGTTGGAATTATACCAATTGTATATATCATCGATTTAAAACTGATATTATTGAACCCATTTTCATCAAATAACCGACAAAAAACCAATTTCATCAAATAACCATCAAAAAATGGTTTATATTGCTGAATTAATATTTCTTTGTATTTTAAGTGTTTTTCGGTATTTTTTTGGTGTTTTTCGGCAATTAATTATAAGCAGATAAAAATAACATAATGTATTTATTTCTTAATGCTTACACTGATTTACAGTTTCAAATGATTATTTCTTCTCGTCGAATCTTGCCACATATGCCTATATTTAGCTCCATACGTCAATATCCCAAGTTCGACGAATTGTAATGGGTCGAACGGTCGAGCGGCCGAATCTTTATTTTTACCCGTACTGAATCAGGCAATCTTCGCTGAATTTCGAAACATATTTCTTTTCAAAAATCTAAGGCATACAAAAGTGAAAGGAAAATCATGTGTAAAAAAGGTATTCAAAAGAATAGCTTACGAAATTTCTATTTTCGAAGTCACGATAATTGCCAGTTTTAAAAAAAAAAAAAACAACATTTTCCGGTATACGCTGGTAAATTTTGTGACGGTGCTCCATACTCATTTTGTAAAACATTTTAGGGCAATTTTTATTGCATAAATGTAAATCAGGAATTTTATTTGATTTAATATCTATCTGAGATGTTTCGTCCCATTTATATAATACACCGATATACACTTTTAGAACTAGCAGACGACAGGCTATTCTTATCATTGCGTATCTCACTGTATAAATCGCATGTAAAATGGTCTGACATATGGTAGGTTTAACAGTTAATTTAAATACTTTGGAGTCAAAAGATGTATTGAAGTTTATATTGTGATGAAGCTAAGATCCAAAGCTTTCTATTGGTGTAATACATTTTAAAATCGGACATTTAATCACAACAAAACTAGCGGTTTAAAAAAAGCTTATTTTGTATTGTTTTAGCATAAGCGCTGACGACTTTACTATATTTACGATGTATTCATTCTTGCTAGCAAGCGCATGCGTATATGCGAAGTTTAACGCGTAGGTATAAACTACGATTTTATCAATGAACTGTTATTTTTTGTTTTCTTTAAAGGAATGTAGAGTCTATTATTTCATGAAAATGAACGATTTGGAAATTTCAAAGCATTTAAACAACTTTGCAAAACACTATTTTAATGATGTGTAGTCGGAATGTAACGCTACTGCAGAATGAAGAACTAGTTTCTATAGCGGTTTTTATCCGGGAGTGGATGTTGTTCGGTAATGCATTAAACCTGTATCTTTTCTGAGATATAGCTTATAACTCTGTATACATTGCAAGCAATGTATACAATAAAGATGAGGCTAATTGCATCACATTTGGGAAACGGTATATCAGCAAGTTTTCATACATCTATATGTCTGTTTCTAACCAATATCCCTGGGTGAGAAATTTTTGTATTGCTTGACCCAAAGTGATTTTAAGAAATATATTTATAGATGTCGTGTTGATGTTACTGGAGATATTTGGCTTAATTATTGGCTAAGTTGTATCTAGACCTCTTCATGCAGTCAAAGCGATCGCGTACGGTCTAGCCATACCAGGGCTATATGAATTTCTCGTTCTTGAGGTTTTTGTAGGCTGTGTATTATAATTGAGCTGAAAAGAAGAAAAGTGAAACTATTAATAGCATATGTAAAACATCAAAAAATACCATCACATAATTATTAAGAACTATTTCTATACGTTTTTAATTTTGCTTTCTCTTTCCATTAAAAAATCTAGAGCGAACTCTAATAACTCTAACTATATTAAATGGACTTGTCCATCTTTGAATCTGGAAGGTACCATTTATCTTTTTAGGGAAATTTACTGACTGAACCCCATAATCGGACGGCATATACGTGCTGACTAATCTTGCAGACAGTTGGTGAAGTTAGAATTTGTTAAATGAAAAGAATGATTTAAGAAATTTGTGAAATTTAGGTAGTAAAATTGTAAACATTATATCAACTGGTGGGCATGCAAGTAGACTAAGCTGTGCTGTGTTAATGACCATATCCCAAAGTTTACTCCTCAACTTATTGGTTGTTATCGTGGGCTCATCTTGAGTAATTTGTCAACAAAAACAGTGATTTTAAAAATGCTTTATCACTGCGGTATACCGTACCCCGGATATTGCTCGATATTATGAGGACTTTCATCCCATTTCGCGACTTTGAACGGGGAACGAAGGTTAGTTCAGCGACGATATTTTCCAAACTAATGGCTATTTCATTTCTCTCAACGGGTTTTATATATCTAGAGGTATTTCTGTAGCTCTAAAAGACGTAAAAGTATTACAGGTATTTGTAAAATTGATTAAACTACCCCTAAACGATCCGCTGCTCACTAGAAAATACTGACCGCGATACTGTAGAATCGTTAGAAATTATTATATCACCAATATAAAAAAAATTGAATCGAGCATTTTTTTTATTCTCAATCCAAGTATGCCTTGTCCAAATTTCAGGCAAAAAGTGTGAAAGTACAAAAAGATACAGGCCAAAAAAGATACAAGAAAGTGTACCGAGTATTGATTTTAAGTGTACAGAGTATTGCAAAATAGCCCAACTTTAGTGTACAGAGTATTGCAAAACAATATGAGCACATTAGTATGGAAAATCGATATTTTTGTCTAATTTTCACGTCTGTTTATCGATTCAATTTCATTTTTCTGATAATGTACTGTTTATATGATATTTATTCAAATATTTCAGATTCAACAATGCATTTTCAATTTTTCATTGTTATTCCTGTTCTTTTCCTACTGGCAAATGCAGAGATTTAATTTCCCATTTGATTGAAAATCACACTATGGATGAAATAAAGTGTGTGCAGGGTCGAAAGCAGGGTAGAACCATCAAAATTGACGATAAAAAACTTTAAATACATGTCTCAAGAAACTTTGATAAAGAAGACCCATCTCTGAAAAGGACAAGAATAAAAAAACATATTTAGATGACATTAATAATAGGTTTTTACAGGGCAAGTTTGACTTAAGAAACATATCGACGCACTTCATAAAATATTGGCCAGAGGGCTTATGCCGCCCAAGCATGCCGGTATCGTCTTAACCTTTTACTGCATGAGCATAATGCAAGTTCAAACTGCTATGAAACGATAAAAAATGCTTCAATACTGATCAAACTGGGCACAAATGTTAGCTAGACCATAGCCTGTGGAATAGCATGCTCAATTTTAAATTTTCAGTTACCATGGCAACGGGGGGGGGGGGGCGTCTCAAAATTGCCAAAAATCTCTATTTTGCGTTGTTTTTCCCCATCAAAACTGATTTCAAGGTGCACCAACTTCTCAGTTGATTGAGATAAAGTCTAAGGTTTTCGGCGTTGATTACACGGTACCTTTAAATCGACCTGAGGCCATTTAGCCCCCCCCCCCCACAAGATCCAAGTCTTCTCGACGATTAGAGGGGCTGCTGCCCCACTTCAAACCCCCAAACAGAAGGGTGCACATCCCCCCTGTGTAACCCCCTTGATATACTTTTTAATGGGGGTGGCGCCGAAAAAGTGATCGCTCTTTTGAACAACATTTCTCAAACGAAAAAAACAGTGTTGGGGGCCTATATAGGAAACGCTGCGCTATTTTTACACTAGGCCTCAAAAGGGATGGGGATGTAAAGCTTTCAAAACACGCCTTTATGAGGTAAAAGGTTATAAGGAACATAACCTTTTTATTGCATCTGCTGCCCTTTATCATAATCTTATCAAAATCCATTATTCGGTTTTTTTGAGCTGTACTTGCTCGGCAGTCATACGGAAACCTTTGCTAAGGCGTAACAAAATTTCACGTGCAGACGGTCTGCCGTTGCTAGAGTGCAGGTGCAAAATGCCCGAAAGTTACCTTTATATGGATTTTTGGCATAGTAGGAAGTCGGTTGATATTAGATATTGGTACACTTGCTCAATACCGTCTAATATTGACAATCTTGAGGAAGTATTAATGCACTTTGGATGTTTTTTTTACTATTTAAAGTAAGATATGCAATAATTTTTAACAAATTCTGGAAAGGTTGATCCTTCGATAGCAACGAGAACATTTTAAACACAGAAAACTGAGATTTTTCACGAGCAGGAATGAAAATCTGGATTATTCGCAGATATTTCCAGTAAAGTACCTCCGAATTCTGCATATTCTGCACATATAGTGTAAATAAGTATACACAGTAAGAAATATTTAAAATTAAATGTGGTAAATACTTTGTGTTTACTGCTTGCATTTACTCTTTATTGATAACCAATACTCGTTACACTCAAAAGCAATACTCGTGACACCGGCGGGCAACTCCAAAGCAATACTCGGTACACTGACATGTGTATTTATTCTCAAAATGCACTGTCGTCTGAGGTTTTATTGTTGATTGAACATTTACAACATAAACATTATCATCATTATCACATTTCACTCGATTCAAGTTTTTCTTTTAAGGATGTATATGCACAAAACATCAAAATTGACTGATCCGAGCTCATTTATCACGTGAGCAAAGAGTCGAATTTTACCTCCTAATTACATTTCAAAGCTATTTCTCAACATTTTTGGGGTTTCATTAACTAGAGAAATTATCGAAGTATTTGTATTTCTACAAAATTTATATCTAACCAATTCAAAATGACTAAATATCGTCACTTAACATACCTTCTTTCCTCGTTCAAAGTCGCGAAATGGGATGAAAGACCTCATAATATCGAGCAATATCCGGGGTACGGTATACCGCAGTGTTTATGCTCAGAAAACAAAACCAATTTGTTATCAACGGAAGTAATCCGAAAATACAACATAAGCAAAGGTTTTTAATTTCACCTTGCGTAAAAGTGGTTTCAGTTACCTTTTAAATAAATATGCATTACGTCGTTTTACAAAACCGTTGATGACGGCGACGAAGGTGGTGATATATCAATTCCTAGTTCACTTAGGTCAATGTCCCAGAAACCACTAGGAACCTTTTTCATTTGACCTTGAACTTGATTTGTTCCATTCACTTCCACCGAACTTTTAACGCTTGTATCTATGTCATTGTCAGTATTGTGAACGTCATATGCCTTTATATTTCTTAATTCGTTGTGTAAATTTTCCCATAAAGTCGAATTACTTATCCAAATCGGGGCATGTTTTGGACTTTTGGTTGCCTCCGAATTTGGTAAAATTTTATCCGAATCCGAGTTGACGTTCACTTCCGGTTCAATTTTAGACTGGTCTTCATGCCCATCCCATATAGGATCGATTTTTGATGGATCTATTTGTCCGTCCCATATTGGGTTACTTTCAGATGGTTGTACTTCTTGATGTTGAGACTGTATCCATAAGGACCCAGCCAAGGATCCGGAGTAGGTCGACTGACTTCCTTGGTGCTGTATAGCTCGCTGAAACACCGAAACATGAACGCTCAAGCTCACTGTCTGTTTATTATATATAGTTAGTGCATTAAAAACTTAAAGAAATAATCGTATGTGCGCCAGGTTCGTGCATTGACATTTGAAACGACTGATTTTGGTGTACAATTTTATTAATTCTAACAAAGTAACAAATATATAACAAATTTACAAAATGAGACCAATTATTTACGCTATATAAATTCTCAGACAGACGTTCTGATTGCCATAGTCGGTAATGATTGTCTGATATTAGTTTGTTTTCAAGCTTTGAAAGTAGCTCAAAATTGTCCGCTGTTCGACATTAAAACAGCTCAGAATTGCCGCCTGTTTGACACTTTATAGCGATGTATTAATACTATTATTTCATTTTATCACATTGTATTGTTTCGTTCAATTTACAAATTTGTGCTTGGAATTCAATTGTGGCAGTGCAATGAAAAATACAATTATCTAATTCCACCACCGCTTTTTAACAAGTGTTATTTTGCAAAGCAAAGCTGTGCATGACTGATAACTGTGTTAGTCATAATATCCGGTCGACTTGTCCAGCCACTTCATGCTATTAGTATTTCCATTATTTGATGCTGTGCTTAAATGTCCATTACTCAATTTATGTTCCAGTCTAAATGTTTGTAAGAGTTGTCTTACTTTGATAATCCTTGCGCGCTTCCGGCGCTCGCGCACAATGCAGACGACAACAATCGTAACGACAACTGCTACAACAACAGCAACACAAGCGACGGATATTCCTACAATAGCACCGGTTGATAAGCATTCTGGCATGCTTTCATCAGTTCCATCCGGGCAGCTCGGATGTTGGTCGCATTGTAAAGAACGCCGTATGCAGTGTGAACTCGATTTGCATTGGAATTCATCTTGGGTGCATGGCGCTGTAAAGCAACAGTAATTTAAGTAATGTGCAGTTTAGTATATTTAGCAAGGATTTTTTATCGACGCTTGCGGACACGTGAAAATATTTGACATGCGAGTTTTTAATGCGTGGGTATAATTGCGCAATCATGTGCGATGTAATTATATTACGTTTGTACAAGACAAATGATTTTTCTAGCGTCATTATTGGGTATGAATTAGTTTACTATAAATGGCAGTTTTAAATGGAATATGAGATTTTAATAAGTTAAACACAGCTATTATTTCAGGCAAGTTTTGATTGTAATGCAAATAGATATATATGTCTTACCGTCACTAAAAGCTGTTATCACAAGTTTCATTCCACTCCCGGAAATCAAGTCAGTATTGCTGACGAATCTCATTACGAAAAATCGACCGGAAGTCAAAATGTACTTCTTTTTTGGTTTCGTGCACACCGTCGCCGGCAAATCTAGAAAAATGAAATAATGTCGTGTAATATATGGTGAAACAAATAAAGCGCAAACAAGGCAAAAATATATAATGGACCACTTGACAGAATCAGTTAAACATTAACGATTTATTTTAAAAGATGGAAAGATAGGAGGGCTGTAAGACAAAGTTTATGTAGACATGAAATACTGCGGATTCTACATTTCATATGATTATATGAATTTCATGATTGATGTCACTCTGTTTTACACTTGCACATCTATAATAATAACATTGTCAACATTTAAATATAAGCCGTTTCGGAATCTTATACTAAAACTTACCAGGGTGGATAATTGAAGATTCTGACGGCCCGTCAAAGAACTGAATATAATCACCACCTTGACACAAAACTTCTTGTTTGCCGTCAATGTCAAGGTTTTCTATGTGGATTACCAAGCGTTTCCCTTCCGGCGCTTGTATTCGCATTGCGCAGCGCATGCCGTCCAAGTACTTTGACGATTTTGTCAGCCTCAGTCTGACGGACTCGGCATTTCCGTGATTAAGTGCAAGAGTTTGGCTACAGTGCTCTTCAACAAAATCTAAAGGAAAAAAAAGGCAACGTAAATGATATTATTTCGTATTTCTAGCGTGCTGACAATGGCATTCCATAGTCAACTATGGAGTGCCGGTAGGGACATGCCAATCTGCTTATTTGCCAATTGCTTGTTGGCAGACTTAAACTTTATACCAACACACTTTGAAAACACAAACATTATAGATCTAGTTTAATTTATGTAGTTACTCTTGACTTAAATACTTAAATGTAAATTTAGATTAATTTACCATTTAAAGTATCAATAATATAATTTATGAAATGCCAGTCGTAACTTTTCCAGGCGGAGAAATTAGGATTTAGTAGACTAATTTTACTCTATCACGTTCATACGGAAGCGTATCAGGGCCTACAGTTGGTGAGATGTTTTGCGCTAAGTCGACTTATTTTTATTCGCATTGATAAGATGTTTTTGTATTTCTAAATAAAATTTACTGACAAAGATAAGAAGCTTTTATGCATTGCAACTGAATTTTTCTCGATATGTTTGAAGCTTTTGCCTCTTCGACAAAAATCCTGTCAAAACTTCTTGATTTCACGACTTTGCTGAAATATATAGTAAGACGCAAAGACGTTACTCGCATTGACAAATAGCTCACGTAATTCAACAAAGTTTTTTTTGCAATGATTAGAACCTTCTACGTATTACGTATTAATCATAACGTCTTCATGGAATGTTTTATGTATTACGTATTAATCATAACGTCTTCATGGAATGTTTTTGGTCAAATCGAGAAGAAACAAGTTGACATGACGTGAAACTTTTAGATAAGAGGAGGCCCTGATAAGCTTCCGTACGTTCATTTGTATTTCTATTTTACCAACTGAAAACAGTTTATTATCGTCATACTTTCTCATAAAGAAAATCGATTGCACCAAACATGTTTTATTAAATTAGTTTTTCGAATTTTCCAACATACTGTATGTTTATCAACTTAGTTTTGATTCACATTTGATTGGAATTTATTTTATAAAAGCCTACGTAATTAGTAAACGCCATTTTCTGACTCTATATAGTTTCTTAAATTCTTATATATGTATTAAGATATATTATATATTTTTGATGTATAATTCAACAAAAGCCGTAATTAAATCATTATAAAGTCTACACAAAACAGAAAAAGAATTCAAATGATAGATAATAATAATTTATATCAACTTACATTCTGGAATAGCCGACTTTGCTAGTTGTGTACAATAACAAATAATCCCAACGAGAAAATAAATCATAATTTTCGCTTCCATTATCACAGTCCAAGCTTTGTTTTTAAAATAAACATTTAATTAAAATGAAGCAATTAAGTGACCACTCATTTTCCTCAGATGTCGTAAATTCATAACTTGACAGGAGAAATTAGATCACGCATGGCCAACACTGTCATGTACCATAACTGGTCGGTGACTTCTGACTGCAAAACTCCCTATTTCATAGCTTCAGGGAGAATATTTGATATGAATGTCAGCGGTTAAAGTATTTCATTGCGGCAAATTTTTAATGACGACCTTACATGTAAATATCAGTTGTCAATAACTTATTAATTAGATCATTTCAAAGTCACGTGTTTTTTTTTATCAAGTTCGAGAGTTAAAACTTAAGAATGTTGCTGTCAAATTTTCGGGTTTTGGGTAAGATGTATGGTTGACCTCGGTCAGTTAACGCTTTAAGTAGACATGAAGGCTCGAGCACCAAGACAGCATGGGTCGTCTGCTTTAGAAAGAAAGAGGCAAAGAAAGAAAGAAAGAATATGAAAGAAAGAAGGAAGGATAGAAAAGAAAGAATAAATAGGAAAGAAATAAAGAAAAAGAAAGAAAGAATGATGAAAGGATAGGAAAGAAAGAAAAAGGGAAAGATAGGAAAGAAAGAAAGAAAGAAAAAGAAAGAAGGAATGAAGGAAGGATAGGAAAGAATGAAGGATAGGAAAGAAAGAAAGAAAGAATGTGTTTTAGAGCTTAAAAAGTATATGAAATAATAAAAATAACTTTTGATTTTGCCGATTCTTTTTAGAATATTGTAATTAAATTTTGATGCTGTTCGTCTATACGAGAAAATACTTATCATTTTAACGATACATGTTCATTACCGTTTCAATTTACAATCTTTTTATTTCAAATGTTTAGTTGGTATATTTTCCCTTGTCATTTTTGGCGGTGCACAGGGACACGCCAAGTGGGTCAACAATTCCTTCAAAAAGATTTTTTTTAATAACCAGTCTCTATTTACTGAATCTTATTGTGTGAAAATTTGCTATTTTCTAAGCAGGAAATGACCTAGCAATATTTATAAAATGATATACATTATGTACAATAATTTGATCATGAAAGGCAATTAGGTATGTTTACAGTCTACAAACACGTTCGATCACTCAGAATATGTAAATTGTTTCAATGTTTAAAGTAAAGAATTAGAATCAGATTGCAAATAAAGGGCTACAAGTGTACTGTTGACTCACCAATTGTATTCAAACACTTTTAAATCACCTTATTTGCATAAAATAAGTTCAACAATCAGATTATTTGCATATTATAAATATCGCGTCAAGACCAAGTGAATAAAAATGTTGCGATTTCGTCCATGTAAAATGTACCGTGTGCGTGGATTTATGGTGTTAAGAAAAATGAAGATCAGATATATTCAAGATAATGGATAAAAACGGAATTATAAGTTTAAGAATATCTAATTGAACATCTAGATATTAAAGTATATACATGTATAAGTACAGCTTAAAGTAGCGAGTGTTTTATAAAAAAAAAAATCAAAATCTGCACAAACATGTTTTTTTTTTTTTCATATTCTTTAACTTCGGGACTGGAAAGGATTTTAACAATAGGCGTATTCTGTTATATCTGAAAACAGAATTAAATATTCCTTAACAAAATATTATTCAGTTTAGCGATGATTTTACGCATGCGCATGGGTCACTCGCTTAATTTTAGCTTCCGGACAACTTTGGTATGATTTGTATGAAGATAGAAATAGATATTATAGTTAGCTTTATATCTGTCTATTTTCAACAGTTCAGGATTCAGTTTTAAAAAGATGTATTTATAGCGGGCTTAGCATGTGGTTGTAGTATAAGTTTCGTAGAGCAAAATCCCTTGGTAGACAAAGATTTTAGTTGTTGCTGTGAGGTGTTGTAGAGGGGTTTTCACGATTGCAAAGTCTGACTAGGAAATGTGTACTGTTGTTATAAGAGGTTATCGCTGTACAGAGGGCCGATTGGTAGAGGTTATATTGTTCTTAAAATAAAAACGATTTGAAATTTAATGTAACAGAAAACATATGTATAAACATTAGAATACAATTACTCTCATATGAAATTAAACAAATTGTTTTGATTAACGTTTAGGGCAAAAAAAACAAAAAGGGTTCTTGCGATTTCGTTTTCATATCCAATTAACCCTTCTCACGCAAATATCTTTATTTGACATGCCCGTCTTTCATTTGGGACAAAATCATTCATCAATTTATTTATAAGTACTGAATGGATAGCGACCAAAGTGCAGACCGTGATCAGACGACATGGATATGACTGTTGTCCTTGCTCTGCACTTGTCGCGTGGGTAGAATTAGTTATTAGTAGAATTAGTAATTAGCATGCTAAACGTTACACACATTTTACTATTTCAGAGAGAAAACTTTTTTAGGGATAATTTGTAACTTAAACGTGAAGCAAATCAAGTTTGATTTGGCCTAAGACATCAACAGAAAATTAGTCGGGTTTGAGAAAAAAGGATTGTGAGCGAAGTGTGCGGGATAAATACCATTGATTTTATCCTTGAGAGTTTCAAACATACTCGAATAACCATTTTATCTAGTGCTTTAGTGAGAATGGAAAGTTTCTTTTCTAATCAATTGCAAAAACATAAACAATCAACTGATTACGATATATTTTCTTGCACAAAAAAAGTTCGTTTTTGTCCGGATAACAGCTGTAAATTGATTACGTAACGGTGTTGAAGAGCCAAGTTTCCGGCGCATAGACATGCTATGCATCTAAGGTAAAAAACTTTATCTCCAGTGGAATGGGGAAAAGGGACAAGAGTCTAACCAGGATGGGGAAGGTCTCGGAGGGTGTTCGACTTCCGGAGCTGATCACACATCTTGACAGGTTCATTATTACATCGGAAAAGGTAATGTTTATTTTTTCGCATTTCTTAAGAATTTAGTCCTATTTGTGATGAACATTATTCTTAATTCTTGTGTTTAAACTTTTTGTATTCAAGCGTGATAGCTAGACAATACAAGTAGGTTTATTTCGAATGACAGGAAATCGAAATTGCCTTCCCAGCTTTGTAATAGTGTTAATAATGAACACCTGAACAATCAACAGAAAAAGAAGTTTACTGCCCTTGGAATTCGAAATCAAAGCCTGTTATGATAGGATCACCTACCACGTTCCTGTTTCCTTAATGACTGTACCATTTGATATGCCGTTAGTGCCCTTTTACAGATAGTTTAAATACTAGTCTCGGCATATATTCGACCAAGGCGATTTGATTTTCATCATTTTATGAAAACAAATACTTGTCCAGAATACAGAGACTCTTTTTAGTGTTGACCTCTAGTCGCTTTATGACAAATAAAAAACCCAACAAATAAATCAGAATGGTTCATATTGGCTACAATCCATACAGTAATCGAATCGAAATAATGTCAAATTTTAAACATAAAACACTTTTACAGCCAGGTTGTCATAAATGTTATGTCTACAAGAATCAACACTCGGGTATTTATCATGCGTTTCTGTGTAAAAGTTAAACTGATACGGTAATAGATTTAAAATGCCATTTTAGGAGAATCACCATTTTTGTCGCTTATTGATCTATTTTCCACTTTAAACGCCGCTCCCCCACCCCCTTTTTCGACCAAAATGACCGATATTATTAAAACTATATAGCACCGGTGTAATATCGTTATAACGCCTTTACTACTTGAATATAATAGATATTTGATATAACCATTGTTTTTGACGGATTTTTGACATGTAAACAATGGCGTCACGTTCCATTTAAGGACATATTAGATAACAATATTAGTAGTTAAATGCCAATAAATATAAAACTGCTAAAACGATATTACTTATTTGAAATCAACTTTCTTTTAAAAATTTAGATATAATAATCATTAAATTAAAATGAATTCAAATTATTTTATATTCAGAAATGTGTCCACGAAAGTCTCAAGAAATTTGACGAGGAATTAAAAGGAGAAGTTAAAGCGGATATTAGTTCTGAACGAATAGTTGCAAATTTTGCTGATAGATTGTGCAATCAAACTCTCACTAACGACGAACTTCGTACAGTGTTAAAGCTATACCAATATCATCTGCACGAGATTCATGTTCTCGACGATTTATCCACAAATGACGCGTGTGAGGATATTGAAATCAATAATGGAAGCCGGTCGAAAGATGTTCGTCTGCCGAAAATAGCGAAACGACATTTGCCTCTGCGACCGACAACTCTCTTAGACCGTGTTATTGACAAACACAAAATGAAGGAGGAAATAATCATACCAACTATGGTGCTGAAGGACTCGAGTTCGAGTCAGAATTCTCATCGTACAGTAGAAACAAGTGCACAGTCTCGCGAAAAAGGACACCGTGAAAAACATTCCAGGAAGGAAAAGCTACCACATTTTAATTACGAGCATGGTGAAGGAATGGGTGCGCGGCGAAATCTTCCCGGGCAACCCGAACTTATTCGTATGCTAACGGATCCTGAATTGAGTCTTAGCGGAAACAACGGGGATAAAAAATCTCTTCCGGTCACCGAATTTAATAGGTCGAACTCGCTTTTATCGTTATACGGCGGGACTTTGAGTCCTCCACTACTCGACAAGCAGAAACAAAGAAGACCGCGAAAACGAAAAATCGTCTGCAAGTTCTGCAGACGATCACCGGGTGATCATCAGAAGTGGTGTATTTATTATAATTTTGGAAGTATTACTGAAGAAGCGCCAGTAGAATTGTCAAGGTCTCACACACAAAATGAAATAGACGTTTCCAAGAATATTAAATCGAAAGAAAATTTACAGGATCAGGAGAGATCGAAAACGTCAATGGACGACTACATGAGAAGACCGGAATTACCGGACTTTAAACCTCTCCATAGAGATGTCTACATCCGGGCGTTGGCTGATTCACGTGCGCGTCTAATTTTCCACAGATCGCATGATTTCGTTAATCAGTTGACAAAACCTTTCGTGTTTTCGTATTTTAGCAGATTAAATGGTCCAAAATGCAAAAGAGATGGAATACACGGAATGACTCGCATATTTGGTAAAGATAAAACTGATTTTACAGAATATTACAAGTTATTTGCCGATGAAATTAGGCAAGGAAATGCATAATTAGCTCTTGTAGAAAAATGTTTGGAAATTGGTGCAGATGTTCTCATCTTATACATATAACGTTTAATTTTAATTGATCAATGGCCGACCAGGATTAATTACCATGTTGTTTTTTTTCAGTTATAAACCTCAATTATACCACGTTGATATATTTTTTTTCCGAAAGTAGATATTTTTGAGTATGATGAAAGGGAAATAACTTTCATGTACAGACTAAATCAGACTAAATCTGCAATTTTCATGTAATTTAGCTGTTTTTAATGCTTTCGAGGGAACACGTTTCAAGATATTTACATGGTTTGTTAAAATTAGAAACATGGTTAATTTTTCAATGTGAGAACACAATAAATGAAACAAAAAAGAAGGATTTCTTAGATTTTTTGTAGAACACATATAAATTGTATCTCATATATTGTATATGCAAACTGATTTCATAATTTTTCTGTAAATCACTCGTATCAACAGCTCTATTTTTTATTACACCGTATATTGTTATGCTGTGATAATATTTATATCAAAATGATAGATAAATTTGTTAACTTTTATCGTTTATTTTGTTTTTCTTGTAAGTACCGCAAGTTACTCTATGGCTTTCAGTTTTGTACCACATATACTTGTCGGATCGGAAGGGCAAAACCAAAGGGTAAAATAAAACAATCGAAAACACGACAAATTAATATGATTTATCGTTTGTGTGTTTCGTACAAGTTTTCATATTTTACAAACGTAGGTTACTGGTAAACAAGTAGACAGTCTTTGTGCCGGCTCGCCACGGCGAGCCGGTATTACGTTAGGATTTTACTTAGAAACAACCTAAAACTCCGAATCCGTCCAAACATTTAATCTAAGCTTGGGTTCCAGCTTTCTACAAAATTTATCTGTCTGGGCTGGAATCCAAAATAATTAAGCCAATCAAATTTGATCTTACATAGCGTCAAAAAACCTTCAATTTTCACGCCATTTTTGAAAAGCAACAAGTATTGCTTTTAGCGCAAAGATATAATGATGATAAAATAGTTGTTTTCATGAATTCTTTTCAATAAATCATATTTACACTGACTTTTGATGTAGCGATTTCACCTGTTTTCTCTGTAGTAAGTTAAATAATTAACAATTAATTGGTTAATTAACATAAGTGTACATCTGGTTCTGTGCATATTTTCTTTTTCTTTTTTTCCGGTAATTTCATCCTTTCCGGTATTTTGTGTATGTATTTACTGGGATATATCTCCGGTCCGGTCGCTTCCGGTCTCTTCCGGTCTATTTTGACCGGGATTTACGAGACTTGAGAACTTGTACAAATCAAATAATCATGCCCCATGAATTCGCCCACACCCAAGAGAGTTCTTCAGTAATATATTCCTGTATAGGACTTGTGTTTGTCACTCATTCCAATACTAAATAACATATTACAACTTAACTTTGTATAAAGAGACATCTTTATGAATTCTACCTATCTAACATTTTTTGGTCCAGGTCAACAGGCCATATAGTTAATGTGCATAGACATAGGGACTTCATTCTATCTGTTTACATGCATCTTCATATATACTCATATTCCACTTTGTTAAACTGAGAGAACTGGCTTCCGTAACTTGATATGTCACTTTTATTTTGATGTTCGCTGAAGTCTCTTCAGGTACAGAACTGTCATTTTTAAATTTAAACACACCCCTGGAATAAAATTACGAAGCGAGTCGCTACTAGCTTTTTCAAAAGCTAACCTTGTCCGTATTATAATGAAATTTCGTTAAAGTTGCATGATGTTTAACAATAATATCGAACATTACAATATTGAGAAAAATGTAAACATGTACTAAGAATTTACGAAAAGTAAAATTATTCACAATTCAAAAAATAATTAACATGTTATATGCAATTAATAACAGATCTTGTAGGATCTACCAACATAACCTACGCTATTCTTTCGTATTTTGACCTATGTTTGGTAATTTCTGTAGATTTTAAGTGCGGTCTGCAATGTGTAAAATTCTTTCTTTGTTCACTTAACAATATTTTACTTTTTAATACATTAAATAAATCATGAAAAAAGCATGAGGCATGTAGCTTTATTGTCCGTGAAAGAAAGCTTACGTTGAAGACTGTGGCAATTTTCAACACAAAGTTGGCCATGTCACAATACAAGTTCTTTGCATAGCAAATTGTTAACAGTTTAAAAACATGTAAACAACAATGAAAAATATATTCTTAAACACATGTGTACCAGTTAAAGCTATTTGATGCAAAAGGCATAAATAAACGGAAAAGCTTTTTCAATACAAAATGCATAAACACGTACATGTGCACATTAACTAACATTAACAAAAAAAAAAGACATTAACATACGTAACTATGTACATGAATAAAAATATGATTATTGAATGATAAAGCTCCTAACTACATATTTATGTTATCAGATAAAGCATGTGACACAGTTATCACGGAAGAGAATCACGTGACTTTTGGGGTAGCGCGTACTGACAACATGGCGACAAACTTCTCCAATTCGGACACAATTTTCACGTAATTTGCATCTTATCATTTAAAAATTCTATTACAGTCTATGCTGTATGAAATATTTTCATTGCCTACATTAAATATTTGTGATGTAATGTCAAACTGTACCATAAAAGAAAGGACAAAGATGAAAATAGAATAAAAATAAAATGAAAGGATAAATGAATGGTTTTAAAATTTAAATGTTGGATTGACATAATGTTATTTCTAAATATAGAAATAGACGAATGCAATTTATGATGAATTAAATACATAGACAAAAAAGTCTGTCACTTATGATGTACTACATACAAATAAATTATATAAGACATCATAGTATATACCATAAAGTACGCGTACTACAGCGTATTATATTTTGATTATACTGTAAAACCTTTTTATACGCGGGCGGCCTAAGCTGTCTATTGCGTAATATTTTTCAATATACATCTATACAGTCAAACGATGATAGGGTATATAGCAAAACAATACTTCTATATGTGCATATAAGCAGTATGTCAAAAAATAAGTAAGTTGAATGTACAGTCAACCCTTTTCATAATGTACAATAAGAAAATGAAAGGGCGGTCTTTATTGAAGGCGTGTACCCTTAATTGTATACCTTTGATGAAAATACCCTTAAATATTTTTTTCCATTATGACCGGTTATGGTTAGAAAATATGTTTTTATTATGAGTGGTTATTCAAAATCTTTAGCCTAATTGTTCAAATTGTATACTAAAAAGCATTTTTTTAACCGAAAGTACTTCAGTTCTTGATACAATTTGAATGAGAAAGACACGTGCATTAATGACCACTCGTAAATTTTAGCCTTTAAGTATCTTGATAAGTGGAACATATTCGAAGGTGGCCTTTAAATAAGGGTTTGTCGGTATTTAGATGATAAATGCATACAAGGAAATCATTTAGATAAATGTGTCTGTCATTATTATAAATGACAACAGAAAGTTATTTTTACTATGAGGTATATAATTAATATTAATAATTATTTATATATATCAAAATTTTATGTATTACGTTAGCGCCCTAACTATAACTGCAGTTCGGCTCACTGTGTAAAACTATTTGTAAAGTTTATCATGCGGTCATGATTAAAATTGCATGTCTCGTATAAGCTTAAAGAATGCACACCACAAACGTATAAACGTGTCTTGTTTAATGATATTATGGTAGGAGTATAATTTTTTTATTTCATTTATTCATTTTTGTTTTTCGTCAGTTTAAAATGAAAAATTATGCATCACATACAACGAATGACATATATATTTTTTTACAATGCAAAATGTAGGGAATCTTAGTATAAATAAAAAAAATGAAGTAATACTATTAAAGAAACACCATACCAATGTTATTTCGATATAATATGTTTTTAAGTATAGAAAAGTCGTGTCAATGAAATGTTTTTAAATTGATTTTATGTCTAGTTAATGTCTACTTGCGGCAAAAATTTTTCAATTCGTACTCATCAATCAGGGTGTACTTTTTTCTAGTTTATCTAGTATCACATATTTCTTTAAACGATTTTTTAAATAGAAAGTTTGCATTCATTGTTTTTGTTTTTTTTTTTCGAATTGGGGTGAAATATCGGAAAAATTAAGTTGATATGAAGGGAATTAGAAAAAATAAAAATGGTCTGTTCTGTATAAAAATCTGAAGATTTTTAGTTCTGAATAGCACACGGGTTAAATATCTAAGAAGAAAAATTCACTTCTCAGAATCGCATGCGAATGCAAAAGACAAATTATCAACCTCGTGCAGTTTTTTTTTGTCTGTTTGGAAGAGGTGGTGTTTTAAATATTATTTTATTTGCACTGTTTCAGAGAACTGAAAGTATAAAAGAAAACGTCACAAAATAGCACCATATATTTTTCCCACCAGCATCTGACACCTTCACTTCAGTTTGCTAGGGTATAATTATTGTCACTGTAGGGTACAGCGTTTACTCTTTCTTCCGAAAACCGAAAATTAAAGCGTTACAGATTACATATTGTATCTATGTGAGACGATTACACTTTTAAGATCTCCAACTACATGTAACTGTGACCTCAACTGGCGGTAGTTAGGTGTATAAGTAAGTTAATGTACACTACTTGATTTTCATATAACTTCATATCATATATATCATATTTCATAGTTATGAACAAGGAATTAAAATCACTCTTTCACCGGAATATTCTTAAACATCAAACCCGTATAATTTTTGAAATATTTCCATTTCTCAGTTGTAAGCGGAAATATAGGTCACTTCCGGTGGCGCTGTAATCCAAACATGGCGCGTGTTCCCCGCAACTTCCGGTTTGCCTTGTGAATAGTAAGGTCCTTTTACAATGAAGGCTGAATGATCTGAAGGAATGATGTGAACTGCCTGGTGATGAGATGATGGCCGATAGTAGTGAATATCCGTTATTTCCGGTCCGTCTACGTGAGTTCCCGTATCATCCTATATAGAAAGGTAAATTTGCGTGGAAAATATTATCTCATTTATTAAAAAAATTATATTTCAGACGTTAACTGATAATATATCCATTCTCTAGTGTCAGTTTACATAATTAATATTATAAATAAATAGAAATATAAGGTAGCAAAATATTCATTTCTTTCGTATATTCAATGCATAAAATGATTTGCTTTTGAAAGCACATATGAAAAACGAATATTTCTCACCGATGTATCATGAAGGTCATGTTGGTTCAGACGCTTTGTACTTCCGGTCCTACCGCGCCTGTGTCTTAAGCAACATACACACGTTAGAATGCCAACGACTATAAGAAATGCCACAACTCCACCAACAGCTATTGCAATGATGACGGGCGTCGAGAGACTGCATTCGTCACTTGAATCGGAGCAGTCTTCGAATCTGTCGCAGACGAGATCGTCAGATATACACCGCTTGTTTGACTTGCACTGGAATTCGTTATCATTACATTTGTCTTCAGGATCTGTTAAAAAATCCATAACTTTCGGTGAACAAGTAGATATTAACAGCAAAAGAGCAACGCATAATAAAATTCATGTCTTGTTGTTGGTCGAAGACTCTTCCAGTATGCTTTAAGAATGTTGTAAACAGAAATAATATCATATCATAAGTTTTATAGACGATTATACACTTTTCGACGTTGTTACATAGTCCATGTCCAAGTCGTTAATTTCACCACTGTCGTAGGATTCTAAATGTGAGAAAGCAATCCAGTTGACAAACGGAACGTAATACATGGCAAGAAATACAGTATATGTAGTCTGAATTATAACTCAATCAAATTATAACTCAATCAAACCTATTGTATTCATTTTATCAAAATGTGAGCACAATAATAGCGACAATCGTTCTTGTTGTGTCACGAAGCAAATGTGCAATTGTTTGCACTATTAACCCTCGCAGCTCCGAATGTGATAATAGAAGACCAATGAATCTTGTATAGATCTAGAAAAGCACATCCGCACAGTTTGATTAAACTTTATACTTTTGGTGATCACTTAAAGTACTTTAATATTGAACTCCAATAGAAATGGACAGTTCCGAATCCAAGGCACGGCAAATCCATTATATAAACTCGGCAGTGAAAAAGTCGAAATAATCAAAGTTTATTTCTGTAATTTACCTGTTCGAAAAGCGGTGATTAGGATTCGAAATCCATCTAAGGCCTCTTCTTGGTCACTTTTGAACCTCAAAGTTATGTGGTCTGTGGTTGAAGCATAACTCCTTCTTAAGTTAGAGCTAGAACACACTCGTACATCTAATCCTGAATAATGAAAGGATTATGAGGACCAATATGTAAAATGTATATTCAGTCTGTGACTGACTTTAAAAGTACCAGTACTCGAGAACAACTAGTATTCGTGAATGACTAGTATTCGAGAACAGCTAATATTCGGGCAGGACTAGAATTGGAAAATGACTAGTATTTGAGAACAGCTAGAATTCGAGAGCGACTTATATTCGAAAACATCTAGTATTCGAGAATGACTCTTATGGACTTATCGACAGCCTCTGACAAGTAGTATTATTATGTTCGTTATTGCATATGTCAAATATGCTGATACCATTAAGCCAAAAAAGTGAGAAAAAAAAACAACCCAACTTTTTCAGCAAACATAAAATACCATGAAGGTAATCATATGATTAACCGAGTTATATATACTTATCAGCCAATAAATAAAGGGAGACTTACAAGTTCTCCACGTAGAGTTAATTTGAGCAGCGCTATGACAAAACCAACCTAGTGCGTTTGCGACCAGCATGGATCCAGACCAGCCTGCGCATCCGCGTAGTCTGATCAGGATTCATGCTGTTCGCTTTCAAACTCTATTTCAAGTAGAGAAAGTGAAAGCGAACAGCATGGATCCTGATCAGACTGCGCGGATGCGCAAGCTGGTCTTGGTCCATGCTTGTCGCAAATGCACTATGTTGGTTTTGTCATGGCGTGGCTCATTTATGTTCATAAAAATGTGTATCTGTTGTTAACAGCATTGTATTACTTATTACTTGACGGAAACAAAAAGTAAAAAATACGTACATTCAACGTAAATTATATGTATTAGGAGCACCGTCTCTCGCACATCGGCTGGAATTACATGTTATTGTGGACTCTGCTTGAATATTGATGGTAAAATAGATGGGGAAAATTTAGTAGCGTTCAACCTGAGCATATACAAACTTTTTTTTACCTTTGCGGGCGTTAAGTCAGTTTCTAAATTATACTATACTAACCTGGTAAGACGTCATTTATGAGTTCCGGCCCGTCATATATTTGCAGGAAGTCTTTATTGCAATTTTCACTTCTCTCTATGTTGTTTTTGAGTATCTTAACTTCGAGACGCTTCTCGTTTGGAGCTCTAAGTCGCATTACACAGTCCAGCGCATTATGGTACAGCTGTGTATAGAATAGAACAATAATGAATTTAAAAAATGACAAATTAACACTCTCTAAAGTGACCGACAAGTAATGTCAAACGAAAATTACTGTAATCCTCCAAATTGCTATCATACCATTCACTTGAAGCATTCGGAATAGAATCGTTAATTTTGTTTTGGGTTGTGATTTACTTGGCACCAACACAGTATTCGTATATGTCATATGCAAACTTCCAGTTTAACTGGTTGAGGAAGACCTCAGATGACCTTCCGAGCATTTCTTCAGACACGAACAGGCAGTTGGTAGAAATATCAACATTCTGTCATCTAGCTGGAAAGTTTCCTCACATGAAAGAATCCAAAGTCCTTGGGGGCATTCGAACCCATACGCGCAAGTTGTTTAAAGTCAAAGACCTTAACCATTCGGCCGCGGACGCCCCTTTGATCTTAACTCCCGACAGTGACTTGAGATTTTTTATGCGAGGAAGTTATCCAGCTAGCACACAAAAGGACGATGGTTTTACTCAGGTATTCGCTCGTGTCTGGCACGTAGAGGCGTCAGGTTTTTTCTCCCGACAGTAACGATAGGAAATCTGCATGAATATAAACACTATCAAAGATAAAGAACTTTATATTTTTAAAAAATGTGAGCATTTTTCCTAACTCCCTATCTATTTTATATACATTTTTTTAGAAAATACCATTGCAAAGACTCGAACCTGATATTTCGTCATCTCAACTCGAATACTTTCAAGTTTTCTTTTTTCCATATCAATCAATTCCCCGCATTCGTCTTCCATAAAAACTGAAATTTAATAAAAGAGAATGTTATCATTCTTTAATATTCCTTTCAAAAGAATATAAAAGCATTCTAAAACAGCGCCTCATCAGTATCAGTATTTTGAGCGACACGAAATCGAACTCGCGATCACTTTGTTGCAGTCAGACTATGATACCACACGGACTTAGACAGACTCAGGCTATGATACCAGAAGAACTGAGATTATAATACCACATGAACTCGATCAGGCTATGTTACCACAGGCACACAAATTATGTAGCCACATGAACTCTGTCTATGATACCACATGAACTCATAGTATGTTACTACATGAACTCTGCCTGAACTCTGAACTCAGACTATGATGCCACATGAAATCAGACTATGATACCTAATGAACTCCGACCACATGAATACACAATTTGTTACCGCATGAACTAAGACTATATGTTTCCACATGAACTCAGATAATGATAATGATATTGATGATAATAACTTTATTAATATATTTACGATCGTATTTAATATCTCGTATTTAAAGAAGGTAACAATCGTAAAACACAAAAATAACTAAATGTGGCCTTCTTAACAATATATAAAAATATTCGCACAAAGCCTCAGAAACAACAGACTTTACTCAGAAGAAAAGCAAACACATGTTTAATAACGTTATAATAATGGATTAAGTGCATGTTTGATGCATATCACATAAGAAAACAATGTTTAATGTGAAATAATTTGCCATAAAAGTAGCAAAAACGTAAACAACGTGTGCTTTTGTCTTTCATACAAAATACTTCATTACACCATAACTTTACTGATGGTTCAAATGTTTTACATGAGTTATCTATATGACCAGCGAGTTAGTACCATTTCAAAAACAGTAACAAAACACACACAAAAACTATGAGACAAAAAGTAAAAGCATTTTATGGGCTTTATGGACATTTAAGTAAAATTATCATGGATTAGTCAAGATTTTTTTTTCTCCTGATAACATCAGCTTCTTAAAGCATGACTTATTCTAATTTAAATCATTTAAAAATCATTCTAATCGCGAGGTTATTTCATGTTCGAAGTATCTTCAAATTTATTTTTCATTTTTTTTACCACATTCCATTGAATCGCATTTAAAATGTTTGTTTTGTTTTTTTTTTCTTTTTTTTCCCTGAAATATTGAATTAATAATTTGATCTTGCTATCAGGGAAGATATATCTAATAATAAACTTAACTGAAATTTTCTATTATATTACTCAGTAATACGATGAAATGAACACTAATTCATTATTTCTTGGTTATCTGTAAAATGTATTTAATACTAATAATGCATTTTCTCAAGAACTTGTATCGATGCATGTGGTTTCCAGTTAAGCATACATACAATGCTTGAAACAAGTTTTGAAAAAGAAAAAAAAAAAAAAAAACTACATAAATAATGTTTTCCCCCTCCTTAACATGTTTTCCGCCATTTTTGTAATCGATCCTGCGCCCGTTTCGATGTCAATTTGTTTCATTTTACGATGTTTATTAACATTTAAGAGTCGTTACCTGGTATAAATTTACTTTTTATATTCAATTAATTGCTAAAAACCTATAAGATTAATGTTTTACGTTGAAAATAAGTGCTGTGTTGTGTGTATTTGGTGTTTTTATGAAACCCTAGGAAAAAAATAATATTTTTTTACAAGTGTTTGTCAGAGTTTACAAGAAAAACAAACTAAAATAAATAGACAAATAAAAATGGTTCGAATTCAAACTTTCTGCCAATTATATTACACCTCCACTTGCTGAAAATCAATCAAGCGTGTACCGTACACTGTGTTACATGGATGTGCCAGGTGATCTTGGTCTGCACTGGTTGGTCGGCACAAATCGCATTGATAGATCCAGTTGCCGCCAACAGGCTAACAGATTGTTACAACGTGTGCGGTTATCACAAAAAGTCATTATGCTATCGAGTGCAAACAAAAACCGGAAATGCCAACAGTCACGCACTTAAAGTGTTAATTTTTAACCCAAAGATATATCTTTAAAGCATTCCTCGTCGTTCCTGCATCTACAATGTAGTGGCGTTCCCTGCTTTTCGATCCGTCTCCTTCGTATAAGGGGTTCATGCATCCCAGTACCATTTCTCGTCGACCCGGTCGCTTTGTTGGACAACGTCTTTCGGCTAAAGTCAGGACATCGGCAATTGCTCTCCAAGAGTTCAGATAACAACTTATTTTATTATATACATGTAGTAGCAAATATTTAGGAGACAGGGTTTTAGTAAGATTGGACTCGACCGACATTTCCTGAAGCCAGTTCGTACCACTCGGGTATGGTGTATTAATATAATGATTAGGTTAATATTTATACTAGTATGTAATCAATAACTGATCGCGATCGAAACTCTAAATTATCGATATTTACTTTTTCATTAACAAAAATGTCATATAATAATCGGCTTTCAATAAATTGTTTATCATCTGTTCATGTTTATGAATTATCTGCCTTAATGGATGGTCGGACCTTAAGTCTAAACGTACAAAATGACATGGTTACGGCCAATTTACCCCTAGATGTCACAAAGGAGCGTTGTTAGATGCTATACCCGATTGATGCACTAAGTTAATCTTGAACAAACGGTATAGTAACGTTTTCATATCGTACGTTAGAATCAATATATACATCATCTATGGTAAAACTACTCTTGGGGAGACGTTCATATGTACCTCTTTTGACACATTGCATTTATCTACAGATTAAATTCAAAACATTTACAGGATGTTTGTAGATAGGATCATAGTCTTTACATTAAGGTGGTCTCTCCTTACAGGTCATCAGTTTGACAGTATTTCCATGTGACAGTGCCTCCGATAGCAAAAATTTAAGAAAAATCTAAGTTGATACTACTTTCATCAATTATTCATATGACAAAGTCACTGTCATGACTCAATCGATAATCGATATCATATTGTTTCACCTGGCATAGTTTAAAAATCAAAACTAGGTTATTGTTAGCTTATTCAAACCGTAAACAAAATTGCGCGTAATTTGACTCCCTTGATGATATTGTTGCCATTTTGAAATATTAATATTTAATGCAAATATTTTTCTCTATTTCAAGGGTTCTCCTTAAGTTTATACACAAACGAGTTAGTTATCTTGAAGAATTTAAATAGTTAAAACTTAAAGGCCGGTGCTAGGGAGGCTAGGACGTTAACAGACATTTACCACTGTCGTGCATGAACAGACGCTATCAGTTTCAATAGAGTTTAAGTACATGCTGCTTATTTCGGAATCAAACTCCTTATTACTAGCAATGATAGCACGGATAAGTAACTTACTAACCAACCATCCAGCTACCTAGCCAGCCAACCAACCAATCAACCAAAAAACAAAACAAAAAAACAGCCAACTAAAAACCAACCAACAAGCTAGCAGCCAAACAAATTATAAACTATCAAAGAACTTAAATAGATTTTTATTAATCTTCAAGAGTGATCTCTAAAAATTTTAATAAATAATCAAAATGTTAACAGATGGAGGCGGGTCATGTTCAGAGTAACAATTATTAAATCTATTTTGATTATAAATTAAAAATAAGACAACGCTACAAAATGTAGGAAGCGTTTTTAAAGAAAATATTGTCAATCATCAAAATTTTATAAGTCATAATGCCGCAAGCAGTTGAATGGACTTTTAATGAAATATCTGTCAATCTACACGATTTTATTTACTTTATTTAGCTGTAAGCAATTGTTTTACAACTCTTGTTGCTAAAACGTTTTCTTTATGATCATCATCTTTAGCAATTAATCTTTAGCAATTTGTATTTGAACTAGATATTTTATTGCATGAAAAGCTATTATATATATAAGATACTATACAAAATGTGGATTTATAGATTATCCTGTGACAGATTGACATTAACTTTGACCCACTTTCCTATACATTGTATCTACAAACGCTACCTACAAAGACAACAACGACAACAACAACATCATTATCAGCAGCAACAGCAGTAATAGCAGTAGCAGCAACAACAACAACAAAAACAACAACTCTATCAAGCAAGGGAAGGGAACAATGTAATAACGCAAAGTATGGCACCCCACCCTCAATCAGTCAAACCTATGAAGTAGAAAGTGCGTACGTAGCTCTGGGGGAATAACTTTCTTTTATGTAATAAACTAACATTTTCAATCAAATGCCGAACATGAAAGAAAAATAGATAGAAAAATGCATTAAGATGATTTATTTCGTAAAGAGATCTGCGTCGAACGAGAAAAGGTGAAGGTTATGACGTAAAATCCCACTTTTTAATTACATTAAAAAGACTGTCGAAAAATTAATTTAACAAATGGACGTTAAATCTGAATATGACTATTACAAAATATGTTTAAATAATTGCCTGTCATAAAAATGCAGCAGCCTGTCATAATTAAAAATGCAGCAAAGGGATTTTTTCCCCATCATATTTGCAAATTTTACGAGAATTTATTATCAGCTGTAGAAAGATATTTAGACGAACAGTATGTGTCGAGACGAGCCCTTTATCAAATATCGTACACAGCTTGTCGAATAATGGGGAATATTAAATTTGATTTAAAGGTAACTGGTTATTACAGGTATCAGAACAACAGCATGCTGATCAATTCGTATACGTCGTTATGCAGCTGTTTCTTACACGTGTCACGTGTTATGCCAGGCATATACTTTTATACACAAGTGTAGATTCTGAACAATCTCTGAGAACAAAAAGGACCGATATGTCAATAAATAGTTAGAAACGATTTTTGTCGATAATCGAGAACGATAAAGTTACAATGTATGCTAGATGAATGGTAGTGGCGATAATGAAATGCCGATGGCACCAGTGCACGCACTTCCGTGCAGTCAGGTCACTCACATATAATGTTAGGTCTTTCTAACATCCCCAAAATTCAGAATAAATATTTCTAAATTTAAAGCAGAGCGTGCCCATTCCAAAAAAATATGTAGAGTTAAAGATTGCAAACTGATAAAAATGGACAGATATTCAACCGTTAAAGCGTCAAATATTCCTTGCTGATTGATTAAACATTTATTAAACGTGACTGAAGATCTGTCGCCTATTGTGCTCTTTAAAATATTTTTCTCTGTATTAAAAATGAGCTTAAACTGTAACAATAGCTAGGAATTTTCATGGCCAGGAATGTAGAGCGATTAATTTACGAATAATTACAGTGTCGCTCCCAGTAGCCAAGTACAAATAAATATTTTATGTGTGCGGAAAGTCGAAAATAAAACGTAATTTGCATAACCAGTGCGTAAAATTTAAACATTCAAATGTTGAGTCTAAGCCAAATAGCCCATTAAATTTAAGTAACAAGAATGTGTTGTATTTAATGGGAGAATCAATTAGTTAAACAGTTTCAGTGTGCGTTAAATCCAAACAGAAATGGGTTGGGTATCATATATAAACAAACAAGTACAGTAAAACAGAATATATAAATGTTGAAATTTATCAAAATATAATAACAATTTTGTCTTCGTTACAAAATGAGAACGGTAACATAGGATATAAATTTTGACTAAAATAGATACAAGTTATCAAATACACGTATAATTTCCATACTGTCTACTTATATTTCCAAGGTTACTTTAAGTAAAGACTTCGTGAACTTACCCAAAACTTCAAAACTTTATGGAGATATATAATATCAAAAAAGTAATTTTATGGGCTTTAAATACGATCAAAACAAACTAGGCCTTAAAGTAAAACATTTTTTCTTTAAAGATATCATGTATTTTTTTGGCATTGACATAATATATAATTATAAAAGCCATGACTGTCTAGGCTGAATGTTACTGATGTAACTGCTAATTTTTATGTATTGTCCAGGTCAAGCAAATATAACTGGCAAGACGAACTTGTTTGGTATGAGATAAAACACAACACTTAGGTTGAATGAAATAGGGCATTTATTAAATGCCATAAATGACAAATGTTACATAATAACAAACATGACAAATGTTACATAATAACAAACATGGCATGTACATATTTGTATCGAAATAACCAAACTGGGAGGTAAAAACCGCTGTCTAGGCTGAATGTTACTGATGTAACTGCTAATTTACGTTTTTGATAAATTATGTTTCACATTTTGCTTCATTTATTTCTATTTTCTAAGTGTACATACTCATACGTGCTAAGTTATGTACCACACGTGCTAAGTTATGTACCACACGTGCTAAGACATGTACGATCCTGTAACATGTATCAGTTAGATTTTGATCCCTTTGGAAACGTTGAAGGGACTCCATTTATACTTACATTTTTTCCGTATACATACTTTTTTTCTAAACAAATCAGATCGTCCAATCATGATTATTGTCATCTTATATTTAAAGTCATATTTTAAATGAATAGATACTCAAACTACTTTTACATTAACAATATCATGCATAATCTTACATAATTTTTTTTTTATTTCGAGATGTAATCGATTTGTAAACTGGCGGAAAATTATTTAATTATAAAACGTTTCAAAAATGATGAGTTTAAATATGAAACATGATTGTAAAGATATTTAATAAGTTTAAACTTACATCTCTCGGAGGATGCCATGCATTGCGGAAAGAAAAACATCAACGTAACACAAATAAATCCAATTCTATCCATTTCGGAATTTAGTCCTTTAAAATGTTTTTCTTTTTCTTTAAAACAAAGATTCTTTCTCTTCAAAATAGGCAGTTAACGGGTAAAGCGACTTAACCAGTGTGTTGTTTTTGAACATGAACTGGAGCGGAGATTTCTCGAACAATACTACTTTATAAATGCAGACGACAGTCAATTTTAGGCGCTAAAAGGCAGATGTCAATCTAAGCACACTCAGTTTCTGAAGAAACAAAAAAATCAATAGAACGTTGCATAATGTGTAAAACATGATCGATTACATTCAAAAAGGAAAATTAGTCAGTTTTTTGTTTAGAAGGGAACAAAAAACGCCGGTACAGGTAAAATAATACCTAAAAAAAAAGATTATAAATCTAACGCAGTGACCTTGATAATTTGAATTATGAGTCCACCAAAACGTAATTTATTTCCTTGCTTTTAACTACCGATGTTTCAAAGAAGATATATTTAGCGACATGTACACGTCAATATTTCAACTATCGCATTTTAATTTGTAGAGAGGAAAATATCTCTTGAGGGATTTTAGATTTTCCTGAAATATGTTTGTTTTTCATTCTTTACTGTTTCACAGAAAAGGTAAGGTTTGATCGAAGTCAGAAGTCTCTTGGTGAACCACTTCACAGTATGCATGCATAATAAAGGCACCAGTAAAGCTGGAAAGATCCCATATGATCGTACAGTGTTGTTGTTACTTAAAGCCCAAACAAACAAACGAACGAACGAACGAACAAACAAACGAACAACGAACAAAAAAAAATCCAACCAACCAAACAAACAATTAAACAAACAACTTTCATTGAAGAAAAAATACGATTTTTATATTTTTGAATTTAATAGTACCTTTGAACTGCTTGAAAAGGTAGACAACTGTATGTCCGAAGCTACCAGTCGCCGATACGAATTGTCTATAATAATATTTGTTGTTTATGTATTCAATGTAGAGGTGTTTGGATGAAATTAGGTAATTGTAATATTAATGGTAAATGTTTTAATTTAAATAAAACATGTTACACGTTTAATGATTGTAATTGTAATATTGGTTTTACACAAGATTATCTAAATGGTTTGCGCCATTTTAATCTTTTTACCAAAATGTAAATATAAATGGAATACTTATACCTGATAGTGAAAGTACAGATGATATACAGAAATTTTTTGAAATTATTTATTGCCGAAACTGTCATTTAAGCTAACAGTGAAATGAATTACAAAACTTCCTTAATTTATATGAAGAATTTTGTGATACCGAAATCGATCATGCCATGTGGAACTCTCGAGGCCAATTTTCGTGGGTTGTAGCTTTGTGTCTTATATTACTGTATGGAAAAACGTTCACTAATGCAATTTTTAATACGGAACGGAATCAGGCAAATGATGTTTTTAGTGTTGGCTCCAAAAAAAGTGTTTCTATGAAAATGTATACACTAGAGGCCCGCGTGGTATGGTCATGTTTTGGTTCGGTGATTTGTTCTTTCTTACATAATGTCTAAGATTGTTAGTTAAAAGTACCAAATTCTTCAGCCAGCCATTAAAACGCCCTTTGTCTGATTATGGTGTAGATTAGCCCTTTCCTTTTGTTTGTTATTCCAAAATCAAAATCTTAGCAATTTAGCCGTTCGAGACCGCCCTGGCATGGTCGCTCTTTGAACGGTATTTTTTCTCTAGACCTTTAAAGCGATGACAGATTTCAAGCATTTTTATAGAGACCCAAGCCACGTGAAACTGTAGTCTATTGCTCCGAATTGGCACTAAACAAATCGAAAACTGCAACTTCCGGAAAACGTTATCAAGTTGTTTGTGACATAAACGCGCGTGTTAGAGCACGTAATTACAGGAAATAATGTCATGCACTGCGAGTCATTGTAAAATGAATGCTACGTTCTTTTAAAATAAGAAAATGAAATGATTTAGTGATCTTTCTTAATTTTGTAATTGCTCCCGATTTTAGCATTTTGGAAAACATTACATTATGACAGGAACGGTGAAGTGAATTGCACAGGGTCAAAAAATTGTGTTCCCGGTAGAATTCAAATTTAAAACTTTGTGTATTAACATGGACACACGTATCTAAATTTTTTAATTTATCATTGACCTATAAAACGTGACAGCCTTTATTTTGCGCCATGTATATGTTTCAATGGTCGACTCATATCCAAATATAGGAAAATAGAATGGAACCTACGGAAGCCAAAAATTGCTTCCTACGAGATAACATTTCATTAGGAATGGTAGTTGAAAGCATTTTCTAAAACAAACCGTTGAAACACAATGTGTTCTATTCACTTCCTACGGTGTTCCGTTTGGACAATAGTGTTTTTTTGTTTCGTCCTTACCCGCGATGCACTATGGTACGATGGTGAAAACGCGATAGTACGATGACACGATGATGAAAACACGATGATACGATGGTGAAAACACGATGGTACGATGGTGAAATCGCGATGTCGCGATGGTAATATGATAAAAACCCGATGTTTTCGAGCAGTCTTTCTTCAGCCTTGTGCACATTCTAACAAATTACACTCCCACTTCCCTTACTTTCTTCAAACTGCCTCAAAATTTCCTGAAATATCTTATAAAAGTAAAAAACATTTTATTTTACCGTTTTATACGAAAAAGGTCTAGTATCAGACATGAACAATGGAAGTTAGATATAGATCAAATAAGATTTCTGTTTTGCACTCCGATAAACTGCATAAAATTCGAAGTAATTCTTTAGTCATAAAATAGAAAGGAGAGAAAATCTATAGAGTAAATAAAGAAATCATCACGAAAATCAAAGGGAAGAAAATTCTTGAGATAAAGGTGATAGCATAATGTGAGTACTTCCAAGTGTAAGCAAGGTAAATGCCGGCAGTAATCAGTAACCCCCTCCCCCATAAAGAAAAAGATTATTTCTGGTATATATTTGAAGTAGCTATATTAGCACTGTCAACTTATCGGACCTTTTGTGGCGTACAGTCGTCTTATCGTGCCAAAACCCGTCATAACATTAATATTTTAACAACAATGCATAAGTATATATCTTAGGACAGTAGTTTTTGCTAGGCAGCTCAATAATGAGTATTTACGTAAGTTGTAAGTAGAAATAACAACTAGCATTCACGATACTGGCTTAATTTAAACTTATGACTTTGTCACGGACACAAAATAAGTTATTGCCAATTTTCATTCAATAGCTTTTTTACTATTGTACCTAAACTTCTATGATTTCGAGGAAATACATGTAGGTCAGAGCCTCACATCCTCCACACAAAATTTTCATTTTTAATCGTCAGTGACTGCTATATTTTATAAAATATTCTCACTCTGACGTGTGTTTACATTCTGAAATCCGCCATTATTCCGAATCGCACCTCGCTTTTCACCGAATTTCACCTCGCTTAAAAAGTATCGCACCGCTATACGTTCGACCTGCTGCATATACTGATGGTGCATGATGAGTTTGATTTAATTTGAAAGTAGGTGTATTGTAACAGGACATACATGAATGCGTTATTTTGTCGGTATGATGATGTATTTATAGACTGTTATTCAATAACTTCAACATTCATGTATTTGTGTTATATCAGGTCGTTTTTATCTGATAATCGCAACGTACATATACATAATGAACGCTCATTCTATGTAGAGACACTCATAAAAAGGGGAAAAAAGTATTTAAAAAACTAGTTGTCTCTGAATGGACTTTGAATTTTTATTAAAAAATATACGTGATTACGCCTGACCGGATTAATTCAGTGCTGATTTAACTAGGTTTTAATGAAATATGGACTTAAGTCAGTATTTGACAGATACGGACCTGTGTCAATTCATTGCAGAAAATTATTCTCTACATGTGTTGGATGTAACAAAACTGGAGGGATATGAAGACATTAACCTAAAGGTTCGAGTCAAGAAAACACTTTCTAGTAGATCTACATCAACAGATGTAGTTGATAATGTTTACGTCTTCAAGATTTCACATTTTACTACGGATATAAATACACTCGGTATGCTTTTGTTTTATTTTTACTACGATATCAATCAGTATATTTATAGCACACCTATCAATTTTGTTGATGAGGATAGACCCCATCACATTATAATGAATATAACAATGAAAACTTCCCTGCCTCTTGTTTTGTCATATTTGTAGTATGTGATAATTGTGTATGTTAAGCACATGTGCGACTTAGTAAAGTATTTAGCGTTATGTGATTGGTAAAAGGGGTTCATCAAACTTTTTATGTCACCACCGGAAGTATGTATTTGGAGACATATAGTTTTTGCAGTGTCCATCCTTCCGTCTGCCTTTTCGTCCGTCTTTCCGTCACGTATTCGTCCGTGTTTCCGTAACGACTTTGTGTCCGTCCATAACTTTGTCATTTATGGGTGGAAAGGATCTAGGTCTTCAGCTCAAAGGTCAAGTTTACACCTGGACTTCTAAGTTCTTTTTTTCATATAAGCACGAATGTTCGTTCCTGTCATTCCTGGATTGATTTAAAAGTTACTATTCATAAATGGTTGGACCAGAATGACGATGTGTCGCGCAAAAATCATGACCCTTTCTCAAAGGTCAAGGCCACATTTATAGATCCAAAATTGTTGTATGATATTTTTTTCATTTAAAAGTGCACTGATGTCCGTGTTCGTTCAACATTTTGTTCATTTTTAAAATGATTAAAAAATGACCATAAATATTTGTGTTGGACATAATGACAATATGTCGTGCGCATAAGTCAGGTAGCTAGCTCTTATGTCAAGGTCACACTTGTATTTCAAAGTCATGATGTTGATCATTCATGATCTGATTTTGAAACAACTTTGCCTAAGTGTTTTGTTCATTGTACATGATGTGACTAGGTGTCACATGCAAGAATCACGTCTCCAGCTTAAAGGTCCAAATCACATCTATATACCAAAGTCATGATAAAATAATTCTTAAAGTGCACTGAAAGTTGTCTCCGGTCAACAATTCAGCCATTTACGGAGTGATTTTAAAATAACTTGGCCTAGATAATGACATGTCGTGCATAGGAGTCAGGATTTCAGTTTAAAGGTCATTGTCACATATATTGTGAATAAATGGTTTCCTTATGTGCATAGATTTGTCAAGTTCATGCTTAAATGTCAACATATTCATGATAGGATGCATTGATAGCCATGTCAAGTCCATATCTTTGTCCATTCAGTGACATACATATTTAGTCGTATTTTGTACATACGACTATTTAAGTGCGGGGTTCGTCGGGGTGGTGCTCTTTTGATAATAATAATAATAATATATCACAAACTCCGTGAGTCCATTTTTTCTGTTTTGTGAAATAATTAGACATACATTTATGGCACATTAGGGAAACTTGTCACACACAAACGCCATGACGAAGTGAACGTCAAAATAGCACGTAGATGGTTGTGTCTGGTCATCATTTATAACTCATTCATGGATATTTTTAAAATAAATTGGCACACTGAGAATATATGAAAGTAATTGTAAATGGTTCTATTTTCTTGAAACATTTTTTTTAATAGTAACCATGCCTTTGATAGTCAAACTTCATAGTTCCTCTGCTAGAGCTGTTTGGGTAATTGACGTCTCGGGTACTACTGTTGGTACCATGGTACCTAGAAGTATAGTCGATATAACTGGAACTCTCGAAACTGCTTTATGTTTCTCGGAATTACTTGTTTGTACCCGGTTATACTAAAAGATACGAAAGACCTGTGGGGACATTTTAACTTCACGAATTCCTGATCTTCGTGAATTCATAATATTTAACTTCGTGAATTCACGTTTTAAACACACGGAATTCACGATTTCAACTTAACAAATTCAACTTTATTAATTCATTATTTCAACATCCTGAATTCACGATTTCAACTTCATGAATTCACGATTTCAACTTCATGAATTCACGATTACAATCTCACGAATTCTCGATTTTTCAACTTCATGAATTCACGACTTCAACTTCACGAATTTACGATTTAAATTTCACGAATTCAACCACGTCAATTCACGATTTCAACTTAACGATTTCAACTTAACGATTTCAACATCATGCTATTTTAACTTCGAATTCACGATAGCAAATGAAGTTGAAATCGTGAATTCGTGAAGTTGAAATCGTGAATTCATGAAGATGCAATTGAAAATGTCTTTTTATTTTAACAAATATTCATAGTAGTATTTTTCTCAAAACATACAAATTTCTTTATAAATTCAAGCTATAATCAACTGCTTTTCGCATCGCACATATACTTTTGTGTGTGAAAGAAACAACAGCAAAAACAATAACAACAGACAATTAATCCAAACAAGAACAAAATAATTTCCTAAGATAAAGTAGACTTATTTTCCCTTGTATGGGTTTATGGGGCCAATGGTAAGGAAGGGGGGGGGGGGGGTTAAAAGGAATAAAGTGCTCGTAGACAAAGCAGTTACGTAAATTGTTTTACGACATCACTTCTTTCGGGGTCCGTCTACCAGTGAGTACTTTTTACATGGATGGTAACTGTCTAGTATACTAAAATATACGCATGTGGGGAGGGCTACATGTAGAACCCGAGACAACTATAACCACAACAGCTCTACTGTGTGGCCCTCATTTAGTGGGGATCGACTGGGCGGCGTTTGTCTGTTTCAAATTGAATACCTTCTTTATGTTTATAAATGTTTTAATGGTTGGACACCAAAATGTTAAAATATCACATTTACATTATGTTTGTATATCATTCATGTTACAAAGTATTATTGTTGTTCTAGTTTAAGTTCTATTTCAGAACTTCAAAACCAAATGATGCTGTATTTAGCGAACCATAGGATAGTGGCGTGTGTACCAAAAGCGACAACGCGAGGAAAATACACTGAATTGTTTACAACAATGGGAGGTTTGCAGAATTTATTCACCATCAATAAACTTTATTGAGACTTGATGGTATACGGTATTTTTTCATATATGTAAAAATTGTTTGAAAACCATTTTTATCGTTGTAATAGATGTACCATTCGTTTTTAAATATCAATAGTTTTGGTAGTGTTTACAGGGGCGTATCACGTTTGGGAGGGGCGGGGGGCGCAGGATCTGACCATAAGTGTCTGTGGTTTTGTAATGTCCGCATACAATCCAGTACATATATAGACAGCCCTTGGCATACCTCAAATTTGTCGCCTGCTAGAAATGTTACATGGTTGATATAATTCGTTTGTATCAAAATTTTCAAAAATAAATAAATTATAGGAAAAAGCATGGCCTTGGGGACAACGAGGACATTTTCCCTCGAGAAAACCCGAAATGCAGCGTATGATATTCCCGCATAAAAGTTGAGTTCGATAAACTGAAACTGTTTTATCAAATGCTACACAAATGAAGATTTAACGTAAATTTCAAATTTTTTATTTATATTTCTCTTCTCTGAATGAACTATATTCCGGTGACTTTTAAGGGTACATGTAGTATGGTATCTGACAAGACTTTTAGATACATTGCATGCATTGCGCCTGTGCTGATTGCAAAGACTATGACTAGACAGTCTAGAACTATTATATATGGGCTCTTTAATATATTGCTTTAAATATTTGTTATTTTATTTGCTAGTTTCATAATACATGTAACTGCATATTGCAAAATAACGCATAATAATGAAAATGTGCGACATTGTGTCTAATTAAAATTTTGACTTTAATTACATAGCTATGTGCGTGTTATTGATAGAATAGACATGCTCAAATATTTCAATTATCATACAATCACAATATTAATATCATTAGGTCTTGCTATAGGCTCAAAAAAAGGAGTTGTCATTCGACGTAAACTTCAATGGAACTCTTAGCAAAAACTAGTTAGCGAGCCTCTGAAAAAGGGATTTCTGAGTCGTAATGTGCCTTTAATATTAACAAAATATATTCGATTCAAAGTTTATCAGTTTCATAATTATTTTCAAACTAGTATGAGGTAAAAAAAATCCTATTTCAATATGTTTTGATGAGGTGACTGATTCTGCTAAATTATCAGGCATGCACTTTATCAGCAGAAATCAATGTAATGACATGATTAAAGTGAGGAGTTGGTTAAATGTATCCAAGAATTTAAAAAAATGGAAGGATTTCATTGGACAAAATATAGTTACAGCCACAAATTTCTTTTATAAACAGGCCGCTTTATTACACAGGTTTAATCCTAAAAAAATACGTAATAGTCATATTACTGAAGAAATAAATAGTTGAACTATAGTTAAAGACCAGCACCACCACAACCAATAACAACAAACAACAACAATAAAAGCAACCACAAGAAAACCCAACGAAACAAACAAATAAACAAAGAAGGGAAGTCACGTAATTATAATCTATAGTATATGTTCAATATATTTCATTTTTAACTAGATAGGAAGATATATGCCCGCCTGTTGAACTTTATTGATGGAGTGACATTTGAAGAAAGCGGTAAACCGAGCTATTTGCTCCACTCTATTGGAGTGTTGGTTGGCAGAATATGCAGCACCCTAAAGGTACGTACATGTATGTTACAATCATACCTTTTTATAGGTTAGCATTGAGACTTAACACCGTTGTCACACAAAAAATAACTGCAGCGACATTTTTTAATGACCTTCACATTTAGTAACATTATCCACGCATGATAAGAATAATGTACGAAACTTGTTTCTAAATTGTTTTTTTTTTACTTTCAATTACATGACTGTATGCGTGTTAATGACTGAATGGACCCGTTCAAAGATAGCAATCGTCAACCATCACGAACTTTAACATCGTAATTCAGAAGAGCAGCACGTCTCCAGATTCTTGCTTATTTTCATGAAAAACAAGTAAAATGAATTAAAAGGTACAATGGTGTCAGGTGAAGAAAGGAAGTAACTTACACATTGCAAACGGCACCTAAAATCTACCAAAATTACCAAAAATAGATAATGATATGGGAAAAATATACATTACTACGCTAGTAACGCAGTAGAAATATGTTGATAAATACTGTAAAATCAGATCATTATTTGTATACAGCATGTTAATTATTTCTTGGATTACGAACACTTACTTTTCGTACATTTTTCATTTAAAAAAATATTTTTGCTCATCTGGAGGTGTGCAGTCTGCTTTAATGAAGTATAAAACCACATAATAACTACTTGTTTTAAAACATTCTTTGTCAGATAGTCAAGAAAAATTATTGTACTTGTTCTGTTCTGTTAACAAAACCAGAGAAGATTGCACAATAATGTAGATGAAACAAGACCATGTGTCTCTTCCAGGATTTTCAATTTGAAAATTACAAAGAAACGACCTCCTTATTTATTCTTCATAAGGCATTGGCGTTGGAAAATCTAACTGACAAATATTTAAATGGATGTAATAGAGATATGGCAAGACAAATTTTGGAACAATATGCCAAAAAAGTTCAACCAAATCTGGAGAAGTTGCAACATGGTGAATTTCATTTTTTAGCGTTCATATAGAAGAATAGTACAGTTATTTTGTTTTCTTAATAATTATTTGGATTATGAATTCAATTATCTAAGTCTTAATGAATTTTCAATGATATTATTATTAACTAAAGCTTTATATTTTCAGAACTTTTGTATAGCTCTTGTCACACAGCTTTAAAATGTGTTTTAAAATTCAATGTTCTATACATGATATTAACCCATGCGAGACAATTCTGTAAGAAATATCATTACTTCGCATCATTTAATGATTAGATTATAAATGTAATTGATTTGCGGATATATATCGCGAATTTATTTGCAGATGGTTTTTTTTAAATACAAATACATGCCTAGCTATTCCACCATAAATCTCATGTACATGTATAATACGTTTCAGGATTTATATGCGGTGATATCAACAGCAGAAATATCATTGTAAAACGATCTACAAACGGAAGCTCGTCTGGTAACATAGAGTACGTCATTTCCGGAATCATCGATTTAGGAGACGCTTGCAAAAGCGCCTACATTTACGAAATTTCCGTTGTAATTGCCGAACTGATGTCTACGTATTTCCCGTCTATTTACCCACTCATTGTCGGCAAACAACTTCTAGAAGGAATAAGAGAGCAATTTCAGTTGACAAACCTAGAGCTGAAATTATTAAAGCTATGCATTTGTGTCAGATTACTTCAAGTTCATCTGCTTATTGAACATATCAAAACTACCCAAGACAATCTCCAGAATGATGAATATTTTGAAAAATGTAGGCATAATTTCTTAGATGTTTGCAAATATCTATGGATGGTTACCGATGAAGTTTTCACAGACACTGTAGTAGGAAATATATAGATGGTAAATAAATTAATACAAGTCTATGAACGAATGAATTTTCTTTGAGTATCGCACGGATGAAACAATAAACAATAAAAATGTACTGACGTTAAAACATAAATTACACAATTTAAACCAATTTTCCATGTAAACAATTGATTGAATCGCCTTATTGTTTAATAAACTGTTTGATACCTTTGAATACAATGCATGACGTTACGCCGGTGGTACTACCTAGGTGCTCGTTCGTGCCCATGAAATAATGCACGAAGGGACACCTGAGGTCTCCTCAACCAGTAAAGCTGGAAAATCGCCGTATGACCTCTACTGTGTTATTACTAGTAAAACCCAGACAAAAAATCGTGACAGTACATAGTCATAAGCAGGTTTTACACAATATCATTTGCAACCAGTTGTGAAGTCCTGAAGAAAAAAACATGTTCGATATTATTTAAATTACAGAAAGAAATATGCTGACTTATAAATAGAGAATAACATGCTACTGTCTTTTGATATCAATTTTATCAGGCGAGGCTGATATGGGCTAGAAAGGGCGAGGCTTGCCGAGCCCTTTCTGCCCATATCAGCCGAGCCTGATAAAATTGATATCAAAAGACAGTAGCATGTTTTTCTATTTATCATGTAACACATAACAACTGTCAAAATAAAAGAATAATCTACTTTTAAATAGCGAATTTCGTTAAAAAGGGGGATTTTTGTTCAAAGAAATAATTCTTGAAAAAAATTCCTCCGCCCCTGAAACTTAGAATTTGTTATTGGCGGCCATTTTTTCTTTCGACTCGGATAAAAGATACAACAGATTGTAGGCCTAATACGATAAAATTCTTACCTTTAATTTAAACATCGATCCAAAAATCCACTTAGAATCACATAAACTAAACTTTACTGCAATTTTTGTCTTGAATTGTCAAATTCAAAAGTTCACGATAATTTCAATCAAAGAAAAGTCAAATCGGCAATCAAACACAAGCTACACAAACATGCGTCTTATTTTTTAAACGAAACAATTTGTTCACTTATTGAATAATAATCCGGCGAAATAAAGTAAACATTTACAAGATCTCAATGAAAATCGTCTAGCCTGTTTGTTATGATTACATGTATAGTATGACGTGAACATCGATGATGTCATTTGCAATATAAATTATGACGTCACTTCATTTAGTTGGAGCTAAAACTATTCGCTATCTAATTTATTCGTAATTGAAATCGAAATAATAGGCCTAAATATCGCACCTTGATTCAAGACTTGTAAGGGTATGAGATTACATTGTAGAATTCACATGCTGGTAAAAATGAGAATGTAAGCAATTGAAAAAAGTCCGTTAAAATGAGCGGGGCTTATTTTTGATATCAGGTTACTGACCTGATATCAAAAATAATTATCAGGCAAGTGTTATCGGGCAGTTACCATAGTAGTTGCATGATAAATAAGCGTCTTTGAATATATGTGGGGATCAGGTGATAATAACACAGTATATAAACAAGTCTATTTCCTGTTATTGCAAGAAATGTTCAAGTTAAAATACATCTGCTCCCAAGACAGGTGCAGTGATTGAAAGTAACAAGTGTTGTACTCTTACATTGAATTGTATAGGCTGTATAGGCGGTATAGGCTCGCTATTCGGGGTAATGTGATTTCGTTTATCTACTGAGAATATGTAAGAACCTTGAACAATTGAACATGTTTAAAATGATATAATCACATACCGGTATATATAATGTTAACGTGAAAATTCAAACAACTTGAACCTCACCGCTGTGGGTTCAAATCCCGACGGGGACTTTGGATTCTTTCATGTGACGAAGCTATCCAGCGTCGATGGTTCTAGTCAGGTGCCCGTTTGTGTCTGAAATAATGCACGGAAGGGCATCTGAGGTTTTCCTCCACTAATTAAGCTTGAAAGTCGCCATAGACCTAAACTGTGTCGGTGCGACGTAAAACCCAATCAAACAAATAAATCAACATGGAAAATAACTAGAAAGTACATACTAGCATTTTATTGCATGCTTTAAAAAATGTCTTTCCAATAAAAAGATACAAGCCTGTTTTGTGAATGAATGTAATGTGAACTTAATTTGTGCGAGCCGAGCAGTCAAGACAACACGTGTGAAAATACATGTTTATTGGTTCAAGATAAAGAAAAATCCAAGTTTAATTTGTGCAGTGTGTTTAATCAATTATTTATCTCTTAGTTCAAATTTTCGACAAGTTCTAGTCTAAATCGCTCGTCATCAATATCCCACAAATATTTACACAAACTGATGTATTCGTCCCTATCAAGTCCAGCATACTCATTACTCGGATCCTTTTCTAAAATCTCAGCACCCAGTACATAATACTGTATCATTCTTATACAAATAATTAATCTAAGATTATCCAATTCAACACTATTTAATTCAAATTCTTTTCTATATCCTCGTAGTATAAGTTTTCCAACTTCAAACGGATTTTGCTTTCCTTGGCACACTGCCATCATGTCCGCCATTAATGTGGCGATCTCGTACACGTAGAAGCTGACACAAGCGTCTCCGTAATCAATTAAACCGGAAATAGTATATTTATCAACTTTTGTTAAAGTTTGCAACACGATGAAATTACAGTCATTGAAATCTCCGTGAATGTATCCTATAAAAAGAAAAGACCATAAAATAACGCTCTAAACTTACAAGATTGTCTATCAAAATGGAAAATCTTTTCTTTTGATATCAAGATTGTCTATCAAATGGACAATTTTTTTCTGAAATCAAATGTTGATATTTTGATGTATTTTGATAATTTTACAATAATTATATGATGATTATGATTATTAATGTTCCTATGTAACAAATTCTTATATTAAATTAACTCTTAAATTATATAGTTCTCACAAATTATTTCAAATAACATAACAAAACAGAAAGTTTATACTAGTATTTAATTTTTTAAGGTAGATATCGAAACTATTTCATATAGTATATAACCTTTCTGAAATGAGGTAATAACCGGCAAGATTTTGTTCTCGAATGCTTTGATGATATTCTCAGCAAGTTCCTTGATGTCGTTATCGCAGTATTTCTCAATGAGCGGTTTCAATTTTGGTGTTCCTGTAAGTTCCCATATTGTCTCAGAGGGTTGAATGTCTTCTTGTTCAAATGTCTATTTCAAGATTAAATATAGCGCACATAGCAATTAAATTAATATCGCAAATAATTGGGTTTTAGAATATACGCCAGAAATAACGCAGTGGCAATGCAGGGTCTTTGAAATAGTATAAACGACCCTGGTCAATGTCAATCCCCAATGTCACAGTCTGATGTGAGTGAAGATGAAAATAATTTATAGTTCTGGAAGTAACTTCACGTAGAAAAAGAGCATTATAACGGCGATTATCGCAGTTGTTTTCCAGTAAACTTTCATATAAAATACTTGATATGGTATTGACTTTTGACAGCTATTTCTGCTCTAAATAACCCAAAGAAACAAATTGTAAAGCATATGCAACTGTATTCATTTAGATAATGATTGTCTTAAGGTTTCTTTTCTTTGTCCCACGTGATAAAGTGGACGGAGCTATAAGCCGTTTGGCGTCTGGTCAATTCTAGTCTACTTCAATCAACGAGCCGAAAGGTGTGGTATGTTTAAACTAGTTAGGATGTTTCGCATGCAAGAAGGGAAGTCTAATACTCAAAATGTGCTGCCATACACGCAATCAGGCAACAGCTGTCTTTTAGGCAATAAATGCGGTCTTATATGCCACAACAGCTCGCAGTCTTATTCGAAATCAACGCAGTATATAAGAAATTAAGGCAATGTATACGGAATCTTGGATGTCACGCCACGTGAAATAAGTAAGGTCTTAGACTTTGATATCTGCAATTGCGACAATCAATTCTATCTGCACATGCCATCAGTTGTTTATAATGACGTGTACATCTTCAAGAATATCTTACAAGAAAACAGGCTTTTATACGTTCTGTCTTCCTGGCATTAAATGAAAGGGAACTCCATGCACTTTACTTTCTTAGCTGAACTGATATACGTAGTCTAATTGGGTAATATAATTATAACAGCACACTTTACCTGCAGGAGTTTATCAACTCTACCCGCAAATCCCCCTAAGTCTTCCATCAAATATATTGGATTTCCTGCCGACCTTAATGTGATGCCAGGTAAATAAGAAAGGACCGTGCATACTTGTTCTTCTGAATCTGAGAATAATGTATTTAAAACACATAGTATTACATGGATGTCAAATAAAGTGCAGTATTATACGTCTTAAAATGTTAAAATCACACATTAAACAGTACAATAAGAAAGAACTGCAGATTCGAATATTAAGCAAGTACCTAAAAGCATGTTTTTTTAAAAGAGTCCTTTGTACAGTTATTAAAATATATACTCCGTTCGGGAACCATACACAATGTAAGAATTCGGGTCAGCTCGGCCCTAAAACGTACTCGGCCCCCGAGTCAGCTCGGCCCTATTCCAACTCGGCACGGGTCAACTCGGCCCACTTTTCAATTATTAATATTTAGGTTTGTGTTATCATTATTTATTGTAATTATTGTAATTATTTGTAATACACCTATTGATAGTTTACGAATTAGCAGCAGACAGGCTTTTCTTATCAGTAAAATTGCGAGTAAAGATAACCGATTGCGTATATCTCACTGTATTTCTGACTTTAATACCTTTAGTGTCAAACAATGTGTATTGTTATGGGCTATTATTATCAATAAGTGAGTATGTTAAGGAGTCCGATTAATTAGGTGATAATTATGATTGACTCATTCATTCATTTGATTAGTGACCACCTGCAATTAATTAGAAGCTTATGATATGAAGTAAACACGTTTTTGTTTTATATTTTTTTGAATATTACTTAACAAACAAAATGCCTCTAAGGAAACACATTTTAATTAGATCGATCTATATTAATTTTATCTGCAAACAAATAAATTAAAAATATCTAAATGTACTTATTTCGGCAGAAGTATAATTATATAACAATAAGATATTTCTCATTATTAATTTACGTACGTAATTGTGATGCATATGCCTACCATTATTAGTATCTTCGTGAAAATTTTCTGTACAATAAGTGCTCCCAGATGTTGTTTTCACTGGTGTACATGTAGTTATACCGTTTACATCGAGGTATGTCATAATACTGTGCTGCAAAACTGACAAGGTTAAATTCATTGACAAGATAAGTTAAAAATCAATTAAAATAATGAATTATGATCAAATTAAATATTTTGTTAGAGAATATTTTCGTTCAGTGTACTGTACATATGTAATTGATATGCGTTAAATTAGACCTGGGTATGTAAACGTCGCTGTCAGTAAAATTAGACAAATGAACTTACTAAGTTCAACTTAGTAAAAATAAAAACAATTTGAAGTTTTTTGAAATTGTAACAGTTTCGCCAGTTACTGTTTCAACTTAACTCAAACTGTACACCATCTTATTTATAATCTATTTTTAATCATTTCAAAAATCAAGTAAACACTTCTTAAAGTAATTTGCAAATAAAAGTCTAAGCATACTTATTGAATCGGTACTCCCCGACGATATTTTCAATATCACCGATTCATATCCGGAATGTCCATCCGAAATCCCATCTACAATATCTATTTTAAAGTTTGCATCTATATATCCGTCAAGAGGTGTTATATTTACGACCGTTTTGCCGTATTCGTCCTTCATAACCGATTTAATCACGTCCTCATTTACACAAACCATTGTCAAAAGGTTTAAAAAGTTTTAATTTACACTACATAATGTCATTTGTTTATATCCGGTTATGACTAAATCTTAAACAAAATGGACGCTGTAATATTTTCCAAATAACTATAATACCAAAGACTTTAAATTTTCAATGAAGGCCGTGCATTAGAAGTGATTCTATATTAAATAACAACATCGTGTCTTAGAACAAATATAAGAATAGATCTAATTTGCATATATGTAGCCTTAAATCTGACATGCAAAAAACAAACAACGACACATTCTGTAAAAAAAGAATTATACTATTGTATATATAGTTTGCTTGCGTTTACTTTCATATTTATTTATTTATTTATTTATAGAAACATGCAAACCATAATTGCATGTCTACATTATTATTTTATATAAAGACAATATTTCGCTTTTATAAAAATTGGCTCTTTAATTAAAATCAACCCGATGCACCTTTAATTAAAACATCATATCAACGCCGGTTATTGTAAAACAGTTGCACGGGGAAAGAAGCTAGTTTCACGGGGAAAGTAGCTAGTACTATGTTTTGCGCTAGTGGTGTTGGTAGTTTTCACTCCGGATCACCACAGGTAGCCACATTGAATTTACCAGAGCACAGTTCAGCCACCAGATCGTGCCTGGGCACCCTGACAAGCAGTTTACCAGAACATGTGGCCTTCATTTTCGCAAGGAACTAATAACGTTTGAATACATGCCAGAACATAGGTCCAGTGCGAATGACCTGGGAAAGGATTTCATGATCAATCACAACGAAAGTGACCTGCACCGTCCGGGAATCGAATCCGTTTAACCCGATTCACAGTCCAACGTGTTACCTATATTCATATTGTGCTTACCGGGCGGCCTCTATATGTTTGCGTTAGAATAACTGGAACAGCCAACCGCTCACTGAGCATGATGACTATTTCGCAAACTTAAGATAACAGTGCGTTTACGGACCGCCCAAAAAAGTAATAATGCGTGAATGAAGATGATCAATTTTATGAAAAATATTCACGGGGGTGGAACCCCATATGGATCTCAAAATTGAACATCGGTAAAAAATATAGGCCTATGTGAATTTCCCCTACTCCAGGTGTGCGCTTTAACTCGATATGTGAAGGAGAAAATAGGTCACACACAGGTTAAGTTTTCAACGTTTAAACATTTATATAAAATTAAAGCTGTTTTAAGAAATTCGAAATATGATTCTACCCTCCTGGCTTTCCTCTATATTTACCAAATTTTGTTCAGATTTTTATGCAGTCTTCATCGAGGTATTCAAATACAAATACAGAGTTTTCACAAAATCTTACCACCAAACGATGCTTAACATTCAAACAAACCCTTGTTGAAACATTTATTGAGATTGGGCTCAAGACAAAAGAATGGTAAAGGTCAATTAAAGGTCAAAGTCACATCTAAATTAATAAATATGTTTGTTTGGTAGCAAGTCTTCGTTTTGACAAATCCGTTCATAAATAACATAATTATGACAATTTAACCAAATTTCAATAATTTGCCCTTAACTGTCAAGGTCATATAAAGCTCAAAGTCAATGTCAGTTAAACCTTTTAGAAGGTTTCAAAGAATTGTTTGTCCAAGTATGAAAATAATCCAATTATAAATTACAAGCTACAGTCAATTATAGCAAAAATCAGTGAACATTGATTAATTCAACCTTCAAGGTCAAGGTCACAAATGAACCAAGATCAATTTAAGATTCATGTACACGAAACTTCTAACCTAAATAATATTGTGCCTTAATATGAAGTCAATCCATGCATTAATTACAAAGTTATTGCCAATTAAATTAACAATAAGGAGAAAATTAAAATAATTTGACCTTTGAGGTCAAGGTCATTATCTGTCTGGTTCACCTGAAGGTCTATCCTAAGAGATTGTTGTCTTCAAGTTTTAAGACAATCTATTTAAAAGTAACAAAGTTATAGCTGCTAATAGCAAAAATCAAGCAAAATTTAGACATTTGACCTTAAAGGTCAAGGTCATTTATAAATGAAGGTCAACTTTTGTTTGGTCTACTTGAAGATCTTGTGAAGTTGTCCCAAGGGTTGTTGTGGCCAAGTGTGAAGACAGTACACTAAGAACTAAACGTTAGGATCGACATTAAAGATTGGGGGACGGCAAGGGCAACACTGACAGGACTGTAATAAAAGAAAACAAGAGGGCCATGATGGCCCTGAGTCGCTCACCAGAAACAACTGCTTTTTCAATTAAAAATAAAAGACTACCTAAGAATGCTACAGACAAAGTTTGGTGATCATCCATCCATTAGTTCTGAAGAAGCAGACGTTTAAAGGTATTTCTATTTTTAGCTTTAGCTGCCCCTAAAAGGGGGCAACCAAAGTAATATGACGAACTTGATAGAACTCTACCTTAGAATGCTACAGACAAAGTTCAAAGGTTTTTCTACTTTAAGCTTAAGCGGCCCCTAAAAGGCGCCAATCAAATTAAATTGAGCAAACTTGATAAAAGACTACCTAAGAATGCTACAGACGAAGTTTAGTGATCATCCATCAATTATTGCAGTAGGAGATGATATTCAAAGCTTTTTTCTATTTTTAGCATAAGCTGCTATATGAGCAAATTTGATAAAAGACTACCTGGGAATGCTACAGACACAATTTGGTGATCATCCATTAATTAGTTCTGTAGAAGGAGAGTTTAAAGGTATTTCTATTTTTATCTTCAGCAGCCTCTAAAAGGGGCCAATCAAATTAATATGAGCTTACTTGATAAAAGACTACCTAAAAATGTTACAGACAAAGTTTGATGACCATCCATCCATTAGTTCTGTAGAAGCAGACGTTTAAAGGTATTTCTATTTTTAGCTTTAGCGGCACCTAGAAAGGGGCCAGTCAAACTAATATGGGCAAACTTGATAAAACACTACTTAAGAATGCTACAAACAAGGTTGGTGATCATTCATCAATTAGTTCTGTAGAAGGAGACTTTTAAATATATTTCTTTTTGTTAGCTCTAGCAGCCCCTAAAAGGCGCCAATCAAATTAATATGAACAAACTTGATAAAAGGCTACCTTAGAATGCTACAGACAAAGTTTGGTGATCATCCATCAATTAGTTTTGTAGAAGATATCTAAAGGTTTTTCTATTTTTATCACTAGAGACCCCTAAAAGGGGCCAATCAAATTAAAATGAGCCAATTTAAGTGTGACTGTCACAAAGATGCTACAGACCAAATTTGAGGTAAATCTGTCCATCAGTTTCAGAGAAGATGATTGTTGACACATGATGATGGACTAACCCCCTTTGATACTAATAGCTCACCCTGAACCTTCGGTTCTGGTAAGCTAAAAAGTCATGCTAAAAATTGTTTGCATTCCCAATATTAACAAACTCCTGGCGGACAAGAGGAAAGAAGGGCTCACTTGTCAGTCTGTCAGAAATTATTACTGTATACCAATTTGTTTATGCTCAATGCGAAGAGCACATAACTGTAGAAAGTACTTCAAATTTTTTAGAGTTTACTGTAGCTATTCATTCTATGTTTCCTTTCACCACCACACACATTATACAAGTTTTCTTTCCAGCTTCTTCACTGTATTATAATATTGTGCCAGCCAGTAATTTACTTCCTTTGGATTTAGCCAAGATTACATTATCCAGGGTAATAAATGAAAGTCTTGTATTCATACCTAGAAATAAAGTACAGTTTATACCAAATAGATCTTGACCTATATATCTCTCATTCCTTTGAAGTTACAGCTTATCATTCTCTTACATTACAAAATGCATGTTGTATCAAGGAAAACAAACATAAATGTACATAAAAATCATGTTTATTAACCAAAACCCCCTTATTATACAAGTATAGATTATCACCATACAAGACCAGTCTCAACAACTTATACATTCTTCTGTGCATTTCACTGACATTTCATATGTAGACATATATTATAAATACAAGTTGAATTTTCTCACGCTTGGATTATACCATTGCATGTTTATTTCACATTTGTCACGCTTGTTTATAAACTTGAACAACAATCTGTGTTTACAAACCTTTAAATTTCACACAAAACTTACTTAATACGTTTTTATTCAAAGTTAAGTTTACAAACTAAAAGCTGACACATTTACACATTAAAATATTGTTTATTTCTTTCCGCAGGAATAAATCTATATCCGCAGGAATAAATCTATATCTTAACAACAATTTTGTAAATGGTCAGTGATCAGATACCAAATATCAACATTTTATTTTATAAATACATAATTATTACACACTTTTGGGGTACAATAATGACAAAAACTGGGTCAGGATAAACTGTTACCACACAAAATAACTTAAAATTCTTTTTAATCTGGACAAGGCCATTCCTTAATTCTTTGGAAAATGTTTCAGAATATTTACTGACGGTACAGCAAACAGTGCGGACCGGTACAGCAAACAGTGCGGACCGAACAGCGCAGACAGTGATCAGATCATGATAGGACAGCCGAGAGTTAATATCAATATAATTACACAATATAGGGGTACAAATAAATGGATGTCTTCATATTCTCCATGATTCACACAAAAAAGTCTCACACTCAATCTACACAACTGTATGCCTGGTCAATTTTTTTTTCAGACATACCGGTACATATGAAACCAACATATTAGAAAATTCATCTGAGCCACCGCATTTCATAAAATCATTCTTCAATAAAAACAAGAGCACAAAATATGCTTGTCTCACAGTAAAAAACACTTTAAACAAAAAAAGGGGCATAACTCCAAAAATATAAATTTCTAAGTTAAAAAGAGGCATAACTCCAAAAAAATTATGTTCCTTGTCTAACAACTGCACCTTGTCAAGATAACCACATTCATGTTGACAAATTCTAAAATGTTTTAATAATGGGCTACATTAAAGTTTTTGCACAACAAACCAGGCTAAAACCACACAGACGTCACACCAATCATAATAGCTCCACTTATTCTTCAAAACAGACGTGCTGATCAAAATGTATAATTTGAGCAGAAAATTTAGTGGTAGAACATGCTTACCTTTACCTGTAATGCCCAGGAATGAGATTAGTGTAAACAAAGCTGCTTAAAATGAAATATTTACATTTTTTTAGATAAATCTCTCTCATTCCTTCAAATATCTCCCACATTTTGACATTTATTGTGTATGTGGGTTTTTTGCTTTTTTATATTTTGTTTCGAAGAACTCTCAAGTTTATCAAACAATTTATAAATTATTGAACTTGTCAGTAAACAGGAAAAAATTCAAAGAACAAAAATGCATTTAAGATGAGACTTAAATGGCTTCAATAATTACATGTCAATATGTTAGTTAAATCATGTAAATAGATAAGACAGCTTCTATTAACTGAGGTATATGAGCCGCATCATGACAAAACCAACATAATTGGTTTGCCACCAGCAAGGATCCAGACCAGCCTGCGCATCCGCACAGTCTGATCAGGATATGTGCTGTTTGCTTACAAACCCTACATCAAGTAGAGAAACTGATAGCGAACGGCATGGATCCTGATCAGACTGCGCGGACTATGTTGGTTTTGTCATGACAATATATATATGTAAATGCATGATTAAAATATAAAGTAAAACAAGTTTTGTATTTTTATTTTTAAATCAGTAACAAGCAGGCACCCCTAAAGAATCCCTAACCTTTAATACATATTGTCACCTTAGTGTCACCTTAGTGCAGTAACGCGTTAACTCCTATTAAAATTACATAAAGAGTTAACCCATTACTGCACTAAGGTGATGATATATGCTAGTGTCCTCATCTGTATCTACAATAATCCATTCTGTACCGTAATTTGAACCAACAGTCAAGGGTCTGAAAGTCTCGTATTTAACCCCTTCGTACCCTCTAAACATACCAGTCAAGTATTCGAATCGGCAGGGATTTACAATGGAATATATAAAACTCGTAGAATTCTGACCTTAAAAGTATGGTTATACTGTATTCAATAAAGTAATAAATGTAATACTAACATTGTGAGATCATAACAAGAGTCTATAAAGAAGATATTTCAGCACCTTTAACATTTGTGCTGTTTATGTGTGGGTGTTTTTTCATTTCTATTTTGAGATTCTTTAATGAACGTCACTTTTTCTATAACAAAAAAGTAAAATATAATAATCTAGACAGATTCAAAAAAAAAATATATCAACAAACAGATCTTGGCTGTATATACTGTATAAATAGCATTTTAACAAAACTTGGAAAAAAATGTGCAGTTAGGTTGTATTAATCACTGTATAATCCACTACAGTACAGCATCTTCTATTGATACAATAAACATGCTTAAATTACACTCACTCACATACATATTTACTAGCACACTTTCTCATATCTATAAAATGCCTATGGGTGATCATCCACAAATGCACATGATTTGTACTGAAAAGACTCTCATCATCTCCAAAGCAACAGTTTATAGGTAGATCTTAAAGGTGAGTTCATCAATGAAATACCTATTTTGTTTAGGTTAATTTTTATTAAATAATAATTGCTTAACAGTAAGAAGACAACATTGCATGTGACCAGCAAAACCATTATAATCTCTTAATTAAGTAACAGACTTATTCAGAGATCTAAGCAGTCCATAAAAATTGTATCTATATAACCTCTTAATTAACTGACAGGTTTTAGTATCTGTGATCAAAAAGCACTAAAATCAATGAACAGATCTTAACAACAAAAACCCTTACCAAGGTAATGGTCAAAAACCTTCTATCAGTTTGTTGTTGTGGTTGTTGACAATTTTGAAGCATATTTTACCAGCAAAATAACAAACAATGCAGACAATGAACAGAGCTGATCTTGATCTGCACTGGTTGTATAAGTACGATATGCTTCTGCCAGCAGGCTAAGAGTTAATGATTTACTACAATGTACATTTATGCAGTTATATTAAAGCTCTAAATGAAAAGATCTATCTGTAAAGTGCAATCACCATTTTAGAATGTAACATCCAGAAGACACTAAACTGACAATTCAAAAACAACAAATTCATCACCTATGAAAGAATTTTCAATCATCAAAGCCTTAACAGAATTATATCTAAACAATACAGCAAGCATAAACTATAAAAGATATACATATATAATATATACATGTGTGATAGAAGAGCATTGCTTCTGTTATAATCATAATAAAACATACATTTTGAAAAAAATCACAACTTTCATAACAACACATATCTTTCACCTTCGGACTGGTACACATGCTATTCATTTTATGTGTTTTACTTTCTGTATGTCATAAAATCTTATTATTTCATGCATTATTTAGGCAATTGAAAACTCTTTCATTTAATGACATATCTGTATTGATATTCCATGTTGAAATTCTCTCGCAACTAAAACTGGTCAATTATAAAGTCAAAGCTGAAATAGTACTTTAAACAAATTAAGTAAAGTAGCCCTAATGGTGATAAAAGTAAGGAAAGAAAGATACTGGAATAGGCCTATCTCAAGATTAAAAAAGAAAAAAAAAAAAAAAAAAAAAATTTTTTACAAGTAATTTAATCATCATTACTTTCCAGATAAAGTATAATGTATATGAATTATATTCTGTACAACAGAACTGTAACCCATCATTATTGCCACTTGATTCGGATAATCCTATTATTAACAACTGTCACACTTGTCTATATGAGTATCAACCAGAGATCAAGATTTATTTAGTTGGGTTTTCTAATCACATCTACAAATATGAACTGTAGTGGGAAAATTGCCACAGTTGATTGTTGAATAAAACCTCCAAGAACCCTCGGTGCATTATTTGAGGGGTGAACTGGCACACGAGTAGGGACCAACATTCCATCACATAGCAGGATAATGCCCTTACATAAAAAAAAATCCAAAGTCAATGCTAAGATTTGTACCCATAAATGATAATGGTGGGGAAAAAGTCAAACACAGCTGTCAACTTTAACTGCCAGACCATAAAATACCAAAATAACTTTACATAATTACAATCATGTTCTATATGATACCCTTTTGAGCATTTTATTTGAAAGTAAATGATGGCAATCTATAAGATTAATAAATATTGCTAGATGGTCTTACTATAAGATAAATATTGCTAGATGGTTTAATGCACTGGTCCGATTGGTTTTTAGCAATAAATATTTCATAAGTTAACCCTTTATCTAATGACACTGAATAAATTAGCTTTAATTTTGTCACCAATTTTAACCCACTCTGTATGTCTGACAAGGCTTAAGTTTATTTGTTGGTAACTCAATATTTAGTATTTTAGTAATGAAATTCCTTGAGCATCAAATGGAGTTCCAAATTCAAAACAGGGCAAATTCATGAGGCTTAAGGGTCAATTATTAATTAATCAAGATTATTCATGGAGATCTTTGTTTGGACAGTAATAATGTATTATTTGGCATTCGTATTCATCAAAACTCAGCGTAATTTATTTTATAAAACAACAAAAATAACAACAACAACACTCACACACCAGATATACAAGGTAAACATTAATATATATTATTCGAACAATACAGGTTTTCATCATTCAATGTTTTGGAGGTATTCATTGTAACCTTCTTCACTCATGAGTTCCTCTAGTTCACTCGGGGTTGAAAGTGTCATCTTGTATAGCCAGCCTATAAAATGTGAAGAAAAAATGTTTAAAAAGAAATTATTTCGCACTGCCATTTTGGCTATTGGTTAAAAACTTGTAAATAAAGCCCACCTTGTGTAAAACATAGAGATCACTTCCAAAGAAATTTGTTTTTGTTTATTTTACAGCCGATATTTGGTCATATTCCCAAATGAAACTAGAAATGTGTCCATAGGACACGGATGCCCCCACACGCCACTGTTCTGTCAATCTTATGACTCTAGGTCAAATATTTTTTGGATTACATGTGCCACAAGTTGAAAACTAAAAATCAACAAAGGGCCATAATTCTGTTAAATTTGGTCGCAGCGAAAATTCCTTCCTTTACTACCATCTTCACCTTAAGGTTGTTCATCCCTGGAAGTTTAAGCAAAATCTGCCACGCGGTTTAAGAGGAGTTGCGTTCACAAAATTTCTACATAGTATATAGTGAAAAAATCAACAAAGGGCCATAATTCTGTTAAATTTGGTCGCAGCAAAAATTCCTTCCTTTACTACCATCTACACATTAAGGTTGTTCATCCCTGTAAGTTTAAGCAAAATCTGCCATGCGGTTTAAGAGGAGTTGCGTTCACAAAATTTCTACATAGTATATTGTGAAAAAATCAACAAAGGGCCATAATTCTGTTATATTTGGTCGCAGCAAAAATTCCTTCCTTTACTACCATCTACACATTAAGGTTGTTCATCCCTGTAAGTTTAAGCAAAATCTGCCATGCGGTTTAAGAGGAGTTGCGTTCACAAAATTTCTACATAGTATCTAGTGAAAAAATCAACAAAGGGCCATAATTCTGTTAAATTTGGTCGCAGCGAAAATTCCTTCCTTTACTACCATCTTCACCTTAAGGTTGTTCATCCCTGGAAGTTTAAGCAAAATCTGCCATGCGGTTTAAGAGGAGTTGCGTTCACAAAATTTCTACATAGTATATAGTGAAAAAATCAACAAAGGGCCATAATTCTGTTAAATTTGGTCGCAGCGAAAATTCCTTCCTTTACTACCATCTTCACCTTAAGGTTGTTCATCCCTGGAAGTTTAAGCAAAATCTGCCACGCGGTTTAAGAGGAGTTGCGTTCACAAAATTTCTACATAGTATATAGTGAAAAAATCAACAAAGGGCCATAATTCTGTTAAATTTGGTCGCAGCAAAAATTCCTTCCTTTACTACCATCTTCACATTAAGGTTGTTCATCCCTGTAAGTTTAAGCAAAATCTGCCATGCGGTTTAAGAGGAGTTGCGTTCACAAAATTTCTACATAGTATATTGTGAAAAAATCAACAAAGGGCCATAATTCTGTTATATTTGGTCGCAGCAAAAATTCCTTCCTTTACTACCATCTACACATTAAGGTTGTTCATCCCTGTAAGTTTAAGCAAAATCTGCCATGCGGTTTAAGAGGAGTTGCGTTCACAAAATTTCTACATAGTATCTAGTGAAAAAATCAACAAAGGGCCATAATTCTGTTAAATTTGGTCGCAGCGAAAATTCCTTCCTTTACTACCATCTACACATTAAGGTTGTTCATCCCTGTAAGTTTAAGCAAAATCTGCCATGCGGTTTAAGAGGAGTTGCGTTCACAAGATTTCGGGACGTACGGACAGACTGACGGACGGACGGACGGACTGATTGACGGACGGACGGACAAGTGCAACGCTATATGCTCCCACATTGTGGGGGCATAAAAAGTATATTATTTTCCCAATCCACATGAAAAAATTCATAACTGTAAGTTACAAAATAAAAATATTGAATAACAAATTCTCAAATCTTTCAAAGTAAGGGCTTCTTCACTGTTATGGTGTTTAACCCTTTCGCTGCCAGAGGGTTATTGTTTTATTGATCACCTATTTGCCAGAGGGTTTTCTAAGAAATTACTATATTATTAATTAATATAATTATACTTATTTGTTATTAGTATTATAATAATTATATATAATTCCAAATCTGTTAGTATAATGATAATCATTGTCGATGGTATAATTTTCTTTATATTTTTTTATTATTATTATTAATTTATTATTATCATCATTATAATTATAGAAACGGCGAAAGCTGTCCATATGGCAAATACGCCAAAAATAACAGTGAAAGGGTTAAATGTTTGAAGACGCCATCCTAGACAGTGGTTCATTGCATTCAATCAATCACTGCCAAATTTGAGTCATGCATTTTTTCCCTTTTTTTTCACACAACATTGCTGAAATTCCAAATTCCATGGAAAAAACTGCTACCAGGAAGGTGGTTATTTAGGTTATTTCATAAGCTTTCGATTTCCTTTCATTAAGTTTTATAATTTTTAAAACTTAGACATTTTTTGGTTAGAAGCCTCTTTAAAAACAAAAACAATATATAATGACATACCTTCTTCAAAAGGACTTTGATTTATTTTTTGAGGGCTGTCAGCAACAGCCTGGTTAATTTCTGTCACTTCCCCGCTAACAGGACTGTATATATCACTAGCTGCTTTAACACTTTCAAGTACACCGGCATCACCTGATAATATATATAGTATTCATGAGCATAATTCATGTGTATAATTATGAAAATCCATTCACTCAAATTAAGAACACTAAAAAAACATTACCTTTATACCATAATAATTTCTTGACCAGATTTAACAGCCTTTTTTTGCACCATAAGTTGATAGTGGTAAGTCAAATAAGATAGAAATTTTGTATCACTATCATATTTATTAATATCATTGTTTGTTTTTCATGTTTTTTAAGACATTATTTGGTCATATCTCAATCTCAGAAGTCCATCCACTAAACCTAATTTCCTGAATAACTAGTAATTATCAATTTCACTGCATGTGGTCAACTATTGATCCCACATGATTTATGAAGCAGCAGTGAAGATAGGACTAACATGTCAGTGATCAAATGTCACAGACAAACTATGCTTCCCTGAGGATTTAACAAACCAGAGATCAAACCCTTGATTTCTTATCTGATATTTTATCTGAATTATCCTGATAAAAACATGTCAAAAAACAAGGTTTTTATACAAATTGTCAAGGTATCTACTGGTTCTCTTTATTTCCCAATTAATTTTTTCTATAATCATTATATTTCTGAATTAAAAAGTTAAAACAAGATTGCATTTGAGAAAAATGCTATGCCACCGCATGGTTCAAATTTCATAGCTGTACATCAAAGGACAAGAAAGTAGGTCACATCATCAAAATCTAGGTCACCTGATATCAAAGTTCAATTTTACAACTAAAACTGTGCACATGGTCAAAATGTCATTACTGTACATCAAAGGACAAGAAAGTAGGTCACTGTCCCCTTGGGCAAGGCATAATTTTGACCCAAGGGTTTAATTCAAAACAATTTTGATACAGGTCCACAAAACAACATTTCAAGTCAAATATCTAAGCTATAGCTTTCTCCCATTCAGAAAACATTTGTTTTATTTTCTGTTTTTACTATGTGTACATAATGAGAAATCACTGCCCCGGGCAGGGCAATTTTGACACCAGGGGAAATTTTGAACAACTTTGGTAGAGGACCTATAAATGATATTATATATCAAACATCAAAGCTCTATGCCTTGTACCTTCAGACAAAAATTTTTTTATTTTTTCACTATATGTACATAATGAAAATCAATGACCCCCGGGGCGGAACCAATTTTGACCCCAGGGCTATAATTTGAACAATCTTGCAAGAGGTTCACTACACAATGTTTCATGCAAAATATCTTAACTCTAGCCTTTGTAAATTTAGAGAAGATGATTTTTTAAGTTTTTACTATATACATATAAGGAAAACCTATGGCCACCGGGGGCGGGGCTAATTTTGACACAAGAGGCAAAATTTAAATAACGTTTGTAGAGTACCTTTAGATGATATTATTTAACAAATATTAAAGCTCTAAGCCTTGTACCTTCAGACAATAAGATTTATTTATTTTTTACTATATGTATATTTTGAAATCAATGACTCCAAGGGCGGGGGCAATTTTGACCCCAGGGCTATAATTTGAACAATCTTGCTAGAGGTTTACTACACAATGTTTCATGCAAAATATCTAACCTCTAGCATTTGTCAATTGCTAGAAGAATTTTTTTTAAAGTTTTTACTATAAGTTTTTACTATATACATATAAGGAAAACCAATGACCCCCGGTTCGGAGCCGATTTTGACCCCAGGGCTATAATTTGAACAATCTGGGTAGAGGTCTACCAGACAATGCTTTATGCAAAATATATAAGCTCTAGGCCTTTTGGGTCTTTACAAGAAGGTGTTTTAAGTTTTTACTATATGTACATATAGTGAAAATCAATGACCCCGGGGCGGGGCCAATTTTGACCCAAGGGCTATAATTTGAACAATCTTGTCAGAGGTCTACCAGACAATGCCTTATGCAAAATATCTAAGTTCTAGGCCTTTTGGGTCTTTACAAGAAGATTTTTTAAATTTATTCTTATAATTCCTTTTGGTTGCCATGGCAACCAGATTTCTGCATGGAATGAAATTCTTTGAACAACTTTGGAAGCCCTTCACCCAAGGAACAATCCTGCCAAGTTTGGTTGAAATTGGACTAGTGGTTTTTCACAAGAAGATTTTTTAAGTTCACTATATAATCTATATAACACACACACAAACACACACACAAACACACGCACAAACACACGCACACACACACAGGTGAATCGCTATATGCCACCGCATCGCAGATGCTGCGGTGGCATAAAAACATATTTTTTTTTAATAAATAACTTGAATTTCAAGGGACCAAACATATTATTTGAGTTTTAACGTCAGAATTATCAATCATGAAATTTATCCTTAAAATTTTGAATATAACACATACCATCAGATTCCAATGTCTGTCCAATATCTGGCAGTTGTACATATACCACTTCTCCTAACTTATCCTGTTTAAAAGAAAAATATTATTATTTATTTTAATGTGGAATAAGAATCTCAAAAAAATGCAATAACTGGCTATAATATATGAATATGCATGAAATGTTCCCTTGCTCAGTAGTCGATAAACAGAAAACCATGATGGCCCTAGATTGCTCACCCAAGATTATTAAGTTATTATGCTTCAATCCAGTGACATTCAGGCAAAATTAACAAAGAAGAAATTGTTTCTACCAGAAAACAAGGCTATAAATTAAACAATACTTAAATGTTACTTACAAATTGTATCTTTTTACAAATTGTATCTAACTTATTAACTATTTCATAAGAGCTTGTAACAGAGATATATCACCACAGGAAAGTTTTACATGAAGCACACAATAGTATTATAGGGCTGTCATTGATGGACAATTTTGTATTGATATATCGAGAAACAAATGTCAACGATATATCCATATATTGACTTTAACAGTAGGTACAATGAAAAACCTTTAAATGTGTGTTGTAAATTGGTGTTATGCATGCTTGTATTAGACTACAAATACTATAAACTAACAGAAAGTTTCTTTTTTCTGTTATTTTTGTCACTGACATTTGAAAACAAAGTTTAAAGTTCAAGAAAACTGGAAAAAAGTAACTTCTCTTTTTAGGCAAAATTGAGAGGTATATACTTACTAACAGAAATAAATAAATTTTAGCTTGTATCTATATTTGAAAATGTGTATTGATATTGTATTGGATGAAGAATATCTATGATATATCAATATCGCGATATTCAATGACAGCCCTATAGTATTATTCCAAAATTTTGAAGTAAGGATCTGGATTTTTAACGCAAAATCTTGATTAATGATAGATCTGCACATGCAACAATAAATTCATTACCGGTACTGATTATGATATATATTGAAATCTGACCTACACATGCAAGTGTGAACTTGACCTGAGTGGTAGGGTGTCTTAATGGTTGCACATGACACAGTGCCTTAATACGGTGAATATTTGTGCAAACTTATTCAGAATGGAAAAAATGTGGACCACAAACAAACAGGGTCTATAACTATGTTAGGCTTTGACCTCGTAGAGTGACTTTGACCTTGGAGGTAGGGGTCTGGGTGTTACAGATAGCAAATTAACTTATTAAGGTTAACATTTGTGCCAAGTCATTTCAAAATTCATTGATGGATATGAATTATATAAAGTGTGACCTTGACCTTTGGGGTAGGGGGTCTTGGTGTTGGACATGACTTGCTGCCTTACTATGGTGAAAACAAGTGCCAAGTTATTTCAAAACTCTTTGATGGATGAACAAGAGCTGTCGGTAGGACAGCAACGCTCGACTATTCTTAGTGCTTGATTGTAAACAAAAATGCTTGATACAGTTACCTCCTCCTGTTTACAGGTTGGGGTAATGATGGTGAACAAGTGTGCAAAGTTTCAAAGCCATATGTCAATGGACTTTGAAAATATTTGAGGTATTACAAAAACTTTAACATAAATTCTAAGTCAAAAAAAAAGGAGCATAATTCTGTCAAAATGCTTGATACAGTTACCTCCTCCTGTTTACAGGTTGGGGTAATGATGGTGAACAGGTGTGCAAAGTTTCAAAGCCAAATGTCAATGGACTTTGAAAATATTTAAACTATTACAAAAACTTTAACATAAGTCAGAGATCTGCCAAGAATTTGAAAGTACTGGGCCCTGGGCCCACTTGGTCTGAAAATGATGGGCCATTTTTACCAAAGTATGGGCCTTGGGAAAATAAGTAAACATTGACCAAAATAACTGTTAAAAAGTTTGTAGATACATGTAATTGAATTTCCCCGGTAATAAAACTTAAATCATATTTTATGACAAGTGGTTCACTTATAATTCAGTACTTTACCAATAATTAAAAATTATGCCTACATGGTAACTTTCTAACTAATATTAATTGCAGGCAAAAATGAAAATATTTTACAGGAGCATGGGTAACATGTTGCTGTTGGTACCAGTTTTGACTGGATGACTAAATAACCCAGCAGACAGTTTTGTTTTCTTATAAGTCTGGCACAGATTTTAGATGCGCCCATGGCCCTTTGCTGCCGATTTTCCTGCGCCATTCTCATTTTTTTAGCGCCAATGGCGCAAAATCGCATCCTCGGCAGATCTCTGCATAAGTGGTTACGCGGACGCTCGGGTGACTACAATAGCTCTACTTATTCTTATCGAATAGTCGAGCTAAAAAGTTATGGCCTTGACACAAAATATACTGTCCATCAGATAATGTTGGCCTTTGGCCTCTAATTGTGACCTTGACCTTGGCGGTAGGAGTCTTGATTTTGCCCATGACACAGCATCTTCTTATGGTGAAAATTTGTGCTAAGTTATTTCAACATCCCTTGATAAATTATCAAGTTATGGACCGGACACAAAATGTGACAATGAGATCATACCTGAGCATAATCTGTAATTCCAACTGTACCTTGAGTGTTCCCATCATCTACATCAATCCACTCATGTTTCTCTGTGAAATACTTCTCTGAAATCATACAATTAAGATTTGTTTTTAGAAGAATAAAATATATAAAATTTACTGTTTTGTTTTTTGTAAGGGAAAAGACCAGCCCTGCAGAACAGTATATAACAAGATATGTTTGTAAAACATGTATGCCCCCTATTGGCAGCCAATTAGTCATATGATCAGGTTATTATGCATGACTTCTGACCCTGTGAACAAACGATTAATAAGGGTTATCTAGTATCTACAGGTCATGACTAGTCACAAGGTAATAATTATTGTGACCCCATAGGTTGTGTGCAGCAATTTAAGTTATTACAAATCTTACAAATAATATATGCATAAATTTTATGAATCATGTAGGCCTCATTAATGACAGCCAAGTTGTTATATTACATAAGACCTTCAAATGTGTATACCAAAAGCATTTTTAGTTTAATATAAAAATATCAACCAAGGCAACTTGAGTTGTTGAGTTATTGGTCACAAACCGTCATTAAGTACAAGGTCAATATGACATTGACCCCTTGACCCCAAAATCAATAGGGGTCATCTACTGGTCATGACCAATCATCATACCAAGTTTGAAGTTCCTAGGCCTATGCATTCTTTAGTTATTGATCAGAAACCGTTTTTACCTACAAGGTCAACGTGACCTTGACCTTTGACCCTTTGACCCCAAAATCAATAGGGGTCATCTGCTGGTCATGACCAATCATCATACCAAGTTTGAAGTTTCTAGGCCTAAGTGTTCTTAAGTTATTCATTGGAAACTGTTTTCACCTACAAGGTCAATGTGACCTTGACCTTTGACCCCTTGACCCCAAACTCAATAGGGGTCATCTGCTGGTCATGACCAATCACCATACCAAGTTTGAAGTTCCTAGGCCTAAGCGTTCTTTAGTTATTGTTCGGAACCATTTTTACCTACAAGGTCAATGTGTCCTTGACCTTTGACCCCTTGACCCCAAAATCAATAGGGGTCATCTGCTGATCATGACCAATCACCATACCAAGTTTGAAGTTCCTAGGCCTAAGCGTTCGTTAGTTATTGATCAGAAACCATTTTTACCTACAAGGTCAATGTGACCTTGACCTTTGACCCCTTGACCCCAAAATCAATAGGGGTCATCTGCTGGTCATGACCAATGATCATACCAAGTTTGAAGTTCCTAGGCCTAGGCATTCTTTAGTTATTGATCGGAAATCGTTTTTACCTACAAGGCCAATGTGACCTTGACCTTTGACCCCTTGACCCCAAAATCAATAGGGGTCATCTGCTGGTCATAACCGATCACCATACCAAGTTTGAAATTCCTAGGCCTAAGCATTCTTTAGTTATTGATCGGAAACCGTTTTTACTTACAAGGTCAATGTGACCTTGACATTTGACCCCTTGACCCCAAAATCAATAGGGGTCTTCTACTGGTCATGACCAGTCACCATACCAAGTTTAAAGTTCCTAGGCCTAATGATCGGAAACCGTTTTTACCTACAAGGTCAATGTGACCTTGACCTTTGACCCCTTGACCCCAAAATCAATAGGGGTCATCTGCTGGTCATGACCAATCACCATACCAAGTTTGAAGTTCCTAGGCCTAAGCATTCTTCAGTTATTGATCGGAAACCGTTTTTACTTACAAGGTCAATGTGACCTTGACCTTTGACCCCTTTACCCCAAAATCAATAGGGGTTATCTGCTGGTCATGACCAATCACCATACCAAGTTTGAAGTTCCTAGGCCTAAGCGTTCTTTAGTTATCACTTGGAAACCATTTGGTCTACGGACCGACAAGTGCAAAGCAATATACCCCCTCTTCTTTGAAGTGGGGGCATAATTATGTATAACCGTGGGTTCAAGTTCCAATAATTAACTACTGCTTAATCTCAACCTGTGTCATTTAACATGTGATGTCTTTTAATAAAAAGGAACTATATCATCATGACAAAGGCTACATGTCAATCACTTAGTCTTGTCATGTGTTTAATTGAATTTCAATAATGGGTAATTTAACATTCACCTATTTTTTAACAAAAAAAATCTAGATTCATATGTGGCATACTTTGTGTTCCTTGGAAAATTTTAAACACAGACTTAAGGGGGCACCACTATGCATTACCAATCTAGAGCCCATACCTCTCTTATCTTTGCTGACTAAGGGCAAGAACAAGCAAATTTACTGAACTGATATCTTCTGTCATTGGAAACAAATAACTCAATTGAAAGGTTAAATAACCTGTTATAATGAAACCATTTCCAGGAATAAGTACAAAGATTACTCTGACATGAAAGAAGTATTTATTTTCATAAGACACAATATCAAATATTGCCTTTCATAATATTTGTCACCATTCTGCACCATGCATTACTCATGAACCACTCTACACTACAGAAACAAGAGGGCCATGATAGCCCTGAGGTCGCTCACCTGTATATAGGCCCCCCACCCCCGGGCCAATTTTTACCCAAGGGCTTTTATTTGTTTATTTGAACAGACTTGGTAGACACCCATAAGAAGATGTTTCATGCTAAACATCTAAGTTCTAGCTCATTGGCATTTTTAAAAGAAGATTTTTAAAGTTTTTACTATACACATATAGTTAAAAACAATGTCACCCCGGGGGCAGGGCCAGTTTTAACCCCCGGGCGTTTATTTTAACAAACTTTGTAGATATTTACTTAAAGATGTTTCATGCTTAATATCTAAACTCTAGCTATTTGGGTTTTTCCAAAGAAGATTTTTAAGTTTTTGCTATACACATATAAGGAAAATCAATGACCCCCCCCCCCCCGGGCCGGGCCAGTTTTGACCCCAGGGCTTTTATTTGAACATACTTGGTAGACACCCATTAGAACATGTTTCATGCTAAATATCTTAGCTCTAGCTCTTTGAGTTCTTTAAAAGAAGATTTTTTAAGTTTTTATTATATGCATATAGGGAAAATCAATGACCCCCTGGGGCGGGGCCAATTTTGACCCCAGAGCTTTTATTTGAACAAACTTGGTAGACACTCATTAGAAGATGTTTCATGCTAAATATCTTAGCTCTAGCTCTTTGGGTTCTTTAAAAGAAGATTTTTTAAGTTTTTTACTATATGCATATAGGGAAAATCTATGACCCCCTGGGGCAGGGTCAATTTTGACCCCAGGGCTTTTATTTGAACAAACTTGGTAGACATTCACTAGAAGATGTTTCATGCCAAATATCTAAGCTCTAGCTCTTATGGTTCTTTAAAAGAAGATTTTTTTAAGTTTTTACCATATGCATATAGGGAAAATCAATGACCCGGGGCGGGGCCAATTTTGACCCCAGGTCTTTAATTTGAACAAACTTGGTAGACACTCACTAGAAGATGTTTCATGCTTAATATCTTAGCTCTAGCTCTTTGGTTCTTTAAAAGAAATTTTTTTAAGTTTTTACTATATGCATATAGGGAAAATCTATGACCCCCTGGGGCGGGGTCAATTTTGACCCCAGGGCTTTTATTTGAACAAAATTGGTAGACATTCACTAGAAGATGTTTCATGCCATATATCTAAGCTCTAGCTCTTATGGTTCTTTAAAAGAAGATTTTTTAAGTTTTTACTATACGCATATAGGGAAAATCAATGACCCCCGGGGCGGGGCCAATTTTGACCCCAGGGCTTTAATTTGAACAAACTTGGTAGACACTCACTAGAAGATGTTTCATGCTTAATATCTTAGCTCTAGCTCTTTGGGTTCTTTAAAAGAAGATTTTTTAAGTTTTTACTATATGCATATAGGAAAAATCAATGACCCCCTGGGTTCGGGGCCAATTTTGACCCCAGGGCTTTTATTTGAACAAACTTGGTAGACATTCACTAGAAGATGTTTCATGCCAAATATCTAAGCTCTAGCTCTTACGGTTCTTTAAAAGAAGATTTTTTAAGTTTTTACTATATGCATATAGGGAAAATCAATGACCCCCAGGGGTGGGGCCAATTTTGACCCCCAGGGCTTTTATTTGAACAAACTTGGTAGACACTCACTAGAAGATGTTTCATGCCAAATATCTAAGCTCTAGCTCTTATGGTTTTTTAAAAGAAGATATTTAAAGTTTTTTCTTTTGGTTGCCATGGCAACCAGAGTTCTGCATGGAATTAAATTCTATGAACAATTTTTAAAGGTGACCACCAAAGGAACATTCCTGTGAAGTTTGGATGAAATTGGCTCAGTGGTTTATGAGGAGATGTCATTTAAAGCAAAAGTTTACGGACGGACGACGGACGGACGGACGCCGGACGAAAAGCTATCACAAAAGCTCACCCTGTCACTTTGTGACAGGTGAGCTAAAAAGCCGGTATTATAAGTCCTGAAAATGGTCCTGTCCAGAAACTGGTTCACAACCAGTACAGTTTCTACATATCATTATTTCTTTTTTATAAAAAGGTTGATAATGATTTTGAAGTTTTTATGAAGTCTTTTAACCTGCTTTTAACTATTGATTGCGTAATATGGTCTGTTTGTATTCATTCATGAAGAACTCCATTTCAATAGTAAAGTGAAGTAATATGCTGATAGAACTATACATAATCTACTAATAAGCCAAGTATCAACATTTTTGTTTTTTTTGTTTCGGGTTTTATGTCAAATCGACACAGTATAGGTCATATCGCGACGTTCCAGCTTTACTGGTGGAGGAAGACCTCAGGTGTCCTCCCGTGCATTATTTCAGGCACGAACGGGCACCTGAGTAGAACCAACGACGTTCCGTAAGCTAGCTGGATAGCTTCCTTACATGAAAGAATCCAAAGTCCCTGTCGGGATTCGAACCCACAGCGGTGAGGGGCAAGTGGTTTGAAGTCAATGACCTTAACCACTCGGCCACGGACGCCCCAAGTATCAACATATCAGTGGTGTTTTTTTTTTAGGAAAAGGAGATGACGCTGGGTACCAGTACTCTAAGCTGTTCCCACGAAATAATAGATTTCTTAAGTGTCATGGGTGACATCAGCCGGTTTAATTGATGATATGCTATATGGTTTGCAACTTTATTGACAGTGTTAATATTTTAATAATTTAAATAGTGTAGAACGATGTTGAATTTATATTGCCACAGGGTGAGACAAATGTTAAGCCTGACCAGGATTCGAGCCTATAGGACCCTTGGAATACCATACCAGGGCTCTACCGACTGAGTTATCCGGCCTCTTACACATTATCTCCACAAATTAGTTAACAGTTCCGAGCTGCGTCATACTCCACTGCTTTATTGAAAATCATCCTCAAATTTTCAGGGTAACAGAGCAATGTGTATGAAACTCTGATCTATTTGCAGTCATGGTCCCCCATTGGACACCATTTGTCACAGGAAGAGAAAAATTTGAGGCTGACTGGGACTCCAACTCAGATTCCTCTGAATACTGTACCATGCAGGGCTTTTATTCCTTCTATAACAGGGGCCGATATTAGGCCCCTTCACAATTCAAAATTGCACTTTTTTTTCACAATTTTAAGTGGAGAAAAAACAAGAGCTGTCCGTAAGACAGCGCGCTCGACTTTTTTATTGCTTGCCAATAAAAAAAGTTTTTGCAGTAAAAGGCAATACAAGAATCTCTGTATTTTTAAAGTGAACAATGGCCATGAGCATTAAGATATTTAGTGAAGAATTATTTTACTGAATTGTGTGATACCCTTGAACACTGCAGCAAAGTTTGAAATGTTTAAGTCAAAAGAGGGCTGTTAAGAAAGAAAAAAAAACTGAGTTGAGCCTTAAATAAATTTGGGAATCATGATTGTAAACAAGTATTCCAACTTTCAAATTAATATCTCAAACAGTTCAGTCAAAAAGTGGACTGGTACTAAAAACTTAACCAAGATTCTAAGTCGATAAAAGGCCTTAATTTTTAAAACAAATCCTTGACAGAGTTACCTTCTCTTGCGTACAGATGGGGGTAATGATGTGAAATAGCATTAAAAGTTTTCAAAGCAATATCTCAAAGGGTTAAGGCAATAAGTGGATTTTACCCATATTCAATGTATTTTCTAAGTCAAAAAGGGGCATAATTCTGTCAAAAACCTTGACAGAGTTATGTCCTCTTGTCTGTTGATGAAGGTCGTGATGGTAAACAAGTATGGTCAGTTTCAAAGCAATACCTCCAATGGTTTTGAAATAAAGTGAGGTGGTAACAAAAAACTTAACCAAGCTCAATACACTTTCTAAGTCAAAAAAGGGCCATAATTCTGTCAAAAACCTTGACAGAGTTATGTACTCTTGTCTGTAGATGGAGGTTATGATGGTGAACAAGTATGGTAAGTTTCAAAGCCATACTTGTAATACTTCTGAAATAAAGTGGGGTGGTACGAAAAACTTAACCAAGGTGTGACGCCAACGCCGACGCCAACGCCGACGCCGACGCCGGGGCGAGTAGGATAGCTCCCCTTTTCATAGAAAAGTCGAGCTAAAAATTCACAATTTCAAAAGAAATTTCACAAAATATTGGGAATTTGTCTTTGAAATACATTGTTTACCTTACAGTCAAACATGATTTATGCCAATTTCAAGAACACAGAAATAGTTTTAATCAAGTTAAATGGTTTAAGCATATGTTAAGCGGGTTAAAGTACCAACTTGAAGCAGATTTTCCGGTTTCATATTGTCACTAAATGCCAAATAATGATGTAATTTTTTTCACAATTTTCAGTGTTGCATCTAGGACGCGCGATTGCGCGATTTGCGCATATTTTATGCAGATCGCGCATTTAAATGAAGTCAACGCGCGCCAAGTCGCGCATCTGACAATTTTTTAACTTTATTCATTTCATCTTCATCGTGCCTTGAAAGCTTCAGCCATGTTTGTTTTCACTTGTGGTAATGACTAAAATACGTACTAAAAAGCGTGTAGCAGCCGACTGGGTCATCTCGCGAGTGTTTTGTAGTATTCGTCAATATTTTATTCATCTACATCTACATGTTACACCTGAACAATCAATTCTGACTATGACTACTTCCGTTTTTGAGCGGACGATAGCTGTCAAAAATGCCTGAACGTAAAATAAATGAATTCTTTTTGATAAGTCATAGTGTATTGTAAATGTGTGTCCCCCAATTTTTTTTCAAGTCCCCAACATTTTTCAGTTGAGTGGGGGACAATCCCCCATAATTTTGAAATTCTAGATGCAACACTGAATTTTATGACAAATCACACTTTTTTCACAAAATGAACAGGTCCAGGCCCCTTCACAATTTTGACAAAAAATGCCCTGCCATGGCTTCACCGAATGAGCTTTCTGGATACTTACACACATCTCCCCTTATTAGTGAATAGTTCTGAACCTTGACAAAATTTATATCTACAATAATTAGGAAAAGGATTTGTATCATGTTTATCTGAGTGTTTATAATTTTGCAAATTAAAAGAAAGCTTTACCAACGTGTCTTATTCTGGCAAGGTTTCATAACTTGTATAATTCAAAACTTTAATACCGCATCAGACGAAAGAAAAAATGTTCTAAGAGCGGCTAATAAAGTTTTGGAAGCCAGAACTAGCCTAAATTTTGCTTTTTCTCAACTTCCAAGGGAGGTAATTCATCTTTTAAGAGCGTCCTTCAAAAACAATAAACAGGTTTTATTGTAAATATAAAATGTCATACATGCTAACTTACTTAAAACAATTGGAGTAGAATGTATCTTTCTAGACTGACTTTTAATTACATTAATCGGTGCTGTAGTCTGTGAAAGACAACGGAAAACTTGCGGCTTTACAAAATTTCGGAAAACGCAGGAAGCCATCTCTATTAGTTAATGAACGCAAAGAAAATTAAACAACAGCAAGTACAAGTCTGTGACAGTTTCCGATATATAAATGCGCTGTCTAATGTGAATTAAAGTTTCATTTTTTAAAGATATTTTAAAAATGTAATATTCAAATTGTTTTGTGAGAAAATATGCTCTATTTTCTAACATATTTACTGTAATTTTTAAACCTATACTGTATCTTCTTTAACAAACTCACAAAAAACCCAACTGTAGATTCACTGGTTGCTACTGAATGTCAATAGTCGCCAACGAAGATACTAGTTTAAATGCAAAAATCAATGTTTGCGGTAGAAGTCACTGGTTGCTATGGAAAGTCACTGGTTGCTATGGAAGTCGCTAGTTTCTAGGAAAAATCAATAGTTGGTATGGATGTAACTGGTTGCCATGGTTAGTTGATTGCTTTGGAAGTCACTGGTTATTAAAGAATTCACTGACTGCTATGGAAAGTCAAAGGTCTCTCTTCATTTTTACCACTTTGAGAAAAACGCCTTCAAATATTCACTATCAAATGCATCTATATCAGTTGTTTTTAGTTGATTTGAAAGAAAAAACAAAAACAAATAACAACAACAACAACAGATTATATTTTGAAGCAAAAATTGTGTTACTCTCAAGGTTATTCAAATGGTAATGGAATTCAACTGTAGATGTCCGATACATTTTATTGCACGTGTATACTGCGTATACGTATTTGTCGATTTTGAAAAAAAGGCTTTTGATAGTATTACAGAAATGCCGTGTGGTTCAAGTTATATAATATTGGTATAAGGGGCACATGTATGTATTGCTTCGGCTTGTAAGAGATATATATAATCTTGTATAAAACATTAAAACATTGTAAAGTTTATTCTGATTTTTTAGACCTACGTCAAGTGGAAATCATTTCGCCGATGATGTTTTCGCAATTAATTGATAATTTAGGGTGTTATACGTATACAATGTACTTAGATATACAAAAATCATTTGACAGTGTTTCCCCAATATCAGGTTGATTGCAAAACTTTAAAAAAAAGGTATACAGGGTGATTTATTATAATGGATTTATTTTTTTTATGATATAAGTGTGTCATAGTTAGGGGTCAATCTTCTGAGTGGCGAAATGTTTCATCGCGAATTCCCCCAAGGGACTACACTAGGACCTGTACTATTCATGATATTATTGATATATATAAATGACATGCTTGATCAGGTACGTAACTTCCTAAAATGTTTGCAGGTACTAACATTTATGCTGCAATAAGTAATTCAACTATCAGGATAGCTTTTTAGAAGACATTGGCTGATTTTGTGAATGGAGTAATGAATGACAAATTAAATTTCATGCAAATGCATACAGACTGGAAATGTAAGACATGAATATACGATGACAGACAGTTGCAATGATTCTCAGGAGCTACCTATCGAAGATGAAGAATGTGACCTTGATTTTTTTTCTCCAGGAAAATCTTAAATTGAACACTCACATAAACAAAAAAGACAAGCAAAGCAAATCAGTTACTAGCAATGATAAAAAATCTTTCACCTTCCTGGTAAAACACGGTTTTTATACTAATCACTTATATGATAATTAAGTTTTAACTACGGATCGCCCGTTTGGAAATCATCTACAGTAAAGATACGCCAATTGCTAGAAAATTGTACCACGTTTAAATCATATGTCTTATGAGAATCGCTTAAAATGTTTGAATCTTCCAACACTTTACTAAAGACTATACTATATACGCTCAATATTTGATCAGATTCAGTTGTTAAAGATAATACATAGTAATGAAAAGGTGGACATTGATAAATTTCTGACCTTCAATGATAATATTGCAAGAGGACATATTTTCCAAATCTTGAAAGTTAGATGTAAAAACTTCCCGCGAGTATGAATGTTAATATTGATAAAACTAAAGTGGTTGTTTCTAGAATACGTGGTGGGAAGTTTTTTGTATTATGGTAAAGAACACGAAATTCTTCGTACTTAAAATTACCTGATCTTGCTCTGTACTGTTGGCTGACTAACTTTATAAATGACAATGACAAGTTAATTTCAAAATGGAGGCTTGATAAGTCCATTTCACAAATTCATCAGGTTAAGATTTCGGCTCGCAAATTACAGTTTTACCAGTTTAGCACTGTCAATAGTTTTTACTGCTCAAATTTGATCTTTTTTTATCTTGCAGTCAATCACAGCAGCCCATTTGAAAGGATTTGAAAGTCTCTGAGCGAGCGAAATGGTTGGAAACTGATAAAATGGCTAACGAGTCATATATATTAATAACCCCCGCACGTATTTCATACAAGTTAGTATTAATTCGTATGTTATTTAGGAAATAGATATCAATTCTGAGTGCATTGTTGTAGAATAATGCACGGTTTGAGTTCAAATGCGTAGTAATATAATCACGAAGGCCGATAGGCCTGAGTGATTAATTACAAAGCATTTGAACGAAAAACGTGCATTATTATACAATAATGCACGAAGAATTAATATCTATTTCCATTCTAACACGTCAAGAAAAAATATAATTATTACTATAAAGTTGGACTCTATGTTTGGTGGTTTAATTTGTTTTCGCCTCAGAGTTTCCCATAGGCTGTCCCAGTTGGTTGAAAAAAGCTGTCGATAAATCTATACTGTGTGTAGAAACATTTTGAGAAAAACAATTTTTGAAAACGTTGGTAAAACTTTGCTTGTTTATTTTATTTCACTCTATAATTTTTCAAGCGAAATACAAATTTTTAAAAGTGAAATAAATGTGAAACTTAACTTGTTTGCGACATTAAAATAGCGTACTTGATTTGATTGTTTTGCACGTGCTGTTTGGCGCTATATTGTGACGACACGTAAACAACACTTTAAACGTCTGTACAGCGTTAACGACTGAATTAAAGATATTGGTGTTCGGATTCATTTTCTTAGTTAGACCATTTTCTTTCATTCTAGATAGCTTTCATAACAAAATTCGACAAAAAATGTTTTTATTTATCAGATTTTTTAAACAAATGGCGCCCTCAATGTGAAAATACACAGGGAGGTAATAAGAACGGCGAGTGCATTGTTGTAGAATAATGCACGCTTCGGGCCTTCTTTGTCTATATAGAAAAAAATCCGATAGTGTTAGAATTTGAGTTTTAATATGTCCATGCATTAAGGCAATGCTTATGACAAACACGGTTTTATGTTTCAGCTTCCTAGCTTCTGACGAAGTTACTGAAGAAATAAACTGGTCATTTACATATTTTGTGATTTGACTAGTGACCTTTCTGGTCTTTTTTTCTACTTATTTATTCAATCTTTGAAAATATCTGAAAAAATGTGATCCCTCGGAAGCATAAAAAAACAGCAATTTTGAATGAAAATTACAGACTCGGTATTTTTGTCTGTACAGTGCAACATACCTCACGACCCCTAGCAAGTAAGTTTTTTTAAGTACATCAATCAACAGAAAATATGTTTCTGTGTAAACTGTATGAATGTTTTACTTTGCATGTCTCAAATAAAGTTTCAATACACACAAATATCTTGATCATGCGCATAACGGTTGCAAACTTGTACTCATACAATTTTGGTGTCTGTGGTATTGTATGGACAACATTATCTTTTTTGATGTAATATACTTATTAGTAATATGATGGGTATTTTTTTTAATTTTAAAACGAAGCTTACATTTCAATCTCTAATGGTATTATTTAGATTAAGAATTTGTTGATTCTGGTGGAAATTGCATGAATCTTAGATCATTGCAATTTAAGTCATGTTTCTTAAAATAAAGAATCTGAAAGAGATTGGTAAATAATACATATATCTTAAGGTAATTGTTCATTTTCTTATGTTAAGTTGAGCTTTATCGTCATCTACTAAAAGTTTATTCATAACATGGTTATAAATTACAAGTCTTAGAACTTTCACAGTCAAAAACAAAGCCTACCTTGCTATTATAATTTTTATTTTGTGAAGTTGTTACAGAATTTAGTACCTTTGATCTTGACGATCAGTAACGACCTCTGTTGACAAATAAGCTCTTAATTAAGGCTTTTACACCAGACAATATTGTTAAACATTCAATTTATAATATATTTTTCTGAAGCATGTAAATACCCCCCAACTAACTTTTTTTTACCACTACTATCTAGTAACATTTAGGCGACACCTTGGCACATATTATTGGTCTCGTATTTCTAGTCTTTGGCCTAACTTCGATATTGTTATTAAGCTCTTACATTGAACTTTTACTTCTCATGTGAGGACTCAGATGCCTGGATTATTAAAAAGAGTAGGATCTTAGGTCTTCCTCCATTTGTAAAGCTGGAAAATCGCAAAATGACCCCTACATTGTAGGGATGACTAACAACTTTCACCAAAAACCTTCACACCTTTTTTCCCAAAATACTTATAATAACAATTAAAAATAAAGAAAAATAACGATAAAATCATTAAAATGAAATGAACACCCTATGTAATAAAAAACAATTTTATTGCAAATAAATTCCAGAATATATAAATACCTTAAAAGTTATCATATATTATATAATAAAATATAGAACGGCAAACTCTAAAAGACTCCACCTGACATATTAAATGTCGTAAATAACATGCACTGTTTTCAATTTATTAATAAAATAACATATAGCTCAATAATTAATATCTGTTTGCAACTCTTTATGATCACATTGTAGCTTCTATAATAGCAACGTATTACACATTGCTTTGACCCTCGTGATTCTCATACAGTGCATCTGTACTGCACAACGTATTATTTCATTCTGTAGAGCACTCCAAATAAAGCTATATTTTCTAAGCAATTTAACGTTTTTCATATGAAAAAAACAAAAACAATTTAGCAGGGAATTCTGCCTTTGTAATATGTATATTCGAAGGTTTCAGAAAGTTGTAACTCATGTACTTGGCCGTTCAATTAATACCAGTAATCAGCCATGTGTTTCTATCTTAGTATTACGCAAGACATATGAAGTCAATAGATGACAACACGGCCAACGTGCTGATGTTAAGATAATGTCCTCCCTTTGAAGGAAGTCGAATTCAATTCACTTTTATATCTCATGAACTCATTTATTATTGTCTAGTCGGTTTTAATATGCACAATCTAAGGTCATATCAACTGGCAATATTGATTTGGTGTTTCCCGGGAAGGAACAATGCATTTTCACATTCTGCAAGTTTTTTTCTCTTTATCATATCAAATTAAGCGCACATTTTGTTTCTTTGTGAAGGTGTATATATATGTTTATCACTCGTGCTTTGTTGGAACGCTTGAGTAACAGTATCTGTACGAAACATGTAGAATTTTCCCTGGAATAATTAAAATGTCAATTCTTAGTCAACGGATTTTTTTTTAATTTATTACTTACTTTGAATAATTATCGTTTATTTTGGATATGTATGTGACAATTAGCAAGAAACATAAACTCTAAAAGTATATACATATTTAAAGAGACTTTTTACAGACATAAACAGATGTGTAAACATATTAAATGTAATACGAACCGAACGAAGTTTCCAATTGTTTAAACCCTGTGTAGTTATTATTGGTATCACTGTTATGAAATATCTAATTTATACAAATGGGCAGAGCTCAAATTCAATTTAAAGTAATTGCTTGATTTTATAGAATTGCATTTCAATACAAAACAAAGCGATACTTTACCGAAAAGATTTATTATGTTTAAATGTGTTCCAAAAATGTTCAACAACTCGTTCTTTAAATTTGGATGACATTTGCTTAGAAATGAAACAAGTAAATAATTATAATACTCACTGAAATAGGGCACTTTCAATTTATAATAGATAAATGGGAAGTAAAATATCAGTCCTGATATAATAAAGAACACAGCATAGAGGAATGTAACACGACCAGTTTGTATCACAGGTGACAAAGTCAAGTAAAATGACATCAGTAACACCAGAATGGGGATTAGAATTGGAACCTGAAATGGCCAATATATTTACATTTACTCTATAGCGTTCAGAGATGTTACAACATTTGTACCATGAAAATTGAACAATATAAATAGTAACTATTTCAATATGCTATTCTTGAAATGTATTACAATATTATTGCTAAACTTATTCAGACTCCAAATCGTGCTCAGAACTATCATTGACTTAATATAACATTATAAATTTCAAATTGCATGTAATACATGTCTAGATCTATAACTTTTTTTAGGAAGAATGATCATTTGCTTTTGATAACATGCTGCTTTGTTTTTTCCACACTTTGCTTCATTTTAAGTGTATTATGTAAAACCATGAAAAAAAAAAAATTGTAGATCAATTATTAAACATTTGTACTTTTATTATCAAAGATATTTTCAAAGAGCCTTCTTACAAACAAAATGTAATTATCAAAATTTATACCAATATTTGAAAGTTTGGCTAACACAATATGTTCGTTTCAAATGGCGCTTTCAGGTAACCATATATAATATAATTATATGGTCATTTTAGATCTCATTCTTGCCTTCACTCTCATGGTCGTTTTATATCAGGCACTTTGCCGGTTTTTGATCAGACTCTTGCTTACCTTATATGGTCGTTTGAGATCGGGTTCTGTATATCTCAGAACCAGTAAGGCTAAAATTGTAACCCCGTATCCGAGCCATATGGAAAAACTGTAAAAATCTATCAATGTACTCAAATCTCCCGGAATCAGCGTTATTATTGCAATTGTCGTCTGCAAAGGAAGAATGATAGGAATTAAATAAAATAGATGTTTTGGGCTATAAAAGAATATAAAGTCATAGACAGATAAAATAGCTTAAATCAGGTTCACCTTTGTGGGATTGAATGCTTAAAGGGGCTGACATAGTTTATTGGCATCACAAACAAAGGTAATTGTTAATTACAGTATATCAATATTTTCCTGTACACAACAAACTGCTCGTGCGTCCAAAGCAATATAACGAATAAGATGACTGGTTATATTTGTTTCAACTTTGTTATGCCATATTATGGTATATTCATTAAATGTACATTTATTTAGGTTATGCAAGTGCCTAAAGGCACGAAAACGTTGGGTTACTTGAAACGTCAGTACTGTTGCATGAATTACATTTTAAACCTAAGCCTGCTGGAATCAAAAGATTTTAGCGTTTACCACCGTGCAGCATGGTCAGTCTTGCTCAAATTTTGTATTTCAATAGTGTAATCCCCTGACCTGTGAATGCAATGTATCAAATTCAAACAAAGCTTGGTAAATCCATTAGACAAATGCAGCAGGTTATTTGAATATGATGCCGTGAGCTTAAACTTGCATTTAAAACATTAACGTTTATTATAATTCGGATTAAAGTTACCTTTTACTGAGTATGAAACAAGAAATGATCTTACTGTAAATAATATAGAAGGCATTGGTGTTAACCTCTTAATCTGAATGAATGACAATATTGTAGGAATGTGTTCATCTCTGGCGGCAGCAAAACATAGCCTATAAAATCACAAAATATGCATTTTTATAAAAATCAATATACATTGTTCAATGTTCAAAATACAGGAAATGGAAAAAAGTGTTCATTGTTTCATGGTATGAGTGGTTCCGGTAAAATTATAGTGAAAGTCATTGGTTGGATTAAAGCTACTGATGCCAAAGCAGGCAATCAAGTAGCATCAAATTCCAGAGCATACTTGACAATTTGCTCACGAAAAAGAGATGCTAGTTCACTATAAACCAATGGTCACTATTCTAATCGACCTTTTTGGAAAACAATCTTCATAAAGAAAAAACCTTTAGATATTGTTAGAGATTAAGATCGAAGCATTGTAGAAGCTGAATTGAACAAAAATTAGTTTACCCTTCCAGAAGCAAATAAACAACCATTAGCCGAACCTAGACACGAGCAGCAGACAAACACAGGCATAATCCACGACATCACACCAAGCATTTCATTTGACCAAGTCTAAATATAAAAGTCAGTCTGTGAATTAAAAGTTATAGTTAAATGTTTATTGATGTTTTCAATTTGATGTAATTGTAACACACTTTATTTTAAAGATATGCAAACCTAACGAATTTGTAAACGAATAAAGAATACAGTTCTTCCCATCTCCTATGTTACTAGTTAGGTATAAATTTAACTTTTTTCACAAAACAGTTTTCACCAATAAATAAAGCAATAACATATTATTGCCTGCTTTGAATGAATATGAAATACAATGTATATATCTTCTTTAAAAATTCAAAATTTCCCATTTCACCTCTGAGAGTCTACCATTTGCATGTTAAATTACATGATTGACACAGATACAAATTTGTATTTGACTTACAACTGCAACTGCGTGTGAAACTAAGATTTCTTCCTTGGACATAACAGCGAAAAATCCAATATTTGTGAGGACATATGCCACTGTTGTGAGGGGTATTCCGAGGTATATTGCAAGCGGCAGATTCCTTAAACAAGAAACATGGAATTACTGTATTCATAAATACAACGTGGCAAGAGGATTTTTTTTTCAGAAGATGAAATTGAAAGCAATTTAAAACATATGATAAAAGGAAATGAACAAAAGCATGACAATGTATTGCATCTATGTAATACTTAAATATCTGAAAAAAGCAAACGAATTAACCATTTTAATGCGTTGCCAAATTTTAATACTTCATTAAATAGACTTCAATTTTACATCTGTTGCCTTATAAATAATAACCATTAACTGTCATTACTCCTTTTCAACGCCTATCAAGTATTGAAAACGTTTTAATCACTGATAAAAAATACTACCTTTCTGGGTTTTTCAGTTCTTCAGTAACATAATTCAGGTTATTCCTGAAATGCATATGCGTCTCTATATTAAGTTGAAAATACCTATGACATATAAGATCTTTTTAAAGGTACAACGTTAATGTAGGATGTGTGTTTCTCGTTTTCAGTGAATATGTTGTATTTGTGTTACACGGAGTATCAAGAAAACTACTTTTTTCTGAAATACCGGTATATGAATTGACGCACGCCAACCAAAAGTTAGATAAGAACACCGTGCTATACTGTGTGTTCTATGGATTTTGCTCAACAGATAAAAACAATATTTATTGGTAAGCTTAAGAATGGAATTGAATATTATCACATACTAGTGTCACTTTTCTGACTCCGTAAACATGAAACATATTTTAGCAGTTGTATCAATGTTTTACAAATGTAATGTTAAAATGATTTATCATTTTGTGTTAGTCAACAAGGAATGTTTTTTTATACGTATATCTAGATATTTTCAAAGCAATATTATTCATATTGACAACAGAAAAAAATTTGAAAGAAAAAAAAACCTAACAACGCACTCTCGTTAATAGCAGTAAAGTCAAACCGATGCATTTTCTTTCTTTGTATTTTCAGGGTATGTAATAAAAATAACACTGAATTCGTGTATATCATCAGTATTTCGCTTCAAACTGTTTTCATACTGTTCAATTTCAATTGTTCAATAAATTCAATACGGAATCAGTAATCATTTCGTTTCATCTATGTCTTTATGTGCAGAAAGAAATATTGAAACAAAAAGTTAGAAATTAAAAAAACAAGATATGTTTGCCCCCTATCGGCAGCCAATAAGTCATGTGATCAGGTTATTATGCATGACCTCTGACCCAGTGAACAAAAAATTAATAAGGGTTATCTAGTATCTACTGGTCATGACTAGTCACAAGGTAATAATTATTGTGACCCCATAGGTTGTGTGTAGCAATTTAAGTTATTACAAATCTTACCAAATAATATATGCATAAATTTTATGAATCATGTAGGCCTCATTAATGACAGCCAAATTGTTATATTACATAAGACCTTCAAATGTGTATACCAAAAGCATTTTTAGTTTAATATAAAAATATCAACCAAGGCAACTTTAGTTGTTGAGTTATTGGTCAGAAACCGTCATTAAGTACAAGGTCAATATGACACTGACCCCTTGACCCCAAACTCAATAGGGGTCATCTACTGGTCATGACCAATCATCATACCAAGTTTGAAGTTCCTAGGCCTAAGCGTTCTTTAGTTATTGATCAGAAACCGTTTTTACCTACGAGGCCAATATGACCTTAACCTTTGACCCATTGACCCCAAAATCAATAGGGGCAATCTGCTGGTCATGATCAATCACCATACCAAGTTTGAAGTTCCTAGGCCTAAGCGTTCTTTAGTTATTGATCGGAAACCGTTTTTACTTACAAGGTCAATGTGACCTTGACCTTTGATCCCTTGATCCCAAAATCAATAGGGGTCATCTACTGGTCATGACCAATTACCATACTAAGTTTGAAGTTCCTAGGATTAAGGGTTCTTTAGTTATTGATCGGAAACCATTTGGTCTACGGACCGACGGACCGACGGACCGACAAATGCAAAGCAATATACTTCTTTAAAGTGGGGGCATAACAAAACAAAAAAAAACTATCCACGTTTGATTAAATTTGTTAGTAAAATACACAGATGTTTTGATTATTTGTACCTAAGTATGCATTCAAATTACAAAATATTCCATTACCTGTACTTAACGTTGTAACAACCAAAGAATAAAAGAAACGCTCTTTTTTTTTCTTTGATGTAATTCTTCTGAATATTATCCAAACAATATGTCTATCTCATTATTCTTGGAAATAGAAAAACAAATATTTTCTTCGTAGTGCATATATTTACCATCCTTCGTATGCCCAAAGTCCATTGTAAAATGCTATTGCAATTAATGAGGGATCCTTTGCAGTGTCTTGAAAACCTTCAGCTATATACATCGTGTTTCCTTTATTAAATACAAATGTACAAACACTCTGAGAACTAAATATTATAAAATGGGGCGTGAAAAAGGTGTCTTACTAGATCTATTTTGAATGTTGACTTTTGACTTATTACGTTTATGTGATATTATGTAAGCCCAAGTTGATATGGAGAAGACACGCATATGGAAAAACCAGAAGGTTAATAATGTGTACTTTAAATTGATGGTTTTATCGTCAAAGATACACCTATAGATACACACAAATATCAACACTTGATACTTGACAAAAAATGACCTTTGACTGTATGTATATTAATTAAATGACCTACAGGATTACACGCTGATAAATTGTGGGGTTGTTTTTGTATTCTTGTAATTATGGCATAGTTGACATCTAGTCCTTATGCCTTTGGCTTCCTCGAAAATGAGATTTTAAGGTGTAAATATCAAAGTGAAAGGTATATATTATTGCTTATATTGTACTTCAAAAATTTATTATTACAATGTAATTTGTGATACCTGAACAGATTTTGTACAATCCTCCGCCAGTTATTATAACAATAGCAAAGAGTTTTATGCAAGTGGTAATATTCTGTAAATATGTGGCCCACTTTACACTGTATGAATTAACAACAGCCAGAAACACTGAAAATCGTGAATAAAATGATTTTTTTTTCACGTCAAAGTATATTATTTATTATATAAAATAATCATAAATTGCCAAGATGTATATATACATGAAAAAGACTCTTCAAAAATAAAAAATCCCATTCTTTTATTTTAGAGAGGATATCGCAGAAAATATAAACAATTCAGTGAAACAGATTTAAATATTATGTCTGAAATACCCAATACTGATTTTTTAAGTGACATTATGCCCATTCCAAGGGTACATAATGAATAAACAGGCGAAAGTCAAAGTATGTTTTCAATTTACAAATTACGAAAAGAGTGCGGCAGTCCTTTTTTCCAATATAAAGACAATTCAGCTCAACACGAAAATGAAAAAAAATGAGCATAATGCCACTTTAAATAGTATATACTATAGGAATATACATACCCTATATATTTTATACATATATGATATATATAACAAAGATATCTTGACTCACACATGGCGGCTATCGTGCATAATTTAACTGGTAGATCAGGTGGATCTTTACAAGTAGAATAGAATGGTTTAACCATATAGGTCCCTAGAGATAGTGTCATCACTGTAAACATTGTAGGTCTTAGAATTAAAATTCCGACCTGAAATACGGAAGCAAAACATGTGTTATCTTCATATATAATGCCTTCTTTAAGACAGATTACGCCTCATTATGCCTCAGAAATGAAGATTTCCCCCTTACCAAGAGTTTTAAAACGTTTAAATAACGGCTTTATATTAATTTATCAACAGAAGAAATTACAAAAAAATAGCGATGAATGCGAAATGATTGTTATAAAAGAGGCAAAATGCAAACAATGTCATACAAAATGCCAAATTACTATAATTATACAAATTGGCAATAAGTAACAGAAGATTCATCTTGTTCAGGTAATGGGCCAGTGGGTAACTGAATAATTTTTTGAAATTAAAACAAGACACCAAATCAAAAATAAAAGACTGATCAATCAAAAGTTTTGTCATTGAAATATTTGAATGTTAAGTTTTGAGTAATTGTTCACAGCACCATAAGAAGGATTTCACATTTTTATACACCCCTACCGTTTTTTTTTTCATGGACTTTGTTGCAAAGCTTTATTTGTTTTGCAGCAAATAAGATTATTACCATGGCACCATAAACTCCTACGAAAAAGTCCATTTGAGGCTATACCCACCCAGTCATACAGGAATGCGACTAAAGTCCCAATTTTTCGCTTTCCACTTGCAAACGTGTACATGAGATATGCATGCTCGCCTCCTGATTTTGGAATACTTGTACCTAATTCCGCGTAGGCCAATGCACCTGATTAATATATATGTTAAAGTATATTAATCAAAATACATATATATAATTTGTATGATAAATTGAAAAATAGTAGTGTCTTCACTGTCACCTTTTTTATATTGAAATATACCATCTAATGGTATGCCTGAGATTGCATAACTTTGTGTAGTTAACTTCTAAAAAAGAAATAACATCATCATCCTCCCTTAGTGTGACTTTTTAATATAATATATAGTTGTTCAACTTGAAATGCTTAAAAAGGTCAAATTTAAAGTTGTAGGTTGGTATAAAAATAAAGTTAATTTGACTTCTTTGTGCTTGGATGGAATAAAAGTTAAATTACAATGTAATTGGACTCCGAAATGCTCTTACAATCATTCTTTTTTTTACTTAACATGTACAAATATTTTGAATAGTATATAATATATTTCTATGTAAAGTGTCGATTATCAGTTTATAGTAAAATATGCTGAAATGTTGTGCGAAAATATAAAAATATGATATAATTTCATAAGTGCTGAAATCCAGTATTTTAGTTTGATACTGAAATCCCTTTAACATTTAATGGACTATTCCAAATTCAAACAGGACAAATCCATTACAAACTTTAATAGAAATACAAGGGTAAAACGATCAAATATCATATATTTTATGATATATGCTCTATTTATTATATTACCAAACATAGAGAGTAATCCACAGGCAGCCCATGTTATCAAACTTAATCCGACAGAACCGGTCCCCTCCAAAACTCCTTTTGGTGAAATGAAAATTCCCGAACCTGTAATGATATTTAAAATAATATATTTTGAGAGAAAACTGATAACATTCAAAATTCAATCTGAATTTTGTTATATCCATACGAGGGTTGTTCCATCTGTGTCCTATGTCTTGAAAAGCATGGTTAATAATAATAATAATAATAATAATAATAACATTAATGATAATAATAAAACAATATGATCATAAGGAATGGCAGGAGGTCCGCAAATCCAATTAAAAAGGGGTATGTATCAAAGGCAGGTCTCTGCACGGTATAAAATAAATATTTACCGTGAAATGTGCACCATTTACAAGGTTGATAAGATGTCTAAAATATCTATTTGTAGATCGGTGGCTAAATTTGGACGCAGGCACATGCGAAATAAAGAAGCATAAAGATCTCGGAAAGATAGTTCCGCAACAACTAAATCTAAAGGTAACCTTGACAAAATCGCAATATTTTGGGAAAAGATGCCCGATTTTCATCGAAGATGTTGGGCCGTAATGCAAAATTGTTCGTCATATTTTTGCACATCTTGAACTGAGGAAGATAAAAAAAACACCTGCAAAATGGATATGAAATGTGTTGCAAAATGAGCAAAAGAGTATCAAAGCGGAAAAAGCAAAGTAGGTCATGAAAACGTATTTAAATATAACAAGAAAGCTTATGGTGATATGATTACTGAAGATTTAACTTATACCCAAACCAAAGTGTTCGAATCGACTTTTGGCCACCACAAATGTAAAAAAAGCCCTGGTATTACAAATAGGACTGTTTCGAACAATGAAAAGGTTTTTACAAGTAATTTAATTTCTTTGATGATAAGGCACTTGGTAGATAAGAACAAAACGTTCACTGGTACTAATAAATCCATTTCTAAATGTTCTCAGAAAATTGAAAGCATTTTACAAAATTTATTTGACATCCAAGAAAGTTACCGTCCTCCAATATCCTCAGATACAATACCAAAAATCACATTAGGTCTACAATTTATCAAGATTGCACATGAAATATGCTTTAAAAAGTGAAATGACCGCGTGTTCTCATTTCAGACTGTAAAGTTTTACCTTTAAAATGAACTGACGGCTTAAGATGTACATGAAGGTAGATGGCGCGTATTTGGAAGGACAGAGCTTGTTGAAACTTTTAGAACAATTTTCAAAAATAAAAATAGCAAGTAACAGCTTTTTTTTAAACATATCTCGAATATCGTTGTAATTATATATATACAAATATATTGAACGTTTACAATATATTCATTGTAGCCTATCACTACAGTGTTGTTATATTTGATGGCCATTGACTTTTAAATGTTGAAAATTGAGTACCGCTCAAGCCGGTGCTAGTGCACATAAGGGATGTTGCACTTATCCATTATCCCTCATGTATAGACTCACTTGAACCGAGTCTGCAATTTTCATGTAATTTTTTGTGGTTAATGCTTCAGAGGGATCACCTTTTTCAGATTTTTATAATTTTATCTACGATCACATATAACTGTAAAAACTTGAATTGATTACTTACTATTAAGACTTTATCTAAAATAATTCTATTTCATAACTTTTCATCTCTTTTGTATACAAGTTACTATTATTATTGATCATGATTGTTCCCTGACAACATGCTTTGGTTTATAAAATACATTTTGTATACATTCACACAAGCTGTTGCAGTTCAAGCCAGTTCTATCCGAATCACTATAGAAACACATATTAGAAAATACTCATATTTTAAAACACTGCAGCAGTTAACATGATCTAATTAATGCTCAAAGTAGACGCAACTTCAAACATCAAACATTTATACATTTGCGCTCAGACATAAAGAATGAACATAAAACAAAATATAGCTCTGAGGGACTCTTAATATATATCAGACAGCTCGAGATAAAAGGAGTTTCATTACTTTTATGTAATTATTAGTTATTTTGTAATACTTGCTAATTCCTTTGCTCGTAAATTGTAATTATCTTTATATATATCTGTGCCCTAGTTGCATCAAAAGTGATGTGCTGATATTACATTCAAGATTATGCTTTGTAAGTACGCAAGGGTTATTTGATTTTTTTGGAAACTTGTTGCATTCTAAACAAGTTGCACAATATTATCACTGGCTTTATATTTCTTTTCGTCTTAATAAGCTATAATCTAGATAACGTTGTTCACATCTGAATTGTTAAATTTCAAAAAATATATACTAACGTATTGAACAAGAGCATGGGTTGTGATTTCATTGGATCTATAGATCAATCAAACCGAATTCAAAACGCTCACCTCAGACCGGCAAGGTCCTTTCGATATAGAGGAAGGCAAAATAACAAAAATGCCAGGTGGTATTGGATAATATTAAATAAAAAACTTATTTTTTTTATATCAATTGTTTAATTCATCTATTTATGTATTTATTAATGTATTTATTTATTTATTCATTTATTTATTTATTTGTTAACAATAAATGTTTAGGAAATGCAGGTTGTCAAGAAAAAAAAAATAAATAGAAAACTTACCTATCATTGTCCCAACAATAAGTGCTGTGGCAGACAGGAGTCCGACATTCTTCTCTAGTTCTGTGTTGGATTTGGTATTTGGTCTTCCTCCATTTTCTATCCCCATTTTATTTCCAATCAAGTAATTTCCGGCAGTGAACAAATCTTAAATGTTGAAATCACGTGTCGGGATCTTTTAATTCCAGAGATGTTTCATTTGCGATCTGTTACATCACTGTATAAATTTATAATAAAATTGAATATGGATATAGCAACGCGTTTAAAATGATTGCAATAGGCAAAATACATGAGAATAAATACGCATTGATCCGTATAGTCTACGCTACGATGTAATTATGTAACAAATTATTTAACATCACCTATCATCGCATAGTTTAATCACAAATTATATAAAAAAGTGGAAAAAAAGAAACCTACACAACTTTCATTTTGTTTGTTATTTTTGTCAATCAAAAATCTATACTCATACATTGTATTGACAAATATACAAGAAGCTTCGAGTCATTCACAGTAATAAAACATATCGATTGAATTCAAGGGTTACGTAAGGAATCAGATTTAGTTGTTTTATCAAATTTATAAATGATTTATATCATTTAAATATCTTTTTAAATTTTCCTTGCAAAAAAACAACAAAAAAACAAAACAGCAACAACAAATAAATAAATAAATAATTAGATAAATAAATAAATGAATAAATAAATAAATAAATAATAAAAGAAAAAAATAAACAAAAAGAATAAAATAAAAACTTATTTATTATGATGCTGCTTAGAAAATAATAGTTTTTTGACATATTTTCCAAAAAGAAGCGCAATAATGATAAATTTTTGCGCACACAACTCTCGATGGAGCTCATCTTTTCAAAATTTCAAGAGCTCTATCATTATCGGAACCCGCGTACACGTAACAAATACGATAAGCTACATTCATTACGAATGAACTGTATGTCAAAAGAGTACGCTAAACTACATTCATTACAAGAAACGAGTACGTTGAACTTACCATTCTTTACGAATTAACTGTGTGCGAAATTAGTACGCTTAACTACATTCATTACGAATGAACTGTATGCGAAACGAGTCCACTAAACTACTTTCATTACGAATGAACTGTATACGAAACGAGTGCGCTTAACTTAACATTTATTACGAATGAAGTGCTTACTTAACGAGTACGCATAGGTTTCTGAAGATGGTGCTCTAAATGTAGTTTCCGGTATATAAAGAATAATGCATGTCTTTGTTTTGTGTTGTTACGCGTTTTATAGTTCAAAAAGGTTACCAATTCGACATATTAACTAATGAACTGTGCCTGAAGCATTTCCTTTGATGGTTGCAACACATTTATACAAGTCTCTCAAGGGAGCAAAATATCATATATTATACAGTTTTTTAACATATAAATTTATACCACTATCAAAATATCACTAAATCACTCAGCAATATCACTGAATTAATTTCACTTGATTTCTTACATACAGTTTTAATTTTTAATTCTCCCGCCGGTGTTTTTCAAGTAGAATATGTGTCAAAATAAACTCATGTTTAAACTTATCAAACTAACAACAAATATATACCAAATAATTAATGAACACTATAAACATATAGTAAACAAATTTTCAAGGTCACACTGACAAAATCTGAAGAAGAAAAAACAGTGTAATAGTGTAATTATGCAACATTCATGTTATTTTGTATTTTTTATTTGTTGTTGTTTTTGTTGTTGTTGTTTGATGCCGTTTGCTGTTGTTTTTTTGTTTGTTTTTTTGCAACACCGTGCACATGAGATATAACAAAATAAGTATATGTAACATAGATACTGGATAGTATTCACAAAATAAACACCGTTTCTGCTTCTTAGTCATAGTCAGTACAATTCAAGGTCACAATGTCAAAGTAATCAAAAGCGCCATTTGTTTTACCTGACAGTCACAGAGGGAAAACAGTCTTTCTTGAAATTAGATTTGGGAGAGGATAGTGATATATAAAGTTATTTAAACTAAAGTATTTTAATTTGTTATGTATGTGGCATACACATGTCGAATACTAGATTTATAAGATATGATTCCGCCTCTCAATTCTGTCCACGTTGGTTATTGACTGCACAAGCACAGAAAGCACAATGCTGATTAACATATTTTGATAAAAACTTGAGCTATAAAAATATAGACTTTAAAGTATATGCTACGTTATGATCGTTCATGTGAAAA